AGGTTTGACGCGGCCCTAAGCCACTGAAGGTAATGGGGCCCTTTATATGCCCAGCTGTCCTGGACAGATCCAAAGCCATTTGCACATGTTGCCCTGCAACCAGTCCATGCAGAATTTGTGGTTGTTGTTGTTGTTTAGTCGTTTAGTCGTGTCCGCCTCTTCGTGACCCCATGGACCAGAGCATGCCAGGCCCTCCTGTCTTCCACTGCCTCCCGCAGTTTGGTCAAACTCATGTTAGTAGCTTTGAGAACACGGTCTTTCTAGATCAGCCTTTCTCCACCTGTGGGTCCCCAGATGTTGTTGAACTACAACTCCCATCACCCCTAGCTAGCAAGGTCAGAGCTCAGGGATTAGGGGAGTTGTAGTCCAACAACAGGGGATGCGGGTGGCGCTGTGGGTTAAACCACAGAGCCTAGGACTTGCCGATCAGAAGGTCGGCGGTTCGAATCCCCGCGACGGGGTGAGCTCCCGTTGCTCGGTCCCTGCTCCTGTCAACCTAGTAGTTTGAAAGCACGTCAAAGTGCAAGTAGATAAATAGGTACCACTATTTCAGAGTGCAGGCTGATGCCAGGAGGACTGGGGCGGTGATGCGCACAGGCCTGAATTCTCCTCCTCGCAAATATCTGCTTGCACCTAGAAAGCCAGCATGTCAAGGAGACGGGCAGCTCACAACCCCTCTTGCTAGATTCTGGTTTTCTGCAAGGAGGGAATGTGTTTGCACGAGCTGTTCGGCCCAGGCTGACACGCAAACACACACAGCTGTGAGAACAAATAAAAGGATGTGAGGAATATTTCAGGGTGCAAACCTGTGCCTGTTATTTCCTTGTTGCTTCCTCCAGCCGCACCTTTCTTGAGATGCCTCCTCCTCCTCGCATTAATCCCTTTCCGTTTTCTGAGCACCCCCATCCCAAATCCCTCTGCCTTCAAGTTTGGCTCTTTGACAGAGGCTGCTTTGTTCTGCCTTAGTGAGATATCGATTTTTTTTTCTTTTTAAACATCAGTAGCCGGCAATGCCTTTTAGCTCTTAAAAAACACATACAAAAAGACCTTCGTTTTTCTTTAATGTGGCTTTATCGCCGGGTTTAAAGCAAAGGTGAGCCAAACTTTCCCCTGCATCTAACACCCCTTTCCAAACCCCCCCCCCCCCCGCTCCAAAAACTGCTCCCAGGCAGCGGAGGCAGAGCTTGATCTCTCTGTAGCTTGATCTCTCCTTCCTGCCAAATCACTTTTTCTTTTTTGCAGATGCAACTTGTAAATGAAAGCAGGGAGGGAAATTAACCTGGCTTAACCTGGATTTTATTTTTATTTTTTTTACCTTTCTCCCAAAAGTCCAAAATGAAGACATCAGCGCTGAATGGTGTTTCAGGAATTTTTAGCAATATAAAAGAAATTGTGCCAACAAAAATGGAATGGCAAGACAAACTGTTAGAGTATATTGAACTGGCTAGATTAACAGAGGCAATTAGAGCTCACACTAGACAAGAGTTTCGAAAAGCATGGGGAAAATGCAGAGAATACTTCACAAAACAGTGTCCTAAAATACATAGCTGCCCAGAATGTTGTTTTTGTTTCAAACTTTGCAGATCGTGGACAAAATGGATTGTTTCAAGAAGTGGCAGAAAGATATTTCTAAATTTGTCTGGCAGGGCAAGAAACCCAGAATAAAATTTAAAATACTAACGGATGCAAAGGAAAGAGGTGGATTTGCCCTGCCAGACCTCAAACTTTACTATGATCTAGAAGGTTTTAATGATGTATTCGGATGGCATGCATATTTATGGTATGATAAGGTCAAAGCACATAAAGCATTTAAAAACCACATTGTCAGGAAAGCGCTGTTTAATGTTTGGATAAGATATAAGGATTTGTTAGAAAACAAAACCCCAAGGTGGCTGTCACCAATGGAAGCGAAAGCCTTGAAAAAGGTCAATATGGAGGTCAAATGGCCGAAATATTGGGAAATTTTGGAACAAGACGGAGATAGACTGAAATTGCAGAGTTTTGAAAAACTAAAAAACAAAGTGCGAGACTGGCTTCATTATTATCAAATAATGGAGGTATTTAAATTAGACAGGAAAATTGGCTTCCAGGTGGAAAGATCCAAATTAGAAACAGAATTGTTAGAACCCAAGACTAAGAATTTGTCAAGAATGTATAACTTGCTGCTGAAATGGAATACTCAAGATGAAACGGTAAAATCGGCTATGATTAAATGGGCACAGGACGTTGGACATAACATTATGTTTGCTGACTGGGAACAGTTATGGACCACAGGTATGAAATTTACGGCATGTAATGCCTTAAGAGAGAATATTATGAAAATGATATACAGGTGGTACATAACCCCAGTCAAGCTTGCGAAAATTTATCACTTGCCCAATAACAAATGTTGGAAATGTAAAGAAACTGAAGGTACATTTTTTCACCTTTGGTGGACGTGCCCAAAGATTAAGGCTTTCTGGGAAATGATATATAATGAATTAAAAATGTATTTAAGTATACCTTCCCTAAGAAACCAGAGGCCTTTCTCCTGGGCATAGTCGGTCAAATGGTGTTAAAAAAGGATAGAACTTTCTTTATGTATGCAACAACAGCAGCAAGAATACTCATCGCAAAGTATTGGAAGACACAAGAACATCCCACGCTGGAGGAATGGCAGATGAAACTTATGGACTATATGGAATTGGCGGAAATGACTGGCAGAATCCGAGACCAGGGAGAAGAGTCGATGGAGGAAGACTGGAAGAAATTCAAAGACTATCTTCAGAAACACTGCAAAATTAAGGAATGTTAGAGTGATGATGGACTGAAAACAAGTGGTTTCCAGCTGCACAGGTTAAAGTTAAGGATAGATTAAGATTAAAGATTAAGATTAAAGAAATTTAAAGAAATGGAAATTTGATTTTAAAAGGGGAAACTTTAAAGTTATATGATATTAAGATTAAAGGATTAGGTTTAAAAAAGTTGAAGTTATATATTTTAACATTTTATTAAATTAAAGATTGGGATTAAAAAAGTGGAAAAGAAACTGCTGGACAAATAATGTGGATTGGAATACAAAGAGGGAGGTATGAGGAAGTCCAGAAAATAAGTAACTTAAAATTGGAAATGGAAAAGAGAGTTTGTTTTTAATTGTTTTGTGTTTATATTGTTAAGTTTTGTATTTTTTGTGTGTGTGTTGTTTTTCTTTTTTTGTTGTTTAAAACTTTAATAAAAAAATTATTTAAAAAAAATAAAAAATAAAATAAAATACATAGCTGGACTTGTTTCAATTAATGTCTGCAGGAGACTTTGTGGATATTTAAGTTATAATTAGAAAAATCTTAATAATTATTCATAAAGGAAACAGCTTATAAGAAGTAAATAAGGAGGCCAAATATAGGATAAAGGAAGTCTTTTATTTGGTTGTTTGTACTGTTGTATGTTATGCTTATTGTATGTTATGTTTACGTTTAATGAGGGTGGATTTCTGTATTGGGCTTGTGGGGGGTTTATGTTATGTTGTAAAATTTCCAATAATTTTTTAAAAAAAGAATGGTGTTTCAGGGAATCACAGAATCTTAGAATTTTAGAGTTGGGTGGGACCCTATGGGTCATCTATCCCAACCCCTTGCAATGCAAGAAGCATCTCAAATATCATTTAATCCTGGGGTTTTAATGTCTGGGGTGAGTGGTGACTCTAGATGGGAGGAAATGTCCACTTTTCCCTACTTACAACTAATTATACCATCGTAGCTTGGAAGTCAAATGGAATCCATTCCGGAAGTCTGGTTCAACTTCCAAAATGTTCGGAAACCAAAGCGCAGCTTCTGATTGGCTGCAGGAAGCCATGGAAGCCCCATTGGACTTTCAGCTTCCGAAAATAGTTCGAAAACCGGAACACTCACTTCCGGTTTTTGATTGCTTGGGAGTTGGAACGTTCGACTCCCAAGGCGTTCGGGAGCCAAGGTACGACTGTATACAGTGGTACCTCGGGTTACATACGCTTCAGGTTACATACGCTTCAGGTTACAGACTCCGCTAACCCAGAAATAGTGCTTCAGGTTAACAACTTTGCTTCAGGATGAGGACAGAAATTGTGCTCTGGTGGCGCAGCAGCAGAGGGAGACCCTATTAGCTAAAGTGGTGCTTCAGGTTAAGAACAGTTTCAGGTTAAGAACGGACCTCCGGAACGAATTAACTACTTAACCCGAGGTACCACTGTATATATTTTATTTTTCTTCCCTTTGTTAACTGGTTCTGTCACCCAGGAGAAATGTATAAAATAGGACCCATTTCTACTTTTGGACAGTTCACTGATCTTTAGATAGCCAAAGTCCAGTTGCAGGAACTCATGAATGATGAATGAAACTTTTTTTGCGTCAGCCATCAGCCATAGCAGCAAAAGAACATTGCAATATACACAGCACAAAAAGTCAGTGATAGAAAAAACGGTTTAGGGTCCAGAATCAGCAGTCAAAGAGTGGATCTTATTCTGATTGCCCCAGAGTAAGATCTTTGGTTGGGACCTCATGAACAAGGCTGCTCTTAAGCTCTCTTAGCTTGGACAAAAGGTAAAGGTAAAGGGACCCCTGACCATTAGGTCCAGCCGTGGCCGACTCTGGGGTTGCGGCACTCATCTCTTTTTACTGGCCGAGGGAGCCGGCGTACAGCTTCCAGGTCATCTGGCCAGCATGACAGCCGCTTCTGGCGAACCAGAGCAGTGCACGGAAACGCCGTTTACCTTCCCGCAGGAGTGGTACCTATTTATCTACTTGCACTTTGACGTTCTTTCAAATTGCTAGGTTGGCAGGAGCAGGGACCGAGCAACGGGAGCTCACCCCGTCGCCGGGATTCAAACCGCCGACCTTCTGATCGGCAAGCCCTAGGCTCTGTGGTTTAACCCACAGCGCCACCCGTGTCCCTAGCTTGGACAAACCAGTACATAATGGGGCAAATCTTCAGGCGCAGGTTATTCCTGACCCAAATTAATGGTCTGTTGCTGGTGTCTCTCTTCCCACATGCAGGGCTCTGGGATTCCGGGCGGATCTCCCATCGCTACGCCTCCGATGGCCACCCCGGTCACTGGCCACAAGCGCATGGTCATCCCAAACCAGCCTCCCCTGACGGCCACCAAGAAATCGGCATCCAAGCCTGGCTCTCAGCCCATCCCGGTGACCCCAGTCGGCACCTTGAAACCTCAGCCGGTTCCGGCGTCTTACAGCACGGCTTCCACCCCGAACCGCCCGACCTTCAATGTGCAAGTGAAGTCGGCCCAGCCGGCCCCCCACTTCCAGCCACCAGCCCCCCAGTATAGCAGTCTGGCCCCCAGCCAAGCGGCTCAACCCGCGTCTTCTCTGGGTCCAGGGCCCTACGTGCCGTCTCAGCCCCGGGCCGCGGATTATGGCTACGCGCCCCAAACCGCCCCTCACCCAGAGCCAAGCTATGGGTACGGGAGCCCCCAGGGCCGCTACCAAGAGCCGGCCTACCCCGGAGGCTACGGAGGGAGGACTGGCTCAGATCCATCCTACATGCCGCAAAATGCCTGGAAGCCGGAGGCGACATACCCTTCTCCCGGGTCTGCGGCCCTGAATCCCACAGGGCAGTACCCGTCGTCTGGAGCCAAGAAAACCTATATCACGGAACCGGCCACCGGGCCTCAGCCCCCTCTGCTGCAGCCAAAGGTAAGAGGCAGCGTCCGACCCTGGCGATGGGTGTGGGAAATGGGGAAGGGCATGGGTCTTGATTCCCACGGGCAGGTGGAGCTGGTTATTGCATTTCTGTACAGTCATACCTCATGTTACGTCCGCTTCATGTTACATTCTTTCAAGTTATTTCCCGCGGCGACCCGGAAGTACCAGAAAGGGTTACGTCCAGGTTTCGCCACTCGCGCATGTGCAGACGCACAAAATGACGTCACACGCATGTGCAGAAGCAGCGAATCGCAACCCGTGTGTGTGCAAACATGCCGCTGAGTGTTGCGCTCTTTTCATGTTGTGAATGGGCCTCCAGAATGGATCCCGTTCGCAACCAGAGGTACCACTGTATTTCGCTTCACACATTCAGAGGCGCCCCAAAGCGATTCGCAAGAAGACAGCGTGACGTGTGAAACACCTTCGGATAATTAGTAATACAGCAGTTGTTATTTATTTATTTGTTGACTTATTTCGTGAAATTTATAGGCCGCTTGATCTCAGAACCCTCGAAGCAGTTCACAAGGAAAGACAACACAATCCAATTATCAACAGGGAGAATTAGCGACAACAATGCAAAAAGTTAAGATAACAATAGACTAAAAACAGATTTAGGACTTTCATCAACTGTCTAAGCATCTAGGTAGGCTTGTCTAAACAGGAATGGTTTCAGCAGGTTTCTGAAAAGAGTGCAGTGAAGGCACTTCCCTGATGTCAATAGGCAGGGAGTTCCAAAGTCTGGGAGTTGCCACACAAAATGGCTAAGTTCTTACAAATGTGGAACATATGCGGCCCCTGTAGAGGTACAAATTCCACCGACTGAAGCGGTCAAGGGGGCAAATGTTGGGTGAGATGATATCGTAGGCAAACTGGTCCTGAGTTGCTAAGAGCTTCATATACTAATAACAGCATCTTGATCTTGATCTGGTAGCAAATCACCAAGCCATGCAGATCTCTGAGCAGGAGCGCTATATGCCTGTCAGCCCTCCCTCCTCTCAGCAAATGTGCTGCGGCATCCTGCCCGAACTGCAGCTTCTGGTTCAAGCACAAAGGAAGCCCCACGCACAAATCCAAACATGCAAATACAAAATATTAAAAGAAAAGTAATCTGAAAGAGCTCCAAATATCCACAGTTGGAGGCAGCAGTGCTTTTCAGGACCAGGAAACCACAGGGCAGGAGTCTGCTCTTGCGTGTGAACCCTGCTTGTGGGTTTCCTGCAGGCAACTTTTTGGCCTTTTTGAGAGCAGGATGCTGGACTAGATGGGCCTCTGGCCTGATCCAGCAGCTGCTCTTCTTATGTTCCTAACCCATGGTCCATATATAAAGCGAACCCCTTCCACTTCTACACTTCTATGATTCTAGAAGATTTACAAGTGGGATAAACTTTGGAGAGCCCATCCTATTCTGCGCAAACAAAGCCGCCAGCAAGTCTTGCTATATGATTTAGGACCAGGTGTGGCTGTGTGTTGCTTTTACCCTTGCAAACATTGTTTTCGGAAGACGCGCTTTGCCTGCCCTTTGGCAAATCAGGGATTTCCATGTCCGTCTTAAGCACTTGCAGTCACCCCCATCTAACCAGCAGCATTTCGGTGTGCAAATTGGAATTTCCATTTCCACCTTCGCAGGCTGAAAACATGTTGCTCCTTTGATGCCACCGTGAAAATGTGTTTTGTATGTGCGGGTGATATGCATAACATCAACACTGGGAGGGGAAGGGGTTTTTTTGCAGACCAGGTGCACACACCTTGCATGCACCGAATCATCACCTTGCCATGTGTCCCGGAGTGTCATCCTGCTCCCCTGTGCCTCTGCTGTGCTTGCTGTCCTTCACTGGAGGCTTTTAAGCAGAGGTTAGATGACCACATTAGGGATTCCTTAGTGGTGATTCCTGCGTTGTGGGGTTAGACTAGATGGCCCTTGGGAACCCCTTCCAACTCTACAATCCCATGACTCTGTGCACAGGGTTGCTGGAGCTCTGCAAACAATCCAGCCTGCATGAACAAAAGGCCTTAGTCGGTCCATGGGAGGTGCTAAGCAAACTTCTGGTTCCAGGTCAAAGGGTTGCATCTAAAGTTTTGACTGTGGCTTTCCCAATGGGGCAGCACCCCCTCAGAATTGATTTTGGATTTCTCCTCCTCTTGAGGAATGCTTAAGCAGCTCTGATGATGCTTAACACGGGGTTGCCTGCGCTTCAAGCAGATAATTCAGCTAATTAACTCAGTGTGTTCCTGGAGCAGGCGAGGGCAGAACCTCTTCGAGAACAGCAAGACAGCAACTGAACCCCGCAGCTTTGAAGTGCAACCTTCCAGACCCTTGATCATCTCAGTTGCCCTCCTCTGCACACCTTCCAGCTTGACAACATCCTTCTTAAATTGTGGTGCCCAGAATTGGACACAGTATTCCAGGTGTGGTCTGACCAAAGCAGAATAGAGTGGGACAATTATTTTCCTTGATCTGGACACTAGACTTCTGTTGATGCAGCCTAGAATAGCATTAGCTTTTTTTGTGGGTTGTTTGTGGGCTAGCAATGTACTGCACATGAATGTGCAAGAGGCCCAGTACCTGGATGCTCCTTTTTTATTCCTCTTAACTTAACTTTGGGACAAGCCTTCTTTGGATTCATCTTTCCAGTTAGCTGAGGAATCAGGAGTGGTCTAGTTGGAGCCACAAGCCCTAGAAGAACTCTCTGAAGAGTCATTGTTAGTTTTCTTTGATTCTTACATTTTTCATATGGATGCAGATATAAAATCTAATATTTCCTGCCCTCCTTCTTGAGGCTCCAAGCAGCTGACAGACAATGTTGTTGTTGTTGTTTAGCCGTTTAGTCATGTCCAACTCTTCGTGACACCATGGACCAGAGCATGCCAGGCACTTCTGTCTTCCACTGCCTCCCGCAGTTTGGTCAAACTCATGCTGGTAGCTTCGAGAACACTGTCCCACCATCTCGTCCTCCATCGTCCCCTTCTCCTTGTGCCCTCCATCTTTCCCAACATCAGGGTCTTTTCCAGGGAGTCTTCTCTTCTCATGAGGTGGCCAAAGTCTTGGAGCCTCAGCTTCACGATCTGTCCTTCCAGTGAGCACTCAGGGCTGATTTCCTTCAGAATGGAGAGGTTTGATCTTCTTGCAGTCCATGGGACTCTCAAGAGTCTCCTCCAGCACCAGAATTCAAAAGCATCCATTCTTCGGCCATCAGCCTTCTTTACGGTCCAGCTCTCACTTCCATACATCACTACTGGGAAAACCATAGCTTTAACTATACGGACCTTTGTTGGCAAGATGTTGTCTCTGCTTTTTAAGATGCTGACAGACAATAGCCTGCATCAAAACTGTTTCTGCTGCAAATTTCTAATAAATCTCTTTCCTCTACAGCAAATCGTCTTTGTTCAGCAGTTCAGCTGCCAACTTCCTTTGCCTTGGACAGATTCAGAGAGGAGAGGGCCATTGGTGGCTAGTAGCCACGATGGCTATGGTCTGCCTCCACATTTGGAGGAAGCAATGCTTTTGAGTCCTAGTTGCTGGTAATGGCAGGAGGGCTCTTGTGCAAGTGAGCAGACAAACCTGTTGGCCAGCATTCTGCCAAGATGCTCTTGCATTTCTGATGCCCCCAAAGGGGCAGAGGAAAGAGGGCATCTGGCCTTGCAGATTCTGATTGCTTTTTAGAGCCGACGTTACCGAAAACCAGACATTTTCAGAAGGCATTTCCTTGCATAACGAAGCCGTAATAACGGGGAGTGTTTGTCTTGTGGGCCTTATTAGGCCCCTTCCGTTCGATGCGCACAAGCCATGATTTGTTTTTCCACTTTCCTTTCGGAAGCCTTGTTACCGAGCTGTGCAAAGCGTACCTCCTCTCATTTCCCTAGCAATGCCAGCACCTCTCGCCGAAGCCTGCAATTAGACGCTTTGCAGAATAATAGGGCTAAAAGGGGAATGGCAGGATCTTGTCTGCGGCCTCCAAACCGACCCCATTTGTATAAAATTATACGGGAACACAAAAGATTAAGCGCTCGCTCCGGTGCGCGGATGCGCCCTCTCAGACCAGCCGCTGCTCACGGTCTTTTTTTGGTAACAGAACACTTTGTACTTTGGAGATAATTGACTGTGGAATATAACATTGTTTATTCAAAAGCAGGTCACGCAGAAGAGAGCCTCTTGCCACGCTCCTGCCTTGCACCTTGCCTTTGATGCCCATGCAAATTCATGAGCATGTGTGCCTCTGTACAGCCTAATATATAGAGAAATATATATATTGTTTTAAATCACACATGTGATTCAATTTCAGCCTAAGCTGGGTTTGCAGTAAGGTGGTGCCCAGTGCTTTTTTTTCTGGGGGTACGCATACCCCTAAACATTTTGTGAACCTTTGTACAGTACTTTGTCCATTTACTGTATTTATATCCCCGAGTTGAACTAGAAAATGGTGGTTTTCTTGAGTCAAAATGAGAGTAAGGTAAAGGGACCCCTGACCATTAGGTCCAGTCATGGCCGACTCTGGGGTTGCGGCGCTCATCTCGCTTTATTGGCCGAGGGAGCCGGTGTACAGCTTCCGGGTCATGTGGCCGGCATTACTAAGCCACTTCTGGCGAACCAGAGCAGCGCACGGAAACGCTGTTTACCTTCCCGCTGGAGCGGTACCTATTGATCTACTTGCACTTTGACGTGCTTTCGAACTGCTAGGTTGGCAGGAGCAGGGAACGAGCAACGGGAGCTCACCCCGTCGCGGGGATTCGAACCGCCGACCTTCTGATCGGCAAGTCCTAGGCTCTGTGGTTTAACCCACAGTGCCACCCGTGTCCCTCAAAATGAGAGTACCCCTGAACATTTTTTTAAGAAAAAAAGCACTGGCAATGCCTCTCCCTCTGCTAAACTGCGATGTTCAGGGTGGGAGCCTAGAAGCTGGTCTGGTCACCATCAAAGTAAATTTGTCTGGTTTTTAGGTTGTATTCTAACCTGCGCATTGTTTGAGGAAGTGGGACACAAAGTAGAACAAACACAGAAAAAGACCTAGTGGCTTCGATGCTTTGCAACATCAGAGTGAGACCTTGCCTGAGGCTTCACGGCAACCTGCAAGCGAGCTGCTACCTGGCGCCTGAGACTTCACCTGCCATTGTAGTAACATAAGAAAGGCCTGCTGGGTCAGGCCAGTGGCCCATCTAGTCCAACATCTTGTTCTCACAGGGGCCAATGCAGATCCCCACATTGGGAAACCCCCAAGCAGCATTCACACACACAATCAATTCTCCCCTCCTGTGGTGTCCAACAACTGGGATTCAGAAGCAACTGGGATTCAGAGCAGAGGCATCCTGGCTCATAGCCATAGCTGTCAACCGTCCCTTATTTGGGGGGAAACTCCCTTATCCCAGTGCCGTGTCCCACTGCTGTCCCTTATTGATGATGTCCCTTAAATTTCCCGGGTTTCAAAGGAAGCAGCTCCTTTGCCAGCCAGGGAGGGGGGAGGCTCCAACTGTGTTTCTTGGCTGCCCGCCCCGCCCCCCTCCGGCCTCCTCTCACCAGCCTCGGCCCCCGGGAGCCCCTCCCCGCTGGGACTTAGGAGCCTTGAGAGGAGAGTGAGGGCAACCATAGAGAAAGCAGTTCAGAGAGAGGAGGAGGAGGCAGGTGTTCCAAGGGCTAACCATAGAGGGGGAAAGCAGAGGAAGGACCGCAAGCGCTTCTCCCATAGATTTGTAGTGGTAGACTAGCATAGATGGTCTGATCTGCGGGTTTACAGTGGTGCCTCGCAAGACGAAATTAATCCGTTCCGCGAGTATCTTCATCTAGCGTTTTTTTCGTCTTGCGAAGCAACCCTATTAGCGGATTAGCGCTATTAGCGGTTTAGCGGCTATTAAAGGCTTAGCGGCTTAGCGGATTAGCTGCTAAAAGGCTATTAAAGGCTTAGCGGCTTAGAAAGGGGGGGGAGCGGAAAAAAAATCTCAAGACTCGCAAGACATTTTCGTCTTGCAAAGCAAGCCCATAGGGAAATTCGTCCTGCGAAGCGCATTGAAAACGGAAAACCCCTTCGTCTAGCGGGTTTTCCGTCTTGCGAGGCATTCGTCTTGCGGGGCACCACTGTACTTCGAGCGCTATTTCCGGCCCCACCTGATGGAATTGAGAGCTGCAGATGGAGCACGAGAGAAAAGATACAGAACTGCAGCAGCATCTTCATAGCGTGGACTTCGTTTTGCGCGAAAAGTGGTTGCTGCTTGTAGTTATTTAATTGCAGTGTTTCATCGGCTGGTGTCTTGAGCAGCAACCTCTGGAAACAAAGGGCTAAAAACCGGCGCTGCTCCCCCAAATTATCTGGTCCCTTTTAACTTCGTATTTCAGCTGGTTGACTAAAATCCCTTATTTTGGCTGCTGATCCCTTATTTTCGAGGCTTCTGGTCCCTTATTTTCAAATCTGTACGTTGACAGCTATGCTCATAGCGGCTGATAAGTTTTTTCCTCCTCCATGAATTTGTCTCATGCTCTTCTCAAGCCTTCCAGGTTGATGCTGGCACCACTGCCTCCTGGGGAAGTGAGTTCCACGGTTTACCGTATTTTTCGCTCCATAAGATGCACTTTTTTCCTCCTAAAAAGTCAGGGGGAATGTCTGTGCGTCTTATGGAGTGAATGTCTGGTCGATCGCTGGCTCCCTTTCTGGCCCCTAGCCCAGGCCTCCATTGTTGAATGTTCTGCACGTGACTGGCTGATTAGATTATCTGTCTGGAAACTGTAGAAACGGCTCCCGTTCCTTTCCTAAAGAATCTGCAAAACTGTGAGTTGAACCATATAAAAGCAGGATTTTTTCCCTTAGCAAAGTAAGCTCCACAACTTTGATCTGATCCTTTAAAAAACGGGGCTTTTCCCCTTTGCAAAAGAAGCTGCACAACTGTGAGCTGATCCTCAAAAAAACGGGGCTTTCCCCCTTTTCTCCTGTAAAAACGAGGTGTGTCTTATGGTCAGGTGCGCCTTATAGAGCAAAAAATACAGTAACTATGCTCTACACGAATAATTCCTGTCTGTTGTCTGTCATGAGTATTCCAGCATTCGGCATCACTGGACGTCCACAAATTCTAGTGTTAACGAGAAAAAACTTCTCTCTCTGCACTTTCTTCTTGCTAATACAGTCCGTCAGGCTGGCAAGTACCGCAGAGAGGGACTTCTCTGTTTTGAACCCATCATTATGGAGCTTCCTTCTTTGGGAAGTTCTTGGCAGCCTTATTGACTGCTTTCAAATTGCCTCTTGTTTCTATCCACTTTTAACTGATTAATCTGAAGCTGGTCCAGAGTTTCTAGGTGCAAATAAAGCACCAGCGCTGGTTTTTCCCTGCTATTTTCCCCTTTATCTTATTTTTTTTCTGTTTTACTGCTGGATTTTCAGTTGAACTGTTGTCGTTGTTGTGTGTGTTTCACCCTTTTAATCTACCTTGTTGCGTGAGCTGCCTCAAGAGGGCTGGGTGCCCTATGAAAAGGAGTATATAAAAAATTAAATTAGCTTAAGGAAGAATTTGAATTGTTCTCTAGACAGTGCCCACTATAAACATCCGTGTCTTGCATACTTTTGGATCTGTTGGCTGGGTAGTAGACCTGCATTTGAGTAAGTCCAAAAGGCCAATATTTGAGGTTCCTATTGAAAACAAGGAATATTCTGCTCGGTATATTTTTTTTTCCAGTTATCCATGCAACAACCCTGCAAGGTAGGGACTATTATTGCCAAGTTGCATTGGCAGGGGGAGGAGCAGGCTGCTTCTGGGCAACTGATGAGTTGCTTGGGGAGAGATCTCAACTGGGGCATCCGCCGTGGATTTCCATCCTTTCAGTGACAGAACTGGCAAAACTGCAGCCCCCCCTGGGGAAAGCCAGACTCTTCTCATTATCCAACCTAAGGTAAAGGTAAAGGGACCCCTGACCATTAGGTCCAGTCGTGGCCGACTCTGGGGTTGTGGCGCTCATCTCACTTTATTGGCCGAGGGAGCCGGCGTACAGCTTCCGGGTCATGTGACCAGCATGACTAAGCCGCTTCTGGCAAACCAGAGCAGCGCACGGAAATGCCGTTTACCTTCCCGCCAGAGCAGTACCTATTTATCTACTTGCACTTTGACGTGCTTTCGAACTGCTAGGTTGGCAGGAGCAGGGACCGAGCAATGGGAGCTCACCCCGTCGCGGGGATTCAAACCGCCGACCTTCTGATCGGCAAGTCCTAGGCTCTGTGGTTTAACCCACAGTGCCACCTGCATCCCATTATCCAACCTATCCTATTATTATTATTATTATTATTATTATTATTATTATTATTATTATTATTATTTTGCCCATTTTAACGCTTCCAGGCCATTGCCATCATGCCCCTTTTGGGTATGATAAAATGTTAAAAGCCCCAGTTAAACAGAGAAGGGAATTGATCAAAGCATTGAAGGTTTTGGAGGTCTTTTAATTTCTGGGGTGGTTCCCCCCCCTCTTTTCCCCCACCCCAGTCTCCAGGAGCGATGGCAGCTTCTGCAAAATTATTTATCTTCTATTTTAGACCTTGGATAGTGACTCATTGTGCCCTGGAAATGTAATGGCTGTATTTCTCTCTCTCCCTCTCTCTGTTTCTCCCTTTATTTTTCAAGCGGCGGCTCAGCTCAGCGTTAGAGGCCTGGGCACTTACAAGCCAAGGCGCCCGTCAGAGTCAGCCCGGTGCTCTAAAAATACAATATTTGCTTTTACCTTTTAGCTGTCAACAAGTTTTCCTTCCATCCTGTCTGTGTCACACACGCACGCACGCAAATAGCAAGTCGGCGGGGGGGGGGGGAGTGGCCTCTTAAGAAGCGGATCCAGAAAATTTGCCCAGAGGGGAAGCTTTTTGGAAGATGGTCTTTCTTCTCGTATGGCAACACAGATGCTGCAATATTCTCCCCGGTGCTTGGATCCTGCTGCAGAAACCCAATGCTGCCTCTTGAAGATAAGTGTTCAAAAGAGGTGACCCTCCCTTGGGCAGACAGTGCACATGTCAAGCACTGTGATGCCCCTTCACTCTCATGACTGCTCCCAAAGAATCCTGGAAACTGTAGTTTGTTGTAGGCGGAGAGTTGTTTGGAGAACCCCCTACCATTCCCAGGAGATTTAACAATCAAGCCTTCTTCCTGGGGAACTTTGGGAATTGTAGCTCTCTGGGGGAGGGGATAAGGCGTCTCCGAACACCTCGCAGCATTCTTGGAAAACTACAGTTCCCACATTTGTCTCTCAACCCATTATTGAGCTGCACGGGGGTGTCTTCCACTAGCACCAAACTCATAATAATAATAATAATAATAATAATAATAATTTATACTTTGCCCAACTGGCTGAGTTTCCCCAGCCCCTCTGGGCGGCTTCCAATCAAGTGTTAAAAACAATACAGCATTAAATATTAAAAACTTCCCTAAACAGGGCTGCCTTCCCATGTCTTTTAAAAAGAAGATAGCTGCTTATTTCTTCACATCTGAAGGGAGGGCGTTCCACAGGGCGGGCGCCACCACCGAGAAGGCCCTCTGCCTGGTTCCCTGTAACCTTACTTCTCGCAATGAGGGAACCGCCAGAAGGCCCTCGGTGCTGGATCTCAGTGTTCGGGCTGAACGTGGCCCCGTGACAGTGCAAATCCGACAAGCAGAGTTTAAAACCCAACAAATGTCTTCACTTCTTGCTCTCTCTTGGTTGAGAAAATGCCCCCGTCTTTCCCCAAAGGACTCGTGAATCTTGCTTGGGGCTTCCTCTCTCTGTTTGTACGTAACATTTGCGTGTCGGTACGAAGGAAAGGAACAGGTGAGGCAGTGGGGGGAGATAGGCATCAGAACATCCAGCAGGATCAGGCCTGTGGTCCATTTAGACCAGCATCCTCTTCTCACAGGAAAACCCACAAGCAAGAGAGAAATTCTCCTCTCCTGGGGTTTCCAGCAACTACAATCCGGAAGCATTTCTGCCTCCAACTGTGGAGCCATCCTGACTAGTAGCCATTGATAGCTCTCTCCTCCTCCATGATTTTATCTAATCCTCTTTTATAGCCGTCTAGGTTGGTGGTCATCGTGGCCTCCTGTGGCAAGGAGTTCCACGGTTCAACTCTGCGCTGTGTGAAGAAGGACTTTCCTTTTACCCGTCCTAAATCTTCCAACCTTTATTATAATAAAATAATATTTTTTTATTTATACCCCGCCCTTCCCGGTTCTGAAAACCGGGCTCAGGGCAGCTAACAACAAATTTAAAACACTTACCGGTAATTGATGCAACAAAAAACAGCATAAAATACAGTATAAAACTTGAATAACAATAAAGTCAGAATTCAAAAATCAATTTGGGGGGAAATCCATCCAGTAAACATTAGATGTTCATCCATGCATTATTGGACGTCCACTTTTCTGGGGCCATGTATAATTTTTATGAACTTCTATTAGGTCTCCTCTGAATTGTTTGCCCTCTAAACTAATGGCTTCTTTGGTCATTCTAAGAAATCATTAAGGTAAGGGCTGTTCAGTCTTATTCGTGTCCGTGCAATATTTGTGGGTACCTGAAAGAGGAAGGAACCATTTTCAGCCGTCAGGGACATCCATGCAAAGTCCTCCTTTCCTAACCTGTTTTACCCTCATTTCTTGGGGCCACCAGTAAAGGAAGGTGTTGATTTTAGAAAACCTCCCCAGCTATTCTTGGTGGTGGGTTTTAGCCGCTGCACGCCTTAGCGGCTTCCGGGAAGAGGAACCCACAGCAAGAGCAAATTGTTGACCTTTACGAAACCAAACTTTGAGTTTTGTTTATTGTACGTTTTTATCCGTTCCCCTGGGTGCCTCTCTCTTTTTAATGCTTGCTAATCAGAGATTGTGGATCATTCAGCAAAATGGCACCACAGGGCATCGCGTGGCATTAGAGGGAGCTTAGAGCAAGCTGCCTGAACCTCGGCCCTCCAGATGTTTTGAGACTACAATTCCCATCATCCCTGACCACTGGTCCTGCTAGATAGGGAGGTCCTCTGGCTGGGACGGGGCGATATGGGATTGAGGGGGCAACTCCCATCTCTTGCGGGGGTGCAATTAGTGCCAGCATCGTCCGTTAAGAGTTTGGGTGTAATCTTCGATACCTCCCTCTCTATGGAGGTGCAGATTACAGCTATAACAAAGGGAGCATTTTTTCATCTCTGCCAAGCTAAGCAGTTGGCCCCTTATCTCTATTGCCCTGACCTAGCCACTGTGATCCACGTGACGGTCACCTCCAGACTGGATTATTGTAACTCGCTCTACGTGGGGCTGCCCTTGAGACTGACCCAGAAACTCCAGCGGGTGCAGAATGCTGCAGCGAGACTCCTTATGGGGTCTTCGCTGCGAGATCACATTCACCTGGTGCTATACCAGCTGCACTGGCTCCCGGTGGAGTACAGGATCAGGTTTAAGGTGCTGGTTTTGACCTTTAAAGCCCTATATGGCCTAGGACCCTTGTACCTACTGGACCGCCTCTCCTGGTATGTCCCACAGAGAAATTTACGGTCTTCAAATAAAAACATGCTGAAGATCCCAGGCCACAGAGAGGTTAGGCTGGCCTCAACCAGAGCCAGGGCTTTTTCGGTCGTGGCTCCGATCTGGTGGAACACTCTGTCCCAAGAGACTAGAGCCCTGCGGGACTTGACATCTTTCCGCAGGGCCTGCAAGACAGAGCTGTTCCACCAGGCCTTTGGTCAGGGCGCAGCCTGACTCCCTCCTCTGGCAATCTGCACAGAATTTTGCTTAATGGTTGCCATCAATTTGATTTTAATGAATTTTATAATGAATGTTTTTAGAATGTTGGATTATTTTGATTGTTGTTAGCTGCCCTGAGCCCAGCTTCAGCTGGGCAGGGCGGGATATAAATAAAATTTATTATTATTATCATGGGAGTTGTAGCCCCAAAACATCTGGAGGGTTGAGGAAGCCTGGCTTAGAGTATCCGAAGTCTCCATCAGATGAACCAGCAAAGGTAGGACCAAAGGTTGCCCGGTGAGAGAAGATGGAGAATACTGGAACGGCCGTCCTAAGGATTTCCTGTCCGTAACTGGAACATAGGAAAATTCCTTGAACTGAGACAGAACAGGATAATAGCCCTGTGGCTGAATCAGGCCAAAGGCACATCTAGGCTGCCCTGTTTAGGGAAGTATTTAATAATAATAATAATAATTTATTATTTATACCCCGCCCATCTGGCTGGGTTCCCCCAGCCACTCTGGGTGGCTTCCAACAGAACACTAAAATACAATAACCTATTAAACATTAAAAGCTTCCCTAAACAGGGCTTCCTTCAGATGTCTTCTAAAAGTCTGGTAGTTGTTCTTCTCTTTGACATCTGGTAGGAGGGCATTCCACAGGGCGGGTGCCACCACCGATAAGTCCCTCTGCCTGGTTTCCTGTAACTTGGCTTCTCGCAGCGAGGGAACCACCAGAAGGCCCTCGGCACTGGACCTTTAATGTTTGATGTTTTATTGTGTTTTTACTATTCTGTTGTTGTTGTTATTCACATGGCAGCTGCAGTGTCCTGTTTCCCTAACAATTAGTTTCTGAATTATGTTTGTTCTTTCACATCATGTAAAAGCCAGTTCTGGAAAACAAATCGAATATCGGACTTTATAGTGGCAAGCTGCAAGATAGTTAAAGGTCTGGCAACCAAGCCTTATAAGAAACCGTTGAGGGAGTTGGGCCTGTTTAGCTTGGAGAAGAGGAGACTGGGAGGAGAGATGAGGTGATACCAAACTGGGAAGGGTAGCTAATGCTGTCGAAGACAGAATTGGGATTCAAGGTGACCTTAAAAGATTGGAGAACTGGGCGCAAGCTAACGAAATGAATTTCTGAAGAAGTGTGCATGCACACAAAAGCTCATACCAACGACAAACTTACTTGGTCTCTAAGGTGCTACTGGAAGGAATTTTTTTATTTTGTTTCCACTATGACAGACCAACACGGCTACCTACCTGTAACTAATAGGGAGCAAGTTAAGGTTCTGCATTTAGGCGGGAAGAACCAGATGCACAAATATAGGACGGGGGACACCTGGCTTACTAGCAGTACATGTGAAAAGGGTCTAAGGGTCTTCGTGGACCAGAAGCTTGACAGGGGCCAACAGGGTGATGCAGCAGCAAAAAAAGTGAATGCTATTCTAGGCTGCATCAACAGAAGTTGAGTGTCCAGGCCAAGGGAAGTAATAGGTAAAGGTAAAGGGACCCCTGACCGTTAGGTCCAGTCGTGGCCGACTCTGGGGTTATGGTGCTCATCTTGCTTTATTGGCCGAGGGAGCTGGCGTACAGCTTCCGTGTCATGCGGCCAGCATGACAAAGCCGCTTCTGGCAAACCAGAGCAGTGCACGGAAACGCCGTTTACCTTCCTGCCAGAGCGGTACCTATTTATCTACTTGCACTTTGACGTGCTTTTGAACTGCTAGGTTAGCAGGAGCAGGGACCGAGCAACGGGAGCTCACCCTGTCACGGGGATTCGAACCAGCGACCTTCTGATCGGCAAGTCCTAGGCTCTGCGGTTTAACCCACAGCGCCACCCACATCCTAAGGGAAGTAATAGTCCCCCCTCTATTCTGCCGTGATCAGACCACACTTGGAATACTTTGTTGAATTCTGGGCTCCACAAATTAAGAAGGATGTTGACATGAGAAGAACGGTGCCTGTAGCTCTTATCTCATATCTCAGGTTTTACAAGTGCCGTAAACTTGCTATTTTAAAAAAAGAATGGAGGATGGGAATCGGGGGTTTTTGATTCATGTGGAAAATTTAAAATGGATCTTGCGCCTTCCTGGCAGGGTGGGGTCTCCTGGGGTAGCCCTTACTGTATTCCTTGCTGCCTCTAAGCCCTGTGTGGTCAGAACCGGACCGCTCTCTTAAATATGTGGTCTAAAACCATTTAGGCAACAGCTAAACGAGACAGACCAGAAGTGACGCAGGAACAGAATTTTGTCTGATGCTGTTAAATGCCCGGGCCTGTTCCCTTAACAGGGCCAGACAGTGAGGAATTAAAATAAATAAGTGTGTTAATTTTGAAAGCTCCCGAGGTGTGCTTCAGCCATGAGGACGGAGGGCTCTCCCGGGCCTGTCGGAGCCTTTCAGGGAAGCTCTCCATCTTCTCGGATGCTGCGCGCCTCATTAATAAACATTAGCCTGGCAGTTAAAAGAAGGGCGCTATCTACATTTAATGAACTCTGGGATGGGCTTGGGAGACGCAACACATCGATAAGGTGTCAGCAGCCCTGACGCGAGACAAGTTCATCTGGGGGCTCACATGCCAGCCCAAAGTCCGGGAGGCAATACTAGGTAAGTGACTAGGCAGAGCTGTTGACACACAGACACACCCACCCCTCCAATTATAAGGGGAAAAAATACCCCAGTATTGGTGGCCGATGATGAACCATTTTCCAGTGACTAAACTGAATTCCTTGTTGCATTTCCTGTAATTGCAGTCTGCGTTGCATGGGTGTGAGCACGTAGGGGAAACAAATTATTTTCTTAAGGAAATAAAAAGCCTGCAGACTTTTGAGTTCAAGCTGCTAGGTAAATCATTTCTTCTTCTTTTTTTAAGGAGAAGGCGGCAGCCCTGAGTTTTCAGTTTCCTTCTTGAAACAGGGATAAACATCTGCAAAAATAAGTTTTGTCCTGCAGGTTTGGGAGGTCAGTCTACATGATGGCCGGAGCTCCTTCCCATTCTTGCGGTCCTGTATTAGCAAAGGTCAGACTCTAACAGATGATTCTACTGGTGAACTGGTCAAATAAGAGTCTTTGTAAGTCAAGGGCCTTAGCTGGTCACTTGAGTGTCCTCATCAGCATCCCAAAGGAATAAGCTGGGTTGCAAGAGCTACAACTGATAGGTGAGGGGATGGAGGAAGGAGCCACCTGTCTACTAGGTAGGAGAATAGCCAGTCAGGAAGCAAGCAGGAAGCCGGAGACACAGAGATCTGCTCGCTCTGTGCTGGATCCCAAGCTGCGATTAATGGATTTGCAAGATCTGTTGCAGTGTTGATGCTGTGAGCCTCTCCATCCTATGCTCAGGTTGTATGTATGTGCAAATAAATGTCATAAAAGCAGCACAGTCGCTAGTGACCAAGATGATCAAGGGTTTGGAGATGGCTGAGGGAGCTGAGTTTGCCTGGGAAAGAGGGGCCAGAGGGAAGAGCCATCTTCAAATATCCCATAGAAGAGGGAGCGGCACAGCAGCAGCGGGAAGCCCCATTAGCTAAAGTGGTGCTTCAGGTTAAGAACAGTTTCAGGTTAAGAACAGACCTCCAGAACGATTTAAGTACGTAACCAGAGGTACCACTGTATATACTAAGAGCAATACCACAGAATTGGCCCTGCAGCAAACAGGCAACCAGTATGGATCTCTGAGCACCTGCTTGCGGCCAAGGTCTCGGCTCGGTCAGCAATCGTGCTGCAGCGTTCTGCGGCGAGTTGGTTTTTTTTAGGAAAAAAGAAGACGAGCTTTCCAAGAGTCAGCCGGCGCAGAGATGCAAAGGTCCTTTTCTGTGTCTGCGTACGGCTTTCGAGGGTTCTGCCTCTCCACCCTCCCCGACTCAACCCCCGCCGAGTTTTGCATTTAGGAATCTCGCCAGATTAGCAGCGGGTCGGCCCTGTCTCCTGCGAAGCCAGGATGCCGGCGTACGGGAACAGCAGCGAAGGACGGCCTGGTGTGATGCGAGGACAAGTGCCTCCCCCCGTCCAGATTGGCAGGAGCGCCGGGGGCAGCGTTGGGAGCCCAATATTGACTAATTATTTAGCTGTGAATGGCAGCTGTGAACATTGTGTTCCTTGCGCATGGCTTCCTGCGTTTATTGTGAGTCTAATTACAAAGGCAGGAGTTGGAGGGGGGGCAGGATCCTGCGCCTTCCTGCTCTGCTGTCAAGAGCTCTGGAGCTGCCCTGGCCAGCTGTGCAGAGAGGGGGAAAGGGCAGGCGATGGGGGGGGGCGAGGGCCACAACTTGTGGAATTCTCGAGTCAAATCTTTTTTATTAGGTTTTACATTGCGAATTTAAATTCAAACATTAAACATCAACGTCATCGTTTAGAATTCCCTGAATCCTTTGACTCCCCTCCATGGTTAACATTATCAATCTTTTTCTAACTGCTTCTCTGTTTTTCTCAAATAATCCATTTCTACCATAATTTTTTCCCCAAATGCTTTTCCCCAATGGGGCCATTGACCTGATGCATGGGCTGCTTAGGTTTTTAAGGTGAGCACGCTTGCCTCGGTGAGTCCTGGGTTCAAATTCCCGCCTCCACCATGGACAAATGCTGAGGTTTTGAATGAGGTTTGTGCTCTCTCTCTCATTTGCAAATCTGCAGTGATGCTTATGATCTGCTGCGCAAGGTTGTTGTGAGGGCAACTGCTTTCGGGACTGCGGAAATGTTATCGATTGATTTTCCAGCGCAGGCTCAGAGAGGGACGCGACAGCCTGGACTCAGAGAACACGTCTCAGTGCAAACATGCAGGCACACACCAAAATACTGTAGAAATCATGCATTCCAAAGCAAAACATCCAGGGGTTATATTTGGAAGAATTTGAATGTAAAGACACACACACACCCCGGAATAAAGTAGTGCACTCGTAAAACATATTGTGTGCCAGGTTGTAGGTGCTCAAAGCTATCCTGGGAACACTAAATAAGAAACACACAGTTTGTTATTTTTTGTTTGTTATTATGGTATGTATTTTTGTAGTTTTATATTGTAAACCGCCCTGTGATCTTCGGATGAAGGGCAGTACAGAAATTCAATTAATTAATTGGACTACTGCAATGTGCTCTATGTGGGGCTACCTTTGAAGGTGACCCGGAAATTACAACTAATCCAGAATGCGGCAGCCAGACTGGTGACTGGGAGCGGCCGCCGAGACCATATAACGCCGGTCTTGAAAGACCTACATTGGCTCCCAGTACGTTTCCGAGCAAAATTCAAAGTGTTGGTGCTGACCTTTAAAGCCCTAAATGGCCTCGGTCCAGTATACCTGAAGGAGCATCTCCACCTCCATCATTCTGCCCGGACACTGAGGTCCAGCGCCGAGGGCCTTCTGGCGGTTCCCTCGCTGCGAGAAGCCAAGTTACAGGGAACCAGGCAGAGGGCCTTCTCGGTAGTGGCGCCTGCCCTGTGGAACGCCCTCCCCCCAGATGTCAAAGAGAAAAACAACTACCAGTCTTTTAGAAGACATCTGAAGGCAGCCCTGTTTAGGGAAGCTTTTAATGTTTAATAGGTTATTGTATTTTAGTGTTTTGTTGGAAGCCACCCAGAGTGGCTGGGGAAGCCCAGCCAGATGGGCGGGGTATAAATAATAAATTATTATTATATTATTATTATTGGGGTAAGAACACATGGGAAGCGAGCCTCAGTTTGTAAGGAGGCATTCAACCTGTTCACCAGGAATGGGCTAGGAATTTCTTCCAGGCAGCCAGACAGAGACGATGCAAACTGGAATAACGTCAGACTTCCTTTTATTTCTGACAATGTGCTGAAGGTTACAGGGCAGTGGACAGGAGACCGCTTAAAAACGGAGACCTCGATGATGATCCTTGCATTGCAGCGGGTTGGACTAAATGACCCTCGGGGTCCCTTTGAACTCTACGCTGCTACATTCCTCAGGCTGCACTCCTGTTTTGCCCTCCGTTGGCCACCACTTGCGCCCTGCATGCCCTCCTGCGTAGACCAGGATGCTGAAGAAGAGGTCCGCATGCGTCTGCCGTCAGGCAAATCCCACCCTGTCATCCGGAACGGGTTGCGTGAGCCAGGTTCCTGCTTACGTGCTTAATGAGAGAGAGGTACAAATAGTCAGGGGAGCCGGCGAAAAGGAGAGAAGCGCGGCTCGTAGTGTTTACAGAGCAACCAGCAGCACCGGAGAGAGCGGCTCAGCATCCGATCTCATTATCGGCACAGCTGTGCGGATCACATGTTCTTTCCTCCGGGCGCATGCACAGAACAGCGCACGGGGCTGCAGTGCGGCTCGAGCCGTCGACACACATGTCACCACGGATCGCCACGGTCCCCAAAGGGTTGGCAGGCTTCCCCCTTAGGAAGGATGGGGTCACTTCTGTTGAAAGGCAGGAAGTTGTTTGGTATTTTGCTCTCTTATAGTTCGACTGCCAGAGAAAGTGGCCATTTGCGCATAAAAAGAGCAATGTGGATCAGGCCAATGGCCCATCTAGTCCAGCATCCTGGTCTCACAGGGGCCAACCAGATGCCTCAATAGGAAACCCACAAGCAGGATTCGAACCCAAGAGCAACTCTCCCCTCCTGTGGTCTCCAGCATTGCTGCCTCTAACTGTGGAGTCAGAGCAGATTCATCCTGACTAATGGCCACTGAAAGCCCTCTCCTCCTCCGTGAATTTCTTGAATCCTCTTTTAATCCAAGTTGGTGGCCATCGCTGCCTCCTGTGGCAGGGAGTTCCACAGTTTAACTATGCACTGCACGAAGAAGGGCTTCATTTTCTCAACAACAACAACAACAACAACAATAATAATAATAATAATAATAATAATAATTTATTATTTATACGCTGCCCATCTGGCTGGGTTTCCCCAGCTGCTCTGGGAGGCTTCCAATAAAATGTTAAAATGCAGTAATCCATCCAGCATTAAAAGCTTCCCTAAACGGGGCTGCCTTCAGATGTCTTCTAAAAGTCTGGTAGTTTCTTTCCTTGACTTCTGATGGGAGGGTGTTCCACAGGGCGGGTGCCACTACCGAGAAGGCCCTCTGCCTGGTTCCCTGTAACTTCGCTTCTCACAGGGAGGGAACCGCCAGAAGGCCCTCGGAGCTGGACCTCAGTGTCCAGGCAGAACGATGGGGGTGGAGACGCTCCTTCGGGTATACTCGGCAGAGGCCATTTAGGGCTTTAAAGGTCAGCACCAACACTTTGAATTGTGCTCGGAAACATACTGGGATCCAATGTAGGTCTTCTAAGACTGGTGTTATGTGGTCTCGGTTGACTCTCCCAGTCACCAGTCTAGCTCCCGCATTCTGGATTAATTGCAGTTTCCAGGTCACCTTCCAAGGTAGCCCCACATAGAGTGCATTGCAGTAGTCCAAGCGAGAGATAACCACAGCATGCACCACTCTGGCGAGACAGTCCGCGGGCAGGTAGAGTCTCATCCTGCGTACCAGATGGAGCTGGTAAACAGCTGCCCTGCACACAGAATTGCCCTGCGCCTCCATGGACAGCTGTGAATCCAAAATGACTCCCAGGCTGCGCACCTGGTCCTTCAGGGGCACAGTTATCCCATTCAGGACCAGGGAGTCCTCCACACCTGCCCACTTCCTGTCCCCCCAAAACAGGACTTCTGTCTTGTCAGGATTCAACCTCAATCTGTTAGCCGCCATCCATCCTCCAACCACCTCCAGACACTCACACAGGACCTTCACCGCCTTCACTGGTTCTGATTTGAAAGAGAGGTAGAGCTGGGTATCATCTGTTCTGAATCTTCCAACATTGATCTTCCTTGGTTGTCCATGAGTTCTAGTGTTATGAGAGAGGGAGGGGGGGGATTCTGTCCACTTCCCCCATGTCAGGCATCATTTAATAAACTTCTACTGTGTTTCCTCTTCCTCTTCCTTTTAACTAAAGTTAATAAGAGTAATAGTAACACAGCGACTCTTTGTTGCCTAGAGAAGGGGATAGAGAGGGTGTTTAAATGGGAATAGAAACTGCAGCTTGCTGTACAAATGTAAGATGCCCACTCGTTGCCTTATCCGCTTGGAAAATTGCAATAGTAATTATTATTATTATTATTATTATTATTATTATTATTATTATTATTGACCCAGTCACTCTGGGTGGCTTCAAACTTATATAAATGTGGCCCACACCTCTGGGTAGGAATCCAGATTTTAATTGATTGAGGGAATTTGTTTATCTATACACATTTGTATACCAGTTAGTATTTCACAAATGGTGTTGCTGTCAGTAGGAACAAATATATCGGGTGAAGGGAGGAAACATAAAATTATCTCCACTTTGGACACTGTCCGGCCGCTTTTATTAAAGATGAGGGGAGGAAGGGGTCCTCTTATTTTTGCATCAAATGAAGATTTTTAAAAATGAAGGAAGAGGAGAGAGAGAGAGAGAGAGAGAGAGAGAGAGAGAAAGAAAGAAAGAAAGAAAGAAAGAAAGATAAATACAGTTCCAGATTTGACTAAGAGGACATCAGGGGGACTGGGCTGATGAGTCAATAAATGCATGGCCTTTGGGAGAAGTGAGGAAAAGAGACAACTCAACAAGATCCATGTTTAGCTGTCAAAACATTCCCTGGCGCTCAACGGCTTATCTGAACACACTGCTGCCACTCTGCCTGCAGCGCAAGGGGGGGGTGGTGGTGGAGGCAGCTGCAAATGAACTGATCTCGATAATTGGTCAAGAAATTGCTGGCAGGGACTAGGCGTGCGCAGGGAGGCAGAGGTGGCGCCCAGTCCAGCTTCGGCCGAAGAAGCCGAGGTTACGGTACGTTCCTGCTCGTCTATATGCTGCCATTCGGCCGAAAAAGGCTCCCAGCAAAGGAAATCCCCTGTGTTGCAAAACAGACAACTCTGAACCATCGCAGGCAACACGCGCCTAATAATGTTCTAACAAAACATTTGTAACGTGCTATTTCACAATTCACCAACCGAAACGATGTAACGGAAGTCACAAATAATAGAAGTCAATCAAGGGAGCATGAACAAAATTAGAAAATGTCATCCATCAGTATCAAAGAGGCAAACAAGCCTTTCAACAGCCACCATCTTGTAACCGTGCGGTAATGGATGCTCCAAACGTAGAACAGTTTTTTTCCGGATGATGAACTGTTTCGATAGTAACTCTTCATCAGCTGGCGATGATGTAAAATAAAATCCGTTACATTCAAATATAATATGAGATGAACAGGTACATGCAGTTACAAAACAAACACTGCAAATATGGCTGGCTGGCTGGCTGGCTGGCATCCATCTGTCTCTGGAGACAATGGAGCATTGCACCATTGGGGTGAAAGTCAAACTGTTGGAGAGTTGCAGCACCTTAAGTAAAGGTAAAGGGGCCCCTGACCATTAGGTCCAGTCATGACCGACTCTGGGGTTGCGGCACTCATCTTGCTTTACTGGGCAAGGGAGCCGGCGTACAGCTTGACTAAGCCGCATGACTAAGCCGCTTCTGGCGAACCAGAGCAGAGCACAGAAACACCGTTTGCCTTCCCGCCAGAGCAGTACCTATTTATCTACTTGCACTTTGAGGTGCTTTCAAACTGCTAGGTTGGCAGGAGCAGGGACCGAGCAACGGGAGCTCACTCCATTGCAGGGATTTGAACCGCCAACCTTCCGATCGGCAAGTCCTAGGTTCTGTGGTTTAACCAACAGCGTCACCTGCATCCCTTAGTCTGACACAGTAGAAATATATATATATATAAATTTTAATTGTCCAGTAGCACCTTAGAGACCAACTAAGTTTGTTCTTGGTATGAGCTTTCATGTGCATGCACACTTCTTCAGATACACTGAATGACTCCCAGGCTGAGCACCTGGTCCTTCAGGGGCACAATTACCCCATTCAGGACCAGGGAGTCATCTTAATTTGCCAGCCTTCATGTCACGTTTGCAGACATCTTTGTAGCGCAGAGTTGGTGTGCCAACAGGCCTGGCGCCTGCAGCCAGTTCTCCACAGAGCCCCTCCTTGGGGGTCCTGCCATCTGTGGACATGACCAAGGCGCTGAGACAGGATGGATGGAGAAGGGTTGCGAAAGGAGGTGATAGAATCAGAAAGGGAGGCAATAGGGGCATCGACAGGGAGAAGGTGAAGCAGCTCTTAGCCACGTGCAGAGGGCCATGTCCAATCCTGGCATCTGCTGTGTTGTGTTCATGTTTAAGGGGGCATGTTCAACATAGGAGATGGCAAGCCAGTGCAGAAGGCTGAGCAGGTAGAGGAAACAAGATTTTGTGGATTGGGGGGGGGGGGGAGAGATTTCCTGAGACTTTGCAGGCACCATAGGAGGTACTGGTAGGCAGTGAACATTAACCACCCTTCCTCCAGTTTGCATTTCACCTCTTCCTGTTCAAACAATGTCTAGAAAAAGCAGCAGCTTCTCTCCATCATTGGTCATTCCTAGAAACAAATGTGCTTGGTTTTGCTTATTTTTTTACACCGACAGATGTTTCTGAAGACGTTTGCTGTGATCTACCGGCCAGCAAGGCAAAGAATGAAGGAGCCCGTGTCCTTATTTTCCTCCCCTTCACTTGTATGGAAATTAGGGAATCAACTTTGCACGGAGGAAGGGAGGGAGAGCACCAAGGTGCCTAATAAATACCAGGCGGAGGTGGGATTCGAATTCAGGGCCTCCAGATCCCAACGCTTCGTCCGCGGGGCTGCCCTTGCGCTCAAAGGCACAGCCTCGGTTCGGTTGCCCGAAGCGTTGGGACTTTGCCAAGAAACTTCCGAGGGCGCCGGCCAAACGGGAAATCATTTTTATAAGTACATTGGATGAGATAAATGATAATATGCTTGACAGGCTCTTGGCTTGGCCTTCTCCCCCTTGTGCGGAGTGTGGAACTTGGCTCAGCCGCTGCCTTCAAAAAAAAGAAGACGTTATTGTGGATTGTTCCCTGGCAGGGAGACGTGTGAGCGTCTCCGGCGGGGATGAAGCCCTTTCTGTCATTAGAGGCTTAAGTCACATTTGCAGGGCTGGGTTACCCGTAAGGCAGAGTAAGCCCCAGCGAGTGTTTGCCTGTGCAGAGGAAGAATGGGCTAATCCTGCGCCCGCCCTCCATCCAGCTGAGTGCCTGGCAACTGCTCAGAGAGTGCTGAGGCTCCTTCAGAGGCTGCCAGGGGACAGGGGACGGTCTCACTGTATCGTCGAACTGTAGAGTTGCAAGGGAGCCTGAGGGTCATCCAGCCCAACCCACTTCTGGCAGTTTTCTCTCTCTCTTGTTCATTCATTTCACACACTGCTTGGTTGTAGAAACGGAACAGAATTCAAAGCAGATTGCCGAGAGAGAGAGGGAGAATTATCAATGAGAAACATTGTTGTTGTTGTTTAGTCATTTAGTCGTGTCCGCCTCTTCGTGACCCCCTGGACCAGAGCACATCAGGCACTCCTGTCTTCCACTGCCTCCCACAGTTTGGTCAAACTCATGTTGGGAGCTTTGAGAACACTGTCCCACCATCTCGTCCTCTGTCGCCCCCTTCTCCTTGCGCCCTCCATCTTTCCCAACATCAGGGTCTTTTCCAGGGAGTCTTCTCTTCCCATGAGGTGGCCAATGTCTTGGAGCCTCAGCTTCAGGATCTGTCCTTCCAGTCAGCATTCAGGGCTGATTTCCTTCAGAATGGAGAGGTTTGATCTTCTTGCAGTCCATGGGACTCTCAAGAGTCTCCTCCAGCACCAGAATTCAAAATGAGAAAAATTAGCGGCTATAATTCAAGGCTTCTGAAAAGTTAAAATAACAGTACACTAAAAGCAGATTGTGGGATGCGGGTGGCGCTGTGGGTTAAACCACAGAGCCTAGGACTTGCCGATCAAGAGGTCGGTGGTTCGAATCCTCGCGACGGGGTGAGCTCCCGTTGCTCGGTCCCTCCTCCTGCCAACCTAAGCAGTTCAAAAGCACGTCAAAGTGCAAGTAGATAAATAGGTACCGCTCCGGCGGGAAGGTAAACGGCGTTTCCGTGCGCTGCTCTGGTTCGCCAGAAGCGGCTTAGTCATGCTGGCCACATGACCCGGAAGCTGTACACCAGCTCCCCCAGAGTCAGCCATGACTGGATCTAATGGTCAGGGGTCCCTTTACCCTTTACCTTTAAAAGCAGATTAAAGCTCGCAACAGCTTTCTAGGAATGCTCCTCTAGACAAGGATGTTTCCGTCAAGCACCGAAAGGAGAGCAGTAGTGAAGGAGCCTGTCTGGTGTCAAGAGGCAGGGAGTTCCAAAGTTGTATGTGCTGCTACACCAAAAGACTGAGTGCTTATAGATGCAGATGTAAACTATCAAGAGACGTCCACCACCACACAAAAGCAGTCTGGGGGTGTCCAACATTAGGGACCCCCTGCCCTTATATCCTCACCCCCCTAATTTTTATTAAATTTTCTGCTTTACATTTTAGAATATTCATTTAAATTAAAATATCAATGACTTCCCTTCTTTTCTTTCCATGGTTCAGTTTTCATACCAGAAATCCCTGCATATTTTACATAAAGTAAACCATTCAGTATCCCATGATTACATCCATCCAGGCTTATTTACACTGTTGAATTTATCTTAATGCTGCCCACGTTTTCAAATATACACAGTTTCATCCCATATATTCAATAAACGTTTTCCAATCTTCTTTAAAGGTACGTTCTTCTTGTTCTCTTATTCTATATGTTAGGTCCGCAAGCTGCGAATATTCCATCAGTTTGAATATCCCATCATTCTTCTTTGGTTGGGACCTCGCTCTTTTTCCATTTTGGGGCTAGCAAAACACAGCCTTATATCCTGACTTCTCTCACCCGCTTTTCCAAGTCCCAGAAACCATCTGAGTTGCATCCTTGCCTGTCTCCAAACTCCCAAGCTAGCTGGGACCGGTATAGAGTCATGCTAGGTGCTGTGAGAAGAGGGCAACCTGGGTGTATCAGTTAGAAAGCAGGGAGCATACAAGGCAGGGCCTGGGACACCATTTCATGGAATCTTAGCCCTGCAGAGTTGGAAGGGACCCTGAGGGTCATCTAGTCCAACCCCCTGCAAGGCAGGAATCTTTTGCCCAGCGTGGGGCTCCAACCCGTGATCCTGAGATTAAGAGTCCCATGCTCTACTGGCTGAACTATCCTGAGTTCTGTTCCAAGCCACACTAATACCGAAAGCCATCTTCCTCAAAAACAGCCTTGCAAATATGATGCGCATCTGAAGAAGCGGGAGGCAAAGCGGGGGGGGGGGGAGACACACGAAAAAGGGGGGAAAGTAAATATCAGCAAGGGATGTTTTTTGGCAGCTTTTCAGTTCTAAATTGAGCTAATTCTACCTTCTGAAAGGAAGATAATTTCCATGTTTCTTTGCTTGAGAACACATAATTGAAGTTATTTTCCTTCCAAGAAAGGAGCCTCTGGAACATCGTTTGCAAATGGACAGGAAAAAATGAATGTATCTGGCGCTGCCTGAGCCGCGGGGCATTCATTGCGGCGCAGTTTCTGAACGCCGCTGCCACTTCCCCCAAGGTGTTTATCACTTGCTCAGGTGTCTTCCTCCCCCTCTCCTTCCTCCGGCACTCCTCTTTTCGAAGGGAGAGCGAGGAGGGCTGAGCCGAAAGCGAATGGCGCTAAACCCAATGAGCCATGGGAAAGTTATCAGGAAGGTTCAGAGCAGAAATTGGAAGAAGAAAACTCGAGGATCTCTTAAATTGACCAGCGCTTTTGGGGGAGGCAGCAGCCACTGGCTCCTTGGCCTTGGATTCCTCCTTAAAACCGGCATCTCAAAAGCCAAATGTTAACAAAAGTGCTGAGATAGAAGAGATTGTGAGTTTATGGACTTCATGAACTTCCAGAGTGAATTATTGTGATCTCTGATGCTCATTTTGGTTTTTAAAGTCCCAAACGGCTCAGGCCCCAAATACCGAAAAAGGCTTCCTCTTCATCGCAGCCTCCTGTGGGAGTGAGTTCCACAGTTTAACTCTGCTCTGTGTGGAGAAGTCTTTCCTTTTATCTTTTAAGCTGGAAGGTGTGCAGCCAAGATGATCAAAGGTCGGTAAAACAAGCCTTATGAGGAATGGTCGAAGGAGCTGGGGGTGTTTAGCCTGGAAAAGAGGAGACTGACAGGAGATAAGAGAGCCATCTTCAAATATCTGAAGGGCTGCCCCATGGATGATGGAGGAAGCTTGTTTTCTCCTGTTCTGGAGGGTAGGACTCGCACCAAGGGCTTCAAGTTACAAGAAAGGAGATTCTGACTAAACACAGGGAAGGACTTTCTGACAGTAAAAGCTGTTCGACAGAGGAACGATCTCCCTCTGGAGGTGGTGGACTCTCCTTACCTGTAGGTTTTTAAGCAGAGGGTAAAGGTAAAGGACCCCTGGACAGTTAAGTCCAGTCAAAGGCGACTCTGGGGTTGTGGTGCTCATCTCGCTTTCAGGCCGAGGGAGCCGGCGTTTGTCCACAGACAGCTTTCTGGGTCATGTGGCCAGCAGGACTAAACTGCTTCTGGCACAACGGGACACCATGATGGAAACCAGGGCATACAGAAACACTGTTTACCTTCCTGCCAGAGTGGTACCTATTTATCTACTTGCACTGGTGTGCTTTCAGACTGCTAGGTTGGCAGAAGCTGGTACAGAGCAACGGGAGCTCACCCCGTCGTGTGGATTCGAACCACCAACCTTCCGATCAGCAAGCCCAAGGGCCTCAGTGGTTTAGACCACAGCGCCACCCGCTCCCTAATGCAGAGGTTGGATGGCTTTAGCTGAGATTCCTGCATTGAGCATTTGGGTCCCTTCCAACTCTTAAGATTCAGTGATTCCCTAGAGACCCTCTCAGCTGCTGAGATTGGCAGAGGGGCCCCTCTTGAGAGTCCCTGCACCCTCAGAGGCTTGGGGTAATAGAGACCCGGGCAGTAGGAGAATCTCCTCTTCTCTGCCAGACAAAGAGGACCATGATAAGGTCCATTTTATGCAGTGAAGAGGAATTGTGGGCAAATGTTGGTTAATGCCCAGTGGTTGCCATTAATTGGATTTTGAATTGATTTTAGAATGAATTGATTTTAGACTGCATGTCAATTAATTGATTGTGATTTTATGTACCGTATTTTTCGCTCTATAAGACGCACCAGACCACAAGACGCACCTAGTTTTTGGAGGAGGAAAACAAGAAAAAAAATATTCTGAATCTCAGAAGCCAGAACAGCAAGAGGGATCGCTGCGCAGTGAAAGCAGCAATCCCTCTTGCTGTTCTGGCTTCTCGGATAGCTGCGCAGCCTGCACTCGCTCCCTAAGACGCACACACATTTCCCCTTACTTTTTAGGAGGGAAAAGGTGAGTCTTACAGAGCAAAAAATACGGTAAACTGTGTTACTTTTATTGTTGTTAGCCGCTCTGAGCCCGGCTTCGGCTGGGGAGGGTGGGATATAAATAAAATTTTAGTATTATTATTTATTATATGCTGCCCTGTGATCCCATGGGATGAAGGGCAGTTTAGAAATGACAGTGACGATGAAGATGATGATGATGATAGGATATCACAGAGTTATCGGGGGGTTTTACAGAAAACCTCACACATCATCTACAATCTGTTTGCTGGTATTATGAAGAAACCCGCACTTACAAGCAAGCGCAGTTTGGGCGTGGGGGAAAGCTTTCAGCTCCTAAATGGTGAATATAATAAGTGCACACAAAGAAATGTTTTTGCCATTGTTAAATCACGATAAAATCCCAGAATAGCAATGCCGAAGGGGAGATTTCCCAAAATGTTGCCTGTGTACAGCAAAACCGTGTTTTTTTATTTTAAAAAATCTTTCGATTCCCTCACCCAATTTTGTACCAAACTATGCGAAAAAGTCACATTATGCAAATTGGGACTAGATTGATGTAGATTTGCTTCCAACTGGGTACATTCTGAGCACTGCGGAGCTCTTTCGCCAGGGGGAAGGGGAAGCCTGAGTGCAGGGAACATGCAAATCAGCTGGTTTTAGTATAATTGAAAGTATTGCCCTTAAGATATGGAGTCCGTTAATGATTAGAGTGGGTCTGACGAAGAAGCCATGGTGTAGGCAGACATTTTGTCTCTCTCTTTTTGCATCTAACCAGAGAAGATTTGGGGGGGCAAAGGAGGCCAAATTCAGAAAAATCCCATTACCGTAATTCAGGATAGATTGTCCCAATGTGGTGGTCCAGGAGCCTCTGAAAAGTGGACCATGCAGCCACTCGTGAATACCTGCATCCCACCCCCTTGCAATTTTTTTTTCAGGTGAAAAAGCCCATTCAGAGTGAGGGCAGTGCTAGTTCATACATGATTGCCTTCGCTCTCCACTGGCTTTGTGACAACGTTGATTGTGATTTACTCTGCAGCACCGTCAGGCTGCTGTGTGATCCCTGCGTAATCCCAAACTGGGTTATTTTATTTTTTTAATGCTGTTGCATTTTCAACCGATTGCAACAAAAGAGATGGGGGAGGGACAGAGGTCTTGCCTATTTACAGATGCCACCAGTTGACACCATATTTTGAAGAAATCGCCATGCTTTTGGCTGCTTTGCCATATGTTTAATAAATAACCTTTCCTCCATGGGCCTACTTATCAGTCCATGTACAGTTTTGCTCAACAGCATGCCCCTGGTCCAAAAGGAAACGTCAAAACTTGCCTCTTTTTCCTCTTCCAGAGTGGACATGGCGGTCCCAACCCTGCCTCAAGTGCTCCTTTGTTCAGACCGGAGGATGAGCTGGAACACCTGACCAAGAAGATGCTGTACGACATGGAAAACCCACCTTCCCAGGAATACTTCGGTAAGCGCTCCAACCTCTCCCGTGTTCTGGTGGCAGAGAGTTCCACAAGCCATTGGTGCATGGTGCAAAAAATAAATAAAATAGTTAGCTACCAGAGCCAATGAACTTAGTCATGCCCATGATACAGTTTTGTACAGTGGAGGCCCGTTGTCCCAGGGTGCAGGAGGGGTGGGGGGCAGCCAAAAAATGAAAACAGAGAGGGGACGGCCCAGCGACATTGACTCTAATTTGCATCGAACATGTTTTCCCCAACCCCTCGGGGATTCAGTGCTGCGGTAATAGTAGCAGGCCAGATAGCCGCCCACTAATCGTATCATTAGGTCAAATTTAGAAAGCTACATCAGAGCATATTAAAAGTCGGTTGAGAGCAGATAGGTTTTGAATGCAGCGATCTAATTAACCTTACTGGAGAGCTCCAAGGCATTGTATTAAGTCATGGAAATAATTTGTTCCAAATAATTACATTCGAAAAGCCAGCAAGGATCATTCGGCGGGTCGGCCTCTGCTCAAATGGTGGGCTGCTTGCTCCCATCAGAGACTTTCCTTCCTCTCACATCACGGGGGATTCCCCCCCCCCCCCGTGTTGTGTTTCAGATGCCCCCCAAAGGGGACTGTTGTGCTTGAGAGATGGGTGGAAGCTCATCCCTTTAAAAGGACCATTTATTTAGGGATGCAGGCATCCTGTCTCTCTGGGAACTGTGAGGTTTCAGGTCGTGGGTTGGGGCTGAAGTTCGTGGCTCAGGTGAGGATGCTTGCTAAAGTTGGTTTCGGGAAAGATGCTCAGGTGTTTCAGCGATGGTTTGAGCACTCAGAAAGGCCAGTTAACTTTCAGGATGAGTGTTGGGGCTTGAGCAGTTTCACATGACCCCCGTCCTGCGCAGAGAGAGAGAGAGAATGAGGGCAATGTGGGGGGTTTTTGGGGTGTGTGGAGGGAAATAAGCCAAAAGGGGTGGGAAAGAGGGGAAAAGCACTCCCCACACAGTCAGTACAGACCTCTGGCAAGGACAGATTTTTCCCTCCCCTGGGCAGGATGTGCTGGGCCCGGCGGTAGCCTGAGAAACGCGGTCCAGGTCCGATCCTGAATCCAAGGGTTCTGCGAGGAGTCAGTCCGACAGGGCCAAGGCAGGACACGAGGCAGGAAACCAGGCAAAGTCAGGTACAGGATCTCAGGCAGGTTCTGGCATACAGCAATGTTGCTCCCGCAACCTGGGGTGGGGTCCGACAGCCTTTTATCTTTGTCGGGGTAACGGCCGGTCCTGATCCCCAGGCGACTTGCCTCCCTGTTTAGCCCACAGGTGAGCACTCCTCCTACAAGTACTCAGGTCTCTCCTTCTCTCAGACCTCAGTCTCTGCAGCTCGGGAGATGTCAGGGGGGTTACTAGACCCAGGGGCCGCCTCAGCCTCCCCTGACCCAACCGGTAGTGGAGCAGCTGTAAGTGATGGCCCAGCTGGAGGCAACAAGGTCATCCCCGCATCTGGAGCCAGGGCAGGCTCAGGCCCCTGACTCGGCCCAGCTGGTGTTTGTTGCAGGGGAACCTGTGCAGACTGGGACTCTTCAGGATCAGGCCCCAGACTTGGTTCAGATGATGCCTGAGGATCCGGTGCAGACTGAGTCTCCTCTGTTCCGAGTCCAAGCCCGAGTCCCAGGCCATCACACAGGGAAGGAATAGGGGTGAAGGAGAACAAGAGAGAAAAAGGGGGTGGCAGAAGGAGAGAAGAAGAAAATGGGTGGGAGGAAGAGAAAGGGGGCATCCTAGCCCTGCTCACCAGCAGCAGCATGCAAGCCCCCCCCCCCAATGTCTAAGCTCTCCTTCGACATTCAGCAATGCTTCTGAATCCTGGTTGCTGGAAACCACTGGAAGGGAGAGGGCTCTCGCACTCGGATCCTACTTGCAGGTCTCCCTTTTGGGTATCCCTTTTGGCCACTGTGAGAACAGGATGCTGAGCCAGGTGAGCCACGGGCCGGATCCAGCAGGCTCTCCTTAAGTTCTTTCATTCTCGGACGCCTGGTTCACACGTCATGCTAAGCCGTGGCTTAGTTCACCAAAGCTAATGTTGGCAGAGCACATAGTTGAACTGTGGAACCCGCTGACACGGGAGGCAAGGATGCTCACCAACTTGGATGGCTTTGAAAGGAAGATGAAGACAAATTCATGGAGGAAGTGAGGGCTATCACTGGCTGGTCTAATCTAGCAGGCTCTTTTTATATTCTTACTACCTAGGAAGAAATGCAGTTCTTAACTGGGAGGGGGGAAACATCCCTCATTCCTGCCTTAGATGCTCCCCCCCCCCAGTGGAAATAAAGACACAATTAGGTTAATGGGATAAATAAGTCCACAACTTTATTGGTTACAGGTGATGAGTGATATTGGCTTAGGCATCGGTCCTAACAGACTATATCCGGCTTCAGCCCGTCCGCTTGAAGTCCGGGAAGGGTTAACCACCAGTAGGGGGAGTCCTGCTGATGCACATCAACTAGGAACTCCCCCAGGGTCACCGCTCGGGGGGTGTGCCTTAGGCCCTCACCTCCCTTGGCTTCGGACAGGGCCACATCCCCCGGAATCCTTTGTCGGACTACCCTTCAATATGTGGGGCAGGTGATGGCACTTCCTCCCCTCTTCCATCTACAGAGCAATACCAATGCCTAACCGCCAATACCCAGAAAGTTGTGACAATTTGCTATGAGGTAGGCGAAAAACCAAGTGGCTGGTGCAAATTTGCCAAGTGGAAAAATTCCGACCAAGCCCCTCAACGGCGACCAGTCAAGGTCCATAGCAAGGTCAAGGAATGGAAACCTTATAGGGCGGGAGGGTGGCAAAACAGGAACAGCTGGCAGGCGGGGAGGCCACGTCCTGGTTTAAATTGGGCAGGCCATACTCCCAGAGCCAGCCGATTGGCTGGCCAGGGTGTGATGCGGCTGGGAATCCCCCCAATTGTGCAGGGCTGGGCTCTAGCTGCCGCGCATGGTGGGGCCGTGAAGCCCGCAACTCCACCTCCTCTGTAGGGCGGAAGTGGCTTTCTCTTGCCTTTTGTCCTTCAGCACACCAAAGGAGTGTGACTGGTTCGCTTGCACTGGGTGCAAAGTCTTGGCAGCGCCACAGGGAACCGCAACTATACTTTAGAACGGAGTGCAAGGGGGGTGGGGAAGCAAATGTTGGTGTTGCCCAGGGCGCCGCTGAAATTTGAGACCCCGAGGTCTGCCATTGAACACACACCCTCCACCCAAACACCTCAGGTCTCTGCAGCACCCACACACCTTTCCAGGCTGCAAGCTGCCCACCCAGTCCACCCTCCCCATTTCATCTTGGAGGGTTGGAGGCTGAGCTCAGAAGCAGGGCAGCCCCGTGTCGCATGGCTCCTGAGTCCTGCTTGTTCTTCCGTTTGATGGAAATGAGAGGCGACTCTCCTGGACATTCGGGATGGAGTCCGAGCCAATACAAATTAGAGGAGGAAATTGCATTAGCCCACCGACTTGTCAGCATTGGGGAGGGGGTATTCCACTTTGCTTTGGGAGCTGACAGCGAGCTACCGGGCAAGGAGGTGGGTGGTTGCAAGGCTGGAGCATCGATCAAGCGGTCAGGGTTTCGAAAGGCTGCTTAAGACCTTCCAGGGCCAGCTGCAGATATTTTGCTGCCTGACGGGAAGGACAGACGGTTGTCATGCAGCCCCGACAAGTCACAATCAGAACCCCAGCAGGGTTGCAGTCCGATCTTACTTCAAGGCTGGTGTGAAGAACACAAGGACATAAGAAGAGGCTGCTGGATCAGGCCAGTGACCCATCTGGTGCAGGATTCTGGTCCCACGGTGGCCAACCTGCGGGAAACCTGCGAGCAGGATCCGAGCGCAAGAACAACCCTCTTCATTCCTGTGGTTTCCAGCAACTGCAGATTGGGAGCCACAAGTGGAGCAAACTTCTTTGGCGTCTGCTGAGATGCTGGGGGGGGGGGTGTCCTGAAAGAATGAGTCTTGCTGGGGTTCTTGGGGGGCAGCCATGACCAGGTGAAAGAGAAATGAAAGAGCATTGGCTTATTAATTCCATGCCTTTTATAACACCCTTCCAGGGGGCCTTAAAGCGGTGAAAAGAACCACTACAAAAGCAACATATCAGAGCATAAGAAGACCATGCAGGGTCTGGCCCATGGCCCATCTGGTCCAGCATCCTCTTCTCAAAGTTTCTGAACAGATGCCTCTTCTGGGAAGCCCTCAAGGAGGACCCGAGAAACTGGGGTCCAGTAACTGGCATTCAGAAGCATCGCTGACTCCAACAGTGGTCACAGAGCAGAGCTAGTAGCCATCAAAAGCCCACTCCTCCCTGAATTTCTCTGGCTGGCCACTGTGAGAACAGGATGGTGGACTAGATGGGCCACTTGATTGATCCTGCAGCCCCTTCTGATGTTCTTAAGACCATAAGAGTGGCTGTAGCAGGGAGGGGTCAGGCCAGAGATTTGACTGCACTAATTCAGAATACTGGGGGGACTGGCACTTTTGAAAGTTCCCTGCCCCCTGTTATAAAATCCCTATAAACATACAGCTTACACACCAGGGAGGCATGAATGGTTTTCCAGCCCTTTGTGTTCTGTATCTTTCTTGTTTTCCTATATGCTGGGACTTCTTAAGATGGGGCATTCCTAACTGTGATATCACACCTGCTGCTACCTGCGAAGATTGGGCGTTGTGCCCCTGGGGCAGCTTTCTAGAGGAGAGGAGCCTCTACGTCTTGCAGAGCCCCCTCTGCAGATGGCCCGGGGTGGGGCTGCAGCCCCCTGCTCTTCAGGGGGTCAGACAATTCACCCTGTAAAGCTGATGGCTAGGGCTGATTTAGCATATGTGACGCCGGGGTGCAAAAAACTGCCCTGTGTCCCCAACTGGGGGGGCAGGCCAAAGTTGTTGAGCTTTTTAGGGTTGCACACAACTCTCTCCCATGCCACACACAACTCTCTCGTGACGGCCCTTCAATCCCAGGTGCGCAGAAGGGCAGAACTGGCCAGCTGCCTCAGCACCCTGTGCTGGTCCCGGGGGCTAACTGAGAAGCAAGGTCCGAGTCCAGGCTGAGGTCGAGGGTGCGGTATGGAGGCCGTCCGTCAAAGCTGAAGCGGGGTCCAAGGCGGGGAGTCGGGTGGGGTCAGGAACTCTGGCAGATGAGCAGGACAGGGTGCCGGCAGGAACAGGTTACCAACAACGTTGCTCCCGCAACCTGGGACTGGGGCTGGCTGGCTTTTATCTGCCCCGAGGCATAAGGCGGCCCGATCCTCTGGTGACTCGCCTCTCCTGGCCTGGAGGCGAGCACTCCTCCTGCAGGAACTTAGCCTCTGCAGCTCAGGAGAGGCTGGAGGGTTACCGGGCCCAAAGGCAACCTCACCTTCCCCTGACGGGGCTGGGAGTGGAGCACCTGCAGGCAATGGGTCCTCCATCACCTCAGGAGCCAGAGCAGACTCAGCCGGTGCCTGCACCTGAGGATCCAGCACAGGTGAGGACCCTTCAGGCTCATGCCCCAGCCCCGGCTCAGCTGGTTCTGGAGGCGGGGACTCCTATGCAGGCTGGGATTCCTCAGGTTCAGCCTCCGAGTCTGAGTCCCAGGCCATCACACACCCACAGCAAAAAGAAACCTGTGGCGCTCCGACGCACTCTGCTCCGCTCGGCAGCAGCTGTCGGCTGGCCTGGCTCTTCAATCCCTGGACTCTCGACCTGTCGCCCCCGAGAGCCCTGCACCCCTAGCGCCTATGGGTAAGCCAGCCCTGCTGCTGGCTATTCAGTGCCTCCCAGGCTGGTCATCGCTTTGTTTGAAGACCACCAGCCCTGACCCCACTTTCCTGCATTGGCAAGGGGACAGAGTGTATGCCCCCTGCCCAAAGGTGGTCCTGTGATTCACATGCGCCTGCGGTTGCTGAAGGATCACTTTCCTTTGTGTGGAAACGATCCGGAAGGGTTAATCCCGGGACCAGATAAGGGGCAGGGGGGAAAGAAGCGCTTGACAGCCACCAGAGGTTTTAATTGAATGTCGGTGCTGCTGGAATTTGCTGTCGCACTCAGAACTCCGGATAATGCTCCATTGTTATGAAAACTGATAATCCAGCCTTAGCAATAGGTTGTTTCTTTCAGCGTGACAATCAGCTCTGTCATTTTGGGGGTGAGCATGTTTCCGTTGGGTGTAGATTGTTCCCTACACTTAGTCTCTCTCTTCCCCACACTTCCACCCACACCTTTTCCCTTTTGAAAGGAGAGGGGGGGCGCCTTTTAGCTGCACTCGTTCTCAGATAATTTTGGAACGGTGCGGGAATGGAGGATGAGATCTCGGAAGGCCACGGCAAAGGGAGAGGCATTAGCAATCAGATGCAATTTTGCGCGCTGAATGAGTGCTTTGATCAAGCGATGTCTTTCATATCTCTCTCCTCCTAAAATACAAAATATGCCGTAGTTGGAGTATTTTGGGATAAACCGAGCAGCAAACATTTCTGCTCTGCAAAGAAAACTCATCTGAAACATCAACCCTGGGAAATTACCTGGGAGTCACGAGATCTTCTTGAACCTGACCAGGTGGGAAGCAGGCAGTCTGTGGCCTTGCCCTGTTGAATCACAAAATCCTAGAACTGTATAGTGAAAAGGGATCCAAAGGGTCATCTGCCCCCGCAATGAAGGAATATTTTGCCCAGCCACCTGCAAAGCAATTCAGGCCAGGAGCTGGCAGGGAGGGGCATTGTCACCCCGCCAACATCCCAGCAGAGGCATCACTGCTTTTTACCCAGAGGGGCAAGGAGGTTGGTACTGTTCAGGAACACTGGTGAGACCACCACTTTGGCCCTGCAGGGGTACTCACACAGCACCCCCTCCCTAATGCCTCACCCCCCTTCCTCCCAGAAAGCAACAGCAAAAGAAGCTAAATGCTGGAAGATTCGGGACAGACAAATGAAAGTGCTTCTCCACAAAGTTAAACTGTGGAACTCTCTCCCACTGGAGGCAGCGGATGTCTTTAAAAGAGGATTGAAGGAGGAGGGCTACAAAGCAGAATGGCTGTGCTGTGTCTCCACGGTTTGAGGCAGCGATGCTTCTCAATATCAGTGGCTGGAAACCGCAAGAGGAAAGCGTTGCCCTTGTGTTCGAATCCTGCTTGTATGCTTCGCTTTGCTGCGAGAACAGGATACTGGGTTTGATGGGCCATGGACCCAATCCAGCAGGCTCTTCTTACTTTCATAAGTCTACAGGCCTCCCAGCTCTACTGAAAGCCTTCATAGAATCACAGAACAGAGTTGGAAGAGACCATGAGGGTCATCTAGTCCAACCCCAATGAAGGAATTTTTTGGGTCCAGTGTGGGGCTCAAACCCACGACACTGAGCTTAAGGCCCTGGTGCTCGAGCTGTCCCAGCTCAGCTTGACTTCTGTGACCGCATTGCATAGTTAAAACATTCAACAACAACGAGAAGAAAGGCAGACCCAACGCTGCTCTCTTTCCCCCTCTTCGCAGAACTCCGTGTCCCAACTATTCTTATCCCTCACCGTCAAATGGCTGTCGTGAGCAGAAGGTCTTAAAAGATTAAAGTGTGGTCACCGGTGGCCTTTGACCGGAAGGGAAATCCATAAGAGCAAAGCTCTGTGTATGTTGGTGCGACACGCACCGTAGCCGGGATTCGGGGCGGGCGAGGGTTCGACAAGGACCAGGAACGGAAATCTTGTTAGGCTGCTGACTAGAAACGCTGTTCTGTCATCGATATTTCTTCATTAGGAATAATGATTTTTCCACGTCCGCTGCCAGTGGGTTCCCGGCCGTCCAAAAGCCGGGATGTGCCATGAATCTCTAAAGCGCACTTATTGGAGGGACTCCGAAAGCGGCGAGAATTCAGAAGGCGGCGAGGGAGGGGGGCAGGTTGCACGCACTGCGCCGCCGCAGGAACAGCGGTTATTGATGGCACCTGTGGGAGCCCTTATTTCAGTCTGATGTATTTACATAAGAAAGACGTCCTGGCTCAAAGACGCCGTGTTCTGTTTCTCCAGCTCTCCGTCATGTATCGCTCTGCAGCAGCGGCGGGGGCTCTGGGGAGCGGCGGAAGCAGGCGCATGTAACCGTGATGAAGGCATCTCCTTGCAAGCCAAAGAAGCAGGGAGGGGTGGCTTTGGCTGCTGCATCATCTCAGAGTTTTCGTCCGTTCCTTCCAATGCCTCGCCTGACCTCTTAAGAACAGTGCTTGTTGTTGTTTAGTCGTTTAGTCGTGTCCGACTCTTCGTGACCCCCTGGACCAGAGCACGCCAGGCACTCCTGTCTTTTCCAGGGAGTTTTCATCAGGGTCTTTTCCAGGGAGTTTTCTCTTCTCATGAGGGGGCCAAAGGCTTGGAGCCTCAGCTCAGGATCTGTCCTTCCAGTGAGCACTCAGGGCTGATTTCCTTAATAATGGAGAGGTTGGATCTTCTTGCAGTCCATGGGACTCTCAAGAGTCTCCTCCAGCACCAGAATTCAAAAGCATCCATTCTTCGGCAATCAGCCTTCTTTATGGTCCAGCTCTCACTGGACCAGAACAGTGATATCATTGATTAAATTGATGTGCCCCCATCCTTCAGAAAATCACAGGGCAGTTTAGAATGCAACAACGTAAGGATAGCATGCTGGATCAGGCCACAGGGCCTTCTTGCCCAGCATCCTCTTCTTACAGTGGCAAGCAGGACCAGAGCTCAAAAGAAACTCTCACCTTCCTCTGGTTTCCTGCAAATCTACTTCGGCCCTTCAAAGGAGGTGGACTAGTGGGCTCCACGGCCCCCCTGCGCGATTGGAGGGATTCCAAGCCGCATCACCTCCTGGCCAGCCAATCGGCTGGCTCTGGGGGTGTGGCCTGCCTTATTTAAAGCAGGACCCGGCTGGGGATCTCCCTCTTTTCCGCCTGCCAGCTGTTCCTGCTTTTCCCACGCTCCCGCCCTATAAGGTTTTCGTTCCTTGACCTTGCTATGGACCTTGGCTGGTTGGTCACCGTTGAGGGGCCTGGTAGGAATTTTTCCACTTGGCAAATTGGCACCAGGCCCTCAGTTTTTGCCTACCTCATAGCAAATCATCACAACTTTCTTGGTATTGGCGGTTAGGCATTGTTATTGTTCTGCAGTTGGAAGAGGGGAGGAAGCGCCATCACCTGCCCCACATATTGAAGGGTAGTCCGGTAAAGGATTCTGGGGGGGCGTGGCCCTGTCCAAAGCCTAGAGAGGTGAGGGCCTAAGGCACGCCCCCTATTGCTAACCCCGGGGGAGTTCCTAGTTGATGTGCATCAGCCGGACTCCCCCTACTGGTGGTTAACCCTTCCCGGACTTCAAGCGGACGGGCTGAAGCTGGATATAGTCGGTTAAGAACGGCTAAGGGAGCTGGGCATGTTTAGCCTGGAGAAGAGGAGGTTAAGGGGTGATATGATAGCCATGTTCAAATATATAAAAGGATGTCACATAGAGGAGGGAGAAAGGTTGTTTTCTGCTGCTCCAGAGAAGCGGACACGGAGCAATGGATCCAAACTACAAGAAAGAAGATTCCACCTAAACATTAGGAAGAACTTCCTGACAGTAAGAGCTGTTTGACAGTGGAATTTGCTGCCAAGGAGTGTGGTGGAGTCTCCTTCTTTGGAGATCTTTAAGCAGAGGCTTGACAACCATATGTCTGGAGTGGTCTGATGGTGTTTCCCGCTTGGCAGGGGGTTGGACTCGATGGCCCTTGTGGTCTCTTCCAACTCTATGATTCTATGATTCTATGATTCTATGATTCTATGCCTAAGCCAATATTGCTCATCACCTGTGACCAATAAAAGTTGTGGCCTTATTTAGCCCATTAACCTTAATAATTGTGTCATGTGTCATTTCCACTGATGGGGGTGGGAACTCGCCATACAAAGAGGCTTGTTGAGAAGCATTGCTGTCTCTGGCTGCAGAAGAAGAGCAGAGCCATTGCGGCTATTATCCACCGACAGCCCTCTCTCCTCCATGAATTTGTCTAATCCTCTTTTAAAGCCATCCAAGGTGATGGCCATCGCTGGCTCCTGCAGGAGGGAGTTCCACATTTATTCATTCATTCATTCATTCATTCATTCAATTATTTATACCCCACCCATCTGTCTGGGTTTCCCCAGCCACTCTGGGCAGCTTCCAACAAAAGATTAAAATACAATATCAAATATTAAAGACTTCCCTAAACAGGGCTGCCTTCAGATGTCTTCTAAAAATCAGATAGTTGTTTATTTCTTTGACATCTGATGGGAGGGCAATCCACAGGGCAGGTGCCACCACCGAGAAGGCCCTCTGCCTGGTTCCCTGTAGCTTTGCTTCTCGCAATAGGGGAACCACCAAAAGGCACTCTGTGCTGTGTGAAGAAGGACTTTTATCTGCCCCGAACCTTCCAGCATTCAGCTTCTTTGGGTGTCCACGAGTTTTAATGTTATGGGAGAAATTACTGGACTGGACTTCGTCATGTTCATTCATATCAGCGGGTCCTCTCTGCGTTATACTTACTTGAATGCCACCCTCTATAAACATGAAATAGGTAAAGGGACCCCTGACCATTAGGTCCAGTCACAGACGACTCTGGGGTTGCGGCACTCATCTCGCTTTACTGGCCGAGGGAGACAGCATACAGCTTCCGGGTCATGTGGCCAGCATGATGAATCTGCTTCTGGCGAACCAGAGCAGCGCACGGAAACGCCGTTTACCTTCCCGCCAGAGCGGTACCTATTTATTTACTTGCACTTCATGCTTTAGAACTGCTAGGTTGGCAGGAGCAGGGACTGAGCAACGGGAGCTCACCCCGTCACAGGGATTCGAACCGCCAACCTTCTGATCAGCAAGTCCTGGGCTCTGTGGTTTAACCCACAGCGCCACCCGCGTCCCAAACATGAAATAGAAGTTTACAAAAATCTAGAAATAAAGCAATAAAAATGAAAATGATATGCAAAACTCAATAGAAAATCCACATTTAAATCAGACTAATGAATGGGGGTGGGGAGTTCTAGGATGCATTAAAGTTTAAAATAGAAAAGAAATGCAAATGCACAGTAAAAATAATCCACATATAAACCACCATTAGCAATGTAACAAACTAACTGAGATAGCATCCTTTTCATGCAGAAGTTCCTGTTCTTTGAGACGCTCAGAATCTCCTGGTTGGTCTCTGTTTGAAAGCAGGAGACTTTACCAAGCAACCCCTTTGGTTGACCCAGAAGGGCACTTCTGACATTCATTTTATTTAAAAAAAACTTTTTTTTAATTGTTATTCTCTAAATTTCCTCAAGCATTCCTCCAAAATCCATTGTGAAAACCTGTGCATACATCGCAACCTATAACACTGGACATCTGTAAAATATGTCCACGGGTTAGTATAAACCTTTGGGGGCTGGCCTTTAGTTTGTTGTAGAATTTGTGAATGAAAGGTGTCTCTCTGCTTTGTTCCTCTTAAATTGTGGGTCATTTTTTTCAGTCAGGGCCTCCCGTGGGAGCGAGTTCCACAGTTTTAACTATGCGCTGCATTTTATTTCACTTTTAATCTGCATACCGCCTTTCTATATTGCTATGCACAAGGCCATCTACAAGCTGAAGAAACAGCAAAGATCACACACATAATAAACAATCTGTTCCGATACAAAAAGGCAAACAGTAAAATTAAATACTAGCAAATAATAATTAAACAGTTTACACTTCTCAGTTTTTACTAAACTGTTGTTGTGGTTGTTGTTTAATTGTTTAGTCGTTTCTGCCTCTTCGTGACCCCCTGGACCAGAGCACGCCAGGCACTCCTGTCTTCCACTGCCTCCCGCAGTTTGGTCAGACTCATGTTTGTAGCTTCGAGAACACTGTCCAACCATCTCGTCCTCTGTCGTCCCCTTCTCCTTGCGCCCTCCATCTTTCCCAACATCAGGGTCTTTTCCAGGGAGTCTTCTCTTCTCATGAGGTGGCCAAAGTCTTGGAGCCTCAGCTTCAGGATCTGTCCTTCCAGTGAGCACTCAGGGCTGATTTCCTTCAGAATGGATTGGTTTGATCTTCTTGCAGTCCATGGGACTCTCAAGAGTCTCCTCCAGCACCGTAATTCAAAAGCATCAATTCTTTGGCGATCAGCCTTCTTTATGGTCCAGCTCTCACTTCCATACATCACTACTGGGAAAACCATAACTTGAACTATACGGACCTGTGTTGGCAAGGTGATGCCTCTGCTTTTTAAGATGCTGTCTAGGTTTGTCTAAACTGTAATCAGCAAAAATAACTGCAAGTCACAATGCATGAAGTCCTTTCTTTTCTCTGTCCTGAATCTTCCCATATTCCGCTTCATTACTTGTCCACAAGTTCTAGTATTAGCCAAGAGGGAGGAGAACTTTTCCTGATGTGCTTCCTCTGTGACGGGTCTAATTTTGTAAACTTCCGCCCTGCCTCCTCTTCCTCCAGCTAATGACCGCTCCCCACATTAAATGGGAGGCGCACTTTGCGTGGTCGCACGCAGCCCCTGAACCTATGTGGCACCATTAGCACAGGCTTGGCTTCGCCTCCCCCCAGGTGGGATACCTGGAGGTCTCCACCCACCTCAGTCAGTTGTCCAATCCCGCCTGGGGAAGCGTTGCCAAGGTGATCAGGCCAGGTAGGGGGAAGGACCACCTGCCCACACAATAGAGGGAGGATCTTACCTGGGAATCGCCATTTGGCTCCAGGGCTTCTCCCACCCTCCCCTCCCTCAGTTAAGACTTCTTTTGCAGGTTAACCTTTTCTCCACAGGTACGCAGGCGCTGCTACGTCAAGGTCACTGTTCAAGGGCTGGAAAGGAATTCCCCTGCATTGGCAGGTTTGCCTTTCCCGTAGCAAAACGTCACAACTTTCACGGTATCAGGCCTTGGGTGGAATTCTTTAGTCTATCTTCCCTGAATTGGAGGGGTGTGCAGTGGTGACACACGCCCCCCTCCTCTTTGTGGCAGCAATACCAGGGTTCCCTGTTAAAGGGGTTGTTTGAGGGGAGGCACCTAGAGGTCGTCATTGCTCTCCCCTGTGACAACGGCATAACGGGGGCAGACTGTTGGGAAACTGTGTATGTGCAGCTACTCACACAGAGTCAGTTAAGGTTTGGAAGACAGTCAGAAGGCAATCTGAAGGAGTAAGTCTGCCTGATGATAACAGACATGCAGACAGCTCCCTGATTGGTCAAGCTCTCTCAAGGGAGTGATAATTAATGGCCTACTAACTGGATTGTGTTAGTTCAGTATTCAGTGTTCAGAGTTCTGTGTGTCAGTGTAGGAGTTGTGAGTTGTGTGAGAGAGAGCTAGCGAAAGATCCGTGTTCTGTTCCTGTAAATAGTCCACTGTATAGAATAAACACCTAACTACAAGTTCCTGGTTCCTGCTTCATCTAGCCTGCCTGCAGCCAAGTCGCCAATTGCTTCCGTGGATTCTGCGTGTACTCTGCTAGGTCTGGCTAAGGTCCTGCAACTAGTCAGAAAGTTGCGAAACACCAAATAGGTTTTGTCAATACAGACTCTCTCTGCTTGAACATATGTTCTCCAGAGCCAGCCCATCCCCCCCCCCCACACTTGGATAACCCTGATGTTCCCCAGATCCCCGGCAGGGGACTGGGAGGGATAAACGCCCAATGCCTGAGCCAAGGTCTACCCACATCTGAAACATAATAAAGTTGTGGCCAATTTTAATCCCATGCCACGTTGTCTTGAGTCGTTATTCCACTCGGGGGCCGCCCGGGGTTTGGGGGACTCCGCCTGTCCATGCAGATCCAGTTGATGCCCCCTTACGTTCCCATGGGGGTCTCCTTCGCAGCCAAGCGCCATGAGTGGCCCCTAACGCCAGGCCCCTCTCTGCCCTCCAGGTCGCTGTGCCCGCTGCGGGGAGAACGTCGTGGGAGAAGGAACCGGCTGCACCGCGATGGACCAGGTCTTCCACGTGGAGTGCTTCACCTGCGTGACCTGCGGCAACAAACTGCGGGGCCAGCCCTTCTACGCTGTGGAGAAGAAAGCCTACTGCGAGCCCTGCTACATCGTAAGTGTCCCCGACCGCTCTCTGCTTCTGGCGGAGCTGGGTGTTCGTTCATTGTGTTTCTATCCTGCCTTTTCCTTGAAGGACCTCGTGGCTGTCCCCCTCCTCATTCAGTCCTTACGACAACCCTGAGAGGTAGGCTTGGCTGAGAGGCAGTGAGCGGTAGCCAAAGCCACACCCCATTGAGCTTCATGGCCAAGTGGGGTTTCGAACTCCAGCCTCTCCCAGGTCTTAGTCCAGCGCTCTAACCACTCCACTCCACTGACAGGTGTCTCTTCGGATTCAGGAAGACCATTTGTATGTTCTGTGTCTCTCTGATTCTCGAGTCCCCACTTACACCAGGGGTCTCCATGTGAGATGTACCTGCCCCTGGGGTGCAGTGGGATTATCTTTGGGGTGCACCAAGATGCAAGGGGGTGGCACAGGACACTGGAGGTCATACCTGTCGATGTCGATGCTCATTGGCTGTCTGGAGGACTCAGGTGTGAGGAATTTTCTGAGGAATTCATTTCTGGGAATCCCCAAAGCATATGCTGCTTTGCGTCCAGCTAAGCTACTTGGATAAAGTATCTCCTTTGACCCAGATGACAAACGCCTATTTATTGCATTTCTAGCCAACCTTTTTCTCAATAAAGAGCTCAAGGCAGTGCACCTAGTGCTCCTAAACCCCACATTTTATCCTCGCGGCCACCCTGCGAGGTCAGTTAGCCTGAGAGTGAGTGACTGGCCAGAGGTCTCTTCCATTTCTACAATTCTATGAAGTCATGGACTTACACCTTTCTGGAGCAAAAGGGGACCCTTTGATGGATTCCTCTTTAGCATGTGTTTTGGGTAGGTAAGCCAACCCCACCCTTTGCACAACAGAAGAGTCAAGAAACCCACTTTATATGGTGGTCAGGAAGGGGAGACCACGCAGCAGTGTCAAAGTCAAGTCCCGTAGCCTCTGCTTCTCTTACCCTTCAGCATTAGATAAAAATTTACAGCAACGTAAAACTAAACGTTTATGGTCAGCCTCATTGCATTTATGTTTCTTACTGGAAAAGAAGGACAATTTCTTTGGGAGGAAGGTTCCTGGGGAAGCTGACTTTATTTCACTTTCATTTCATTGGCCAAGGTGGGAAGGAAGGACGTTGTGCAACTTCAATCCCAAAGAGAAAGACTATGTAGGAATGTGGCAGAGCTTGGCATGCAGAAGGCCTCACATTCAGCTCTTCCCATCTCTGGTAGTAGAGGTGGAAAAGACCTGATGTCCCAGAGAGGTCAGAAAGGAGAGCAAACTACGCAAGGAGTCCTGTGAGTCATTGAGCCCCTGCCCCACTTGGCCAGTGGACGTTCATAAAATTTGGGAAAAGCCCAAAATTTATCTCAAATCCCGGTCAGTCCTCAAGTTCAATCCCAGTTCAAATGATCTTGGGTTGGCAGACATCTGAGAAAGACATCTGAAGCCACCTATCAGATTGGACAAGTTGGGGTTACAAGGACCAACCTCCTGACTTGGTTTCAAGTATCTTAACAAAGCTGTTCCCCTGTGTTGTTTGGAGGACAGGCCTGTCACTCACAGGATAGCACCTCCCTCTGGCTGAGATAGACAGGATCTAGCATCTTTAGAGCCCTATCCCAGGGGAAGGACCTTCGCACCCCCAGATCCTGCCTAGGACCTTTTAGAAGAGCCTGGGATCAGCCAGGGGGACATTGTAGCTACGCATGAACCACTGCAATTGTGGGAGGGGGATTTAGCAATGATGTTTTGTGCCCGCATCACCCCTATGTTAGGAATTAGGTCACTGGCCTTACAAATCCAAGGAAGGGGAGGTCGGTATTTCCTGCTTCCCCAGATGAGCAACTTGGAGGGAGATCAGATTCAGGACCATGGATAGTTCACCTGCAGCTGAGACTAAACATCTATGTTGTCTCAGCAAGGTTCTGAGTCTTCTTCTGGTTCTCCTCCTCCTCTGCTTCTAGTTCTCCTCCTCCTCTCCCACAACAGCATAAGAATAGCCTGCTGGATCAGGCCAATGGCCCATCTAGTCCAGCCTCCTGTTCCGACAGTGGCCAGACAGATGCCGCTATGGGAAACCAGAAAGCAGGCTTTGAGCACAAGAGCAACCCTCTCCCTTCCTGTGGTTTCCAGCAATTGGTATTCAGAAGCATTTCTGCCTCTGACTGTGGAGGGGTTAGTAGCCATCAATAGCCCTCTCCTCCATGAATTTGTCTTATCCTCTTTTGAAGCCATCGCTGCCTCCTGTGGCAGTGAGTTCCATAGTTTAACTTCCTTTTGTTGTTTTATGCTGCTGCAAGGCCGAGGATCGGCCCTATTACCACTCCCTACCAGCAGCTCACTTCAGTCGCAGCCTTTCCTTGAGCTTCATACCTCTCAAAAAAAGCTCCACTGCATCTCTACGGCTGGGTGGTCTCCATCCCTGGAGTGCTACTTCCTGGCCAGTTGAAAAGTCTTCTTCTGCAGCTGTTGGCTCCTTTGGGGCTAATGGAGTTTCCAACTGTGAGGCATCTCTCCCCAAGATGACTGTGGACCAGCCATCACAAGAGTCTCCTTCAGGCACAAGGAAGGGGAGGCAGTTCTCATGTCCCACATGAGATGGACCAGGGCATCCTTCTCCTCAGAGCTACAGTTTCCAGAGGACTCTGTCTTGGAGGAGGCCTGGTGTAGGGTCACGATCCTGCGCTTGCGAGAGCGGGGAAATCTTTCAAAGGGAAAGGGAGACCCTCCCTCCCGTCTCGCCCTGAATCTGCCATAGTTTTGAGGTGCATCTGCCTCAGGCAGCCCAATAATGGTTTTGAGATTATTTAATCTCATTACTTACGCACTTCATTAGCCTGAGTGAATTGCTGGCAAAGGTTCAGTAAGCTTCCTCCGTTCGGAGATAAAAGGATGAGCAAGAAAAAGCAAGAGGATCCTCGTCCTCTCGCCCGCTTTCAGATTTATCATCTAATCTTTGTTAAAGCATAAAAGAATGGTAATTGGCCGGCGGCGTGAGCCTGATCCTCAGCGCGGCTTTGAGCGCTGGAGGGGCAGGATGACAACCCTCGTCGAGCACAATTGTCCCAGAGCACCGCAAGGACATCTTGCAAGCAACCACCGAGGGTCCCCAGGGGCTCCAGAAAGCTAGCGACATTTAAGAACAACCGGACATTCAAAAGAAATGCAAATACAAAATAGAATAATAGAAATGTGGAGTTGAAAGAGGTCCACGAGGGTCATCAACCCTCTGCAATGCAGAGATCTCAGCTAAAGCATCGGTGACAGAGGGCCACCCAACCTTTGCTTGGAAGCCCCCATGGAAGGACTTTCCATTCCACCGTCAAACAGCTCTCACCACCACAAAGTTCTTCCTAAGGTTTAGTTGGAATCTTCTTTCTCGTAACTTGAATCCATCGGTGGTGAGTTGAACCTCCGGAGCATTTGAGGGATTAACTATTCATCAGTTAAACATCAGGAATAACTTCCTGGTGGTAAGCACAGCAGAACAGACTTGGTCAAAAGGAGGCAGACTCTCCTTCCTTGGAGGTTTTTAAGCAGAGGTTGGATGGCTAGCTGAGATTTTTGCATTGCAAGAGATTGAACTAGATGGCCTTTGGGGTATTTGAAGATCGGTGTCATACGAACTTTCAGTCTCCTCTCCTGCAGGCTTTGTTGTTGTTTAGTCATTTAGTCGTGTCCGACTCTTCATGACCCCCTGGACCAGAGCACGCCAGGCACATCTGTCTTCCACTGCCTCCCACAGTTTGGTCAAACTCATGCTGGTAGCTTCGAGAACACTGTCCCACCATCTCGTCCTCTGTCGTCCCCTTCTCCTTGTGCCCTCCATCTTTCCCAACATTAGGGTCTTTTCCAGGGAGTCTTCTCTTCTCATGAGGTGGCCAAAGTATTGGAGCCTCGGCTTCAGGATCTGTCCTTCCAGTGAGCACTCAGGGCTGATTTCCTTAAGAATGGATAGGTTTGATCTTCTTGAAGTCCATGGGACTCTCAAGAGTCTCGTCCAGCACCATAATTCAACTCCTGCAGGCTAAACATGCCCAACTCCCTTGATCATTCCTGAGAAGGAATGTTCTGATGAATGTTCAGAAGGTGGTGCCTGATGTTCTGTGGGTTCAACAGCCAAGAGCCCCTTACTGAGACCCACCCTCTTCTCCCTGGGTAGGGAAGGAAAAGGAATCGGCGTAAATCCAACACTCCTTTCCCCAAACGCAACTCTGGCCTTGAACTAGACGGGGAATTGGTTGCTTAGGATGAAAAGCAGGACAACGGCCGTGGGCCAGCCCTGCGTGGTTTGCATTGCAAATGCTAAATCTTCTAATGCGTTTCCAATTATCTGGCCTGCACCTTCGCTCAGTCTCTCTCCGTTTGCCATTATTCATATCGTATGAGAAGCCTTGCTGGTCTCTTCTGCCCCTCTCTGCCTCCCCCAGGATGCTAAAACGGTCTCACAAATAACCTGGGGTGGTGGTAGCAGAAACATGTCCGTGTCGCCATGTGGGACGAGGAATGTGTGAATCTGTGCATCTCAGTTTCTCTCTGTTTCTCATTTTTTCAAAGTTCAACTTCTTCGCACCAACTAGCAATTTCTATTGTATTTCTTTCAACAACCAAAAAACCCTTTAGAAATCAGCCTTTTAGTGCTGATGTCTCCTAACAGACAGGCATTTACATGCAATTGTGTCTAATATACATGTTTTCGCAAAGCAAGTATACACACTTTGCTATAATAGGTGCATTTCTGCTGGAGAACTGCGCTGCAAAATTCAGAGAAGTCTGTGTTTCAAAATGTGGCAAAATCGGTGACAGGACACCCAGAGAGAGAGAGGGAGGAGAGGAGAGGAAGGATTGAGAGAATGCAGTGCAATGACTAGCAGGGCAATCCTGCTTGTGTCTACTCATCAGTAAGTCCTATTGTGGGCCAGGTAAGTGGGGTTAGGATTCCAGCCTAAGAGAGAGAGCTCGGAACCAGACAGTCCAGATCTCGCCTAGAACTTAAGCACACCAAGAGGCCCAAAGTTGAGATTCCTGCATTGCAGGGGGTTGGACCTTATGGCTCTCAGGATCCCTTCCAACTAGATTTCCACCACCAGCAGCAGCAAACCTGTGCCTACCACCTGTGCCCATTGTTGCGGCATTTATGCCCTGCCCTTTAGCCAAAGTAGGATGGGGAAGGACTTTCAGGAAAGCTCGCATAATTTTTTTGATTCTCTGTAAGGATAGCCCAAGCACCATTTTTTCAATTGGAAAAACCCGCTGCCTGTGAAGGCACTCAAGAGCAGAGCAGAGATATTATTATTATTATTATTATTATTATTATTATTATTTCAAGAGCAGAGCAGAGATATTATTATTATTATTATTATTATTATTATTATTATTATTATTATCAATAATACCCCACCCATCTGACTGGGTTTCCCCAGCCGCCCTGGGTGGCTTCCAGCAGAATATTAAAATACAATGCTTCATCAAATATTAAAAGCTTCCCTAAACAGGGCTGCCTTCAGATGTCTTCTAAAAATCCGATAGTTGTTTATTTCTTTGACGTCTGATGGCAGGGCATTCCACAGGGCGGGCGCCACCACAGAGAAGGCCCTCTGCCTGATAACCAAGGGGAGAGGCAGGGAGGTCCCTCTTCCTTTCCCCATCCATCGGTTTTCTGCCCCAGTTGCTTCCCTCTTCCCCGTGGGGTTTCCCATCGTTTCCTACTCTTCCAGCTGCTCAGCTCAACCCTACCAGAAGCAGATTTTCCTGATTGAAAGGGACCTTTCATCACCCACCATTTCTGTACCGCGTGTCGTCTCCAGTTCCTTTCCCCTCCCAGCCCATGTGCAACATGGGCAGTCGTAGATTCACAAAAACGCAGGAATCACAGCCATAGAATCTCTGACAGATGGCCGTCCAACCTCTGTTGAAAAGTCTCCAATGAAGGAGAGTCCAGCACTGACCTGTCGGCATGCAGAGGTCCGGGAGGCCAGCTGGCTAGCCCCGGCCGGGCTGTTCCCTTCCAGCTGTCCTGCTGCATGGACCATCGGCCTCTGCTCCAACGGAAATCAGCAACCCAGGCTTCAAAGCCAGGGCACACTATCGGCAGATCGAACTGCGCACCCAGAATAGGCGTGAGGCTTGTGGAAGCATACTACAACTACAGATTTATTCATCATAAATCAGGACAAAGAAACATGTAGCCTCTTTCTCATGTCGTCTCAGAGAGAACAGCTAAAAGCAAAAGCTATACACAATGGAAGTTCCCAGCATACTGTGCTGGAATGTAAACAGGCATGTGACACGTAAGAATCCCATGTCTGTTTCTTAAGGTGGAATGGAAATGTCAACATGACCTCCCTTGCAAGATTGTTGTAAAGACAACTCTAGTCATGCAAGCAAAGGGCTTTGAACACCACAAAGCCCCGAGCCCCTCTAGACATCATTTTCTATGGAGCTTTCATGACGATTTGTGTCTGTGATGCTGTCAGGACAGTCATACGTTGACTCCGGTTTCTTCTTCTTTTTTTGAATATATATTTCAGTGGACAATTTTAGCAAACAAATTATCAATCAACATAACCATTTACATTCTCCCCTTTTTTTCTCCCTCCCCCTCCCCCCCCCAGCACTTCCCTCAGCTCCCCTCCCTGGTTTCTTTGCACATATTATCCACTGCATATTATAAAATTGTACATATCATTGCCTTATCTATCATATATTCAACTGGGAACTTTGTGAATGTTTATTCAAAACCTGCCAAGGAGTCCAAGCCATTTTGTTGTCTTTTTGGATAATTTGTAAAAAGGTCCCATTCTTCCTTGAAGTCACGGTTGTCCTTATTACGCAGTTTGTATGTCAACTTAGCCAATTCTGCATAGCTCAATTTTTCTTGCCACTGTTCTTTCGTTGGGATTTCCTCATTCTTCCATCCTTGTGCTAACAAGAATCTTGCCGCTGTTGTAGCGTACATAAATAGATTCTTTGTTTTTTGGCAGGTCTTGTCCTACAATCCCTAACAAAAATGCTTCAGGTTTCTTTATAAATGTCATTTTAAACATTTTTTTTTCAATTCATTGTATATCATTTCCCAAAAATTTTTAACTTCTCTACATTCCCACCACATATGATAAAAAGTACCTTCTTTTTTACATTTCCAGCATATGTTTGACCCGGTTTTGTACATTTTTGCTATTTGTACTGGTGTGATATACTATCTGTACATCATTTTCATATAGTTTTCTTTCAAAAGAGAACAATCTGTAAATTTCAGATCTACTTTCCACTGTGGATATGTTGATTCCAGTTTAAATGTCGTTTGCATCTGCAAAAGTTTCAGGGGAGACATACCGCTTCATTTCCAATCAGTTCATGCCTGCGTAACTTTTTGCTGAAATCCCATAACTCTTCATGCCAGAAATGTTCTGCTTTTGGGTAGGTGAAGTCATCCTGCCTTGGTTGCGCTATAGCACAAGAGTGCATCTCCGGACAGCAATAATCTAGTATCGCTGGGGAGTTGGAACGGCTAATAAAGCAGAATAAGGTGCAATATGATTCCATTAGGGACGTGGGTGGCGCTGTGGGTTAAACCACAGAGCCTAGGACTTGCCGATCAGAAGGTCAGCAGTTTGAATCCCCGCGACGGGGTGAGCTCCCGTTGCTCGGTCCCTCTCCTGCCAACCTAGCAGTTCGAAAGCACGTCAAAGTGCAAGTAGATAAATAGGTACCGCTCCAGCGGGAAGGTAAAGGGCGTTTCCGTGCGCTGCTCTGGTTCGCCAGAAGCGGCTTAGTCATGCTGGCCACATGACCCGGAAGCTGTACTCCTTCGGCCAGTAAAGCGAGATGAGCGTCGCAACCCCCGAGTCGGTCACGACTGGACCTAATGGTCAGGGGTCCCTTTACCTTTTTATGATTCCATCACCAGTGCACTTGTTGCAGAAAACTGTCATCTGGAGGGACCCTCTGCTTAAATACTCACCAATATTTTTATCAGCGGCTGGGATGCCTGAGCTGGATGCCTGAGCTTGGGTTGGGTGAGCCTTAAATATTGCCCAACGTCTTGTTTCCTTCCCAGAGATACGAACGCGATCATAATCGCCATTTTTACAGCACCTTATCTGCCAAATAGCCTAAATTGAGTTCTGCCGCACTGCCCCACTGCATGGAAAAGAAGGAAACCTGAATCAGGAGGCTTTCACAGCCCGCTTGTTTGGAATGAGATGCGAACTCCTCTGCCCCTCTAAACAAACCTCTGCTTGGAGAATGTTTGCCTGTTAGTTATAGAAAAGGGGGGGGAGCAGGTGGCATATTAATTTCTGCGAGGAGACCTGGCAGCCACAGGTTTGCTGGTGGTGACAGTGGGCAAATCTGTGGCAAGCAGAAAACAAGGGTGCATAATAACCAATAATGTCATCATTAGTCTCTTTGGTGTGTGGCTTACCATGCACAGATCGGGTCTGTTATTATTATTATTTATTATTTTTATCTCCCACATTTATCTGCCAAGGAGCTCAAGGTGACCTCCATGGTTCTCCTCCTCCCCATTTCATCCCACAACAACCCTGTGAGGTAGGTTAATAATAATAATAATAATAATAATAATAATATATTTATTTATACCCCGCCCATCTGGCTGGGTTTCCCCAGTCACTCTGGGCGGCTTCCAACAAAACACTAAAATACAATAACCTATTAAACATTAAAAGCTTCCCTAAACAGGGCTGCCTTCAGATGTCTTCTAAAAGTTTGGTAGTTATTTTTCTCTTTGACATCTGGTGGGAGGGCGTTCCACAGGGTGGGTGCCACTACCGAGAAGGCCCTCTGCCTGGTTCCCTGTAACTTGGCTTCTCACGGTGAGGGAACAGCCAAAAGGCCCTCGGAGCTGGACCTCAGTGTCCGGGCAGAATGTTGGGGGTGGAGATGCTCCTTCAGGTATACTAGACCGAGGCCGTTTAGGGCTTTAAAGGTCAGCACCAACACTTTGAATTTTGCTTGGAAACATACTGGGAGCCCATGAAGATCTTTCAGGACCAGTGTTATATGGTCTCGGTGGCCACTCCCAGTCACCAGTCTGGCTGCCACATTCTGGATTAGTTGTAGTTTCCGGGTCACCTTCAAAGGTAGCCCCACGTAGAGCGCATTGCAGTAATCCAAGCGAGAGATAACCAGAGCATGCACCACTCTGGCCAGACAGCCTGTGGGCAGTGAGAGTCTCATCCTGTGTACCAGATGGAGCTGGTAGACAGCTGCCCTGGACACAGAATTGACCTGTGCCTCCATGGACCAGGGAGGGAGACCAGGGAGGTTGGGCTAAGAGCTGATACCTGGCCCCAGGTCTCCCAGTGAGCTTCATGGCTGATTGGGGATTCGAACCCTGCTCTCCTGGGCCCTAGTCCGACACTCCAACCATTGCTCCACACTGCCTCTCAATTCCCCCAACCCTGCCCCGCTTGACGTCCCCCCCGGCTGCTCCTCCCATTGCCTCCCCTCCCCCTGAAGGTCCGAAAAGATGCAGCAGAGCCACGGCAGCAGTCTTGGGACGGAAAGGGAAGGTTAGTTGCAATATCCTTGCATGCGCTGTTACAAAAGATTGACGAGCGCGATGCTCGCCTTGTGCCAGCTGTCAGCTTTCCAGCCTCGGTACTTATCAGAAGGACGTCGCCCAAGGACGAGCAGCTTGCTCAGGCTGGGGACACGGCTTCGCTAGGCAAATGCGCCGTTTGCCGATGTCCTGATGACATTCTCCCAACCAGGACCGTTTTCCTCCCGTGATGTCATCTCTGTTCCCTGTGACCTGTTGCGGCCCCTCATTTTTGCAAGTATAATGAAGCAAGTTAAGTCTTCCTTTCTGCTGCTCTCCTGGAGCTCTGCAATGGCCTCCTCTGATATACTGTATTTTTTGCTCTATAAGACTCACTTTTTCCCTCCTAAGAAGTTAGGGGAAATGTGTGTGCGTCTTATGGAGCGAATGCAGGCTGCGCAGCTATCCCAGAAGCCAGAACAGCAAGAGGGATCGCTGCTTTCACTGCGCAAAATACGGTATATACCGTATTTTTCCGTGTACAACACGCCCTCATGTATAAGATGCCCCCTATTTTGGGGGACTCAAAATTAAGAAAATTGGGGGGGAGATTGCCCAAAGTTGTTGAGCTTGCACGCATCACGATAGCGCTTATCATCTGTCCCATCACCCGCACAATTAACGAAGCAACAGCCAGTAAACACTACCCCTTGCCACAGCCGCCAATAACAATCTCTGGGTCGCAGCAGCAGCCAATCACACATCAACCCTATGCACTATCCGTGTATAGGACGACCCCAGCTTTTAAAGCTTTTTTTTAATTTAAAAAACCCCTCATCTAATACATGGAAAAGTGCAGTATATTGATTATATTTGTATCCCACCTTTTCTCTCTTTCGGGAATAATAATAATAATAATAATAATAATTAATAATAATACAGCCCCTTTAGTGTATTTGTTGTCATTGTTACACACCTCCACAATCTCTGAGCGGTGAGAGACCCCAGGAGTCCCAGGCACTTGCCCAGGACTTTGTTGCATTGTAATGAAGGTCAGCAGAGACTTTGGTCTTTAATATATATGTGGTTTTATTTACATATATATCCAACCTGTGTATAAGGTGGTGGCGCCTCACAGCATTGACACTCAGCAGTTCTTGCTTCTCTAGCAAGATTTGGATCCAGCCCAGAGCAAGCTGATCTCTGCATCTCCTGCTTCCAGCTTACCTCCAACTCAGCTCCCACACAACTCTGGCAATAATAATAATAATAAATTTTATTTATACCTTGCCCTCCCCAGAGACAGGTGCAGGGTGGCTAACAACAGTAAAATTGCAGTAAAAAACATAATGGGGGGGGGGGACCAATTTAAAATACAGGTTAAAATGCAATTTAAAATGCAGCCTCACTTTAAAAGTAGCTCATAGATCAAAACCATAAGGGGAGGGAAACATCAGGGTCAGACTGAGTCCAAACCAAAGGCCAGGCGGAACAGCTCCGTCTTGCAGGCCCTGCAGAAAGATGTCAAGTCCCGCAGGGCCCTAGTCTCTTGTGACAGTCTCTTGAGAGCCAGTGTGGTGTAGTGGTTAAGAGCGGTAGTCTCGTAATCTGGGGAACCGGGTTCAAATCCCTGCTCCTCCTCATGCAGCTGCTGGGTGACCTTGGGCCAGTCACACTTCTTTGAGGTCTCTCAGCCCCACTCACCTCACAGAGTGTTTGTTGTGGGGGGGGGAGGGAAAGGAGAATGTTAGCCGCTTTGAGACTCCTTAAAGGGAGTGAAAGGCGGGATATCAAATCCAAACTCTTCTTCTTCTTCTTCTTCTGACAGAGCATTCCACCACGTCGGGGCCAGTACTGAAAAGGCCCTGACCCTAGTTGCGGCCAATCTAACCAACCTGCCACCTGGGACCACCAAAATGTTGTCATTTGTGGACCTTAAGGTCCTCCGCAGGGCGTACCAGGAGTGCAGTCCCATAGGTGGTAATAATAATAATAATAATAATAATAATAATAATTATTATTATTATTATTATTATTTTATTTATACTCCATCCATCTGGCTGGGCCTCCCCAGCCACTCTGGGCGGCTTCCAACAGAATATTAAAACCACAATAAAATTTTGTTGTTTAGTCGTGTCCGATTCTTCGTGACCCCATGGACAAGAGCACGCCAGGCACTCCTGTCTTCCACTGCCTCCCACAGTTTGGTCAGACTCATGTTTGTAGCTTCGAGAACACTGTCCCACCATCTCGTCCTCTGTCGTCCCCTTCTCCTTGTGCCCTCCATCTTTCCCAGCATCAGGGTCTTTTCCAGGGAGTCTTCTGTTCTCATGAGGTGGCCAAAGTATTGGAGCCTCAGCTTCAGGATCTGTCCTTCCAGTGAGCACTCAGGGATGATTTCCTTCAGAATGGAGAGGTTTGATCTTCTTGCAGTCCATGGGACTCTCAAGAGTCTCCTCCAGCACCATAATTCAAAAGCATCGATTCTTCAGCGATCAGCCTTCTTTATGGTCCAGCTCTCACTTCCATACATCACTACTGGGAAAACCATAGCTTTAACTATATGGACCTTTGTTAGCAAGGTGATGTCTCTGCTTTTTAAGATGCTGTCTAGGTTTGCCATCGCCTTTCTCCCAAGGAGCAGGCGTCTTTTAATTTCGTGACTGCTGTCACCATCTGCAGTGATCATGGAGCCCAAGAAAGTAAAATCTCTCACTGCCTCCATTTCTTCCCCTTCTATTTGCCAGGAGGTGATGGGACCAGTGGCCGTGATCTTCATTTTTTCGATGTTGAGCTTCAGACCATATTTTGCGCTCTCCTCTTTCACCCTCATTAAAAGGTTCTTTAATTCCTCCTCACTTTCTGCCATCAAAGTTGTGTCATCTGCATATCTGAGGTTGTTGATATTTCTTCCGGCAATCTTAATTCCGGACAGGGATTCATCCAGCCCAGCCTTTCGCATGATGAATTCTGCATATAAGTTAAATAAGCAGGGAGACAATATACAGCCTTGTCGTACTCCTTTCCCAATTTTGAACCAATCAGTTGTTCCATATCCAGTTCTAATAAAATATCATACATTAAAAACTTCCCTAAACAGGGCTGCCTTCAGATGTCTTTGAAAAGTCAGATAGTTGTTTATTTCCTTGACATCTGACAGGAGGGCGTTCCACAGGGCGGGCGCCACCACAGAGAAGGCCCTCTGCCTGGTTCCCTGTAACCTCACTTCTCGCAGGGAAAGAACCACCAGAAGGCTGTCGTAGCTGGACCTCAGTGTCGGGGCTGAACGATGGATCTCAAGGTGGTGTGTGTGGCTCTCTCCCCCTCGTCTTTTAATCCTCACAACAAGCCTGTGAGGTAGAGGTTAGGCTGGGAGTCAGTGACTGGCCCCCAATGTCACACCCAGCAAGCCTCATAGCTGAGTGAGGATTCGAACACAGGTCTCTCCCAGGTCCGAAACTCCAACCATTAAGGGCACACCCTGGCTCTGTGGTCTCTTGCTGGGTCTGAATCTGTTTGGAGGTCATCTGTTTGCAGGATCAGGTCTAAAATAGTTCCCCTGCCAAGTCTTGCTGACATATTAAATTGTGTCGCTTCACACTGCTTTATTCCCAGTTCCCTATTCTTTTTATTCTTTTACACCTGGTTTTAGAGGGTTTGACCCCAAATGGAATAATTTACAGCGAAATACAGATACCCTCGTAATAACAACAGGAATTGATAATAATAGTAGTAACTGTCGTTTGAAGGCAAGCCTCTCTGAGGCCCAGATCCAACGTTCCTACTCTCTTGGTGTCAAATGGGGCTTGGGCAGGAGAACCTTTCTTGCGGTTTGTGCCTTCGCGTATAAAAAGAAAGCAGATGCCAGATCCATACTGTAAAGAACAGCTATTTTTAAAATAATATAATTCATTTGCTGTTTTTTTTCCCATAAAAGAGATTATGAAGAAGAATAGCAGCCAAGTAAGAATGTAAATCAGATGCAAGAAGAACATTTAGAGAATATATATATATATATATATATATATATATATGCAGGCACATTTTTAAAAATCCTGTATTTTTGTTTTTATCACAACCCAAATTGGAGAGTAATTTACGGAAAGTGCTTGTCTGTGTGTGCTGCTCCCAGCGCTCGGTAATTTGAATTTTAACTGCTCAGTGGGATCATTAAGACTATTATGTTTGTTTCCCAAAGAGTATAAAGAATTCTGAGTGACTACTTGAAAAACAAAAGGGTGGGGAGAAGAAAGATGAAATTCATTAAAATGCCTCTCACACTCTTTGAACTGAAGAACACCTGAGCCCGCTCAGGATATAACCCTCTGTGGTCGCTTGGCCCCCTCTGCAGGTATAGATCAAATACATTGCTTAGGGTTGAATTTGGGGGAGCTGGGGGCTTTTGTTTTGCCAGTGTCAGAAAGAAAAAAAGGTAAATAGGTAAAGGACCCCTGGACGGTTAAGTCCAGTCAAAGACGACTCTGGGGTTGCGGCGCTCATCTCGCTTTCAGGCCAAGGCAGCCGGCGTACAGCTTCCGGGTCATGTGCCCAGCAGGACTAAACCACTACTGGCACAACGTGACACTGTGACCGAAACCAGAGCGCATGGAAACACTGTTTACCTTCCCTCCACAGTGGTACCTATTTACAGTCATACCTTGGGTTGAAGTAGCTGCAAGTTAAGTATTTTCGGGTTGTGCTCCGCGGTGACCCGGAAGTAGCTTTCGCATGCGCAGACGCTCAAAATGACGTCACACGCATGCGCGGAAGTGGCAGAACGCGACATGCGCAGATGTGCAGTTGTGTCTTACGTTTACTTCAGGATGCGAACGGGGCTCCGGAACGGATCCCGTTCGTATCCAGATGTACCACTGTATCTCCTTGCACTGGCATGCTTTTGAACTGCTAGGTTGGCAGGAGCTGGGACAGAGCAACGGGAGCTCACCCCATCACGGGGATTCGAACCGCCTACCTTCCGATCGGCAAGCCCAAGAGGCTCAGTGGTTTAGACCACAGCGCCACCCGTGTCCCTAAGTAAAAGTAACCACAGCCAAGAGTTGGGGGCCCTAAAAACCCAGCAGAACTGCCTGCCAGAACTGGATATGCCAGTCAAAACAAGCAGGGGTTGTGTACCAGTATGGCAGAAAAAGAGGTCAGAGGAGTCAAAACCAGACGAGGCAGCAGTCAGGAAAAGACAGCCAGTTGCATGACCATCTTCTCTGCTATGTTGCTCAGACTGAAGAGCGAGTTCCGAAACACCGTGCATTATAGGGTCTCGTGGTCTGGGATTGGTTCCCTGCAGAGTCAGCTGACCGGATGTCCCGGGAGAGTAGTTCTGCAGCACGGAGCCGAATTTGCCAAGCTGGCCGCGGAAACGGGGTGCTGGCAGTGCAGGGGGGTCACAAGGTGGACTCATGCACAAGGCCCTCTGTCCAAGAAGGACAGGGAGGTGGGCGCCTGGCTCTGGCAGCCAGGAAAATGTGGGCCCATTGAAGAATTCCAGTGCAGGAGGGACTGAGCCGCTGCAAACAGAAACTGGGAAACACCCGGAGGAAGGCAAATCAGCTTTGGAAACCTTAAGGCTCCTTCATCAGCGGGAAGGAGAAATCTATTTGGTGTTCCAAGTGGTGGGGGGAATATTATTCTTCCCAGCTCTTCTGCATCAGAAAGCAAGGAGGATGTAAACTTTTCATGTATGCTACAACTGCAGCAAGGATGCTACTGGCACAAAGATGGAAAAGCGATAAAATACCAACCAAAGAAGAATGGCAAGAGAAACTTATGGAATATGTCGAAATGGCAAAACTAAGTGAAAGACTTTGAAATAAGGACAAAAATTCCTTTAGGAAAGACAGGGAACCATTTTCGGCCTATTTACAGAATCAATGCAAAGAATTGGACTCATAAGTAGGTTTTGAATAATCATTTACAATTAGCAAAATATATACAATTTGGAAGTGAAAGGAGTGAAAAAGGAAATAGGCAGGAAATGATATTATTTTGAAATAAACCAGAGAAGGAGGTTGAAGGAAGTTGGGGAGAATGGGGGAATTTTGGAATTGTGAATTATGTTATTTGTTATGATGTAATATTGAAAAAATGGTAAACTTAATAAAATTTAAATTTTAAAAAAGCAAGGAAGATGTTTGCCTTTTGCAAAGTGCAAAGTTGGTTGAATTAAGGAGAACAGCAGGCGCACCTGTGGCGTGGGCTGAGAGGGAATTATCGGCCTGGAAGGATGCCATAAGAAAGGCAAAGAAGGAAAACCGCACGGTGGACATTCCAGCATGGATGGAGGGCAAGAGAGGCTTTTTGCAGGTGCTCAGGAACAACTTTCCATCCCAGGCAGTGGGATCACCTTGACTGCGGAATCTCAAGGCTAGAAAAGTCAAACCACCCCCCACCCCCAGAGAATAATGGATGGAGGGTAATGAGATGCAGCCGCTTGCAAACAGAGCTCTGTGCGTTTTGAGTGTGCTGTTTGTGGCACCTGCCAAAGCAGAGACGCAAAGGTTGCTGTGTCCCTCTTTTCACGCGATGTTCTAGCACAGCGGCTGAAAGTCCCGGCTCCAATCCCTGCCCTGTCCTGCAACCATGGAGAACTGCCGACAGTCATTATGGACTGGAATTGGACCTGGACAAAGGTCTGGGTTGCTCTCTGCCCCACCCTCCATGGACCAAGTTAGGCAGGTGAAGATGGCTGCCCACCCTCTGATCTCCTGATGTCACGGTGACATCCATTTTCACCTACGCAGTGAGAAATTAATACTGTGCAAGTGCAAGCTCACCATGGTGCTACTACGCTTTGGAGATCCAGCATTCAGCTGGTCGCCGGGGCTTTGAGTGCTGCACGCAGCTCCCAGAAAGCACCAAACATCAGTGCTTGCAAAAAAACCAGCTGGGGCTTTGCAGGGGCTCCCAATCAGCTGATCATTGGCACCTCCAAACCCCTTTTTTGGTCTGACCTCATTTTACCTGCCAGGTGTAGGGCAGGTGGGCATGGAGCTCCGATGGAGAGCTCTGTTGCTTTCACGTCTTGCCTGGGGACACTTCCTGGGGGTGTCTGGCCCCTGGGAGAAGTTCTGTTGCTGAGAACTTTCACAGAATCTTAGAGCTGGATGGAACCTCAAGGGTCATCTAGTCCAACCCGCTGCAAGGCAGGAAACACGACTAAGGCACCTGAGACATATGGCCATCCGACTGCCGTTTAAAAACCTGCAATGAATGAGAAAGATGCTGAAATATACATTCATTAAAAAACCAGAAGCATTTTTACTTAGCATTGTAGGGGAGGATGTTAACAGACAGGACTGTAAGTTGTTTTTATGTGCAGTAGCGGCAGCAAGAATACTATTGGCACAGAAACGGAAGCAAGAAGAATTACCGACGGAAGAAGAATGGCAAATTAAATTAATGGACTATGCAGAATCAGATAAATTAACAGGAAGGATTTGAAACCTGCGGGACCAGAGATTCTTAGAAGACTGGAGTAAATATTTGAACTATTTGAATAGCAATTGTAATAATCAGATTATGCTAGTAGGACTGCAGGAAGTTCTGTAAGGAGGATTATATGAAATATTGCAAGGAAGACTATGAAGAGAATTATTAGTTAATGATAATTAAAAGTAATAGAGAAATTAAGAAATGCAGAATAAGTGATAAAGAACGAAAAATCTTCAGAGGTTGTTGGCGGAAGTCTAAAATATTGTATAAGATAAGAAGTTATGTTAAATGACTGTTGGAAATGATATGTTAAAAATTAATAAAATTGTGTGTGTGTGTGTATGGACACAGGTGGTGTTGTGGGTTAAACCACAGAGCCTAGGACTTGCAGATCAGAAGGTCAGTGGTTCGAATCCCCACGACGGGGTGAGCTCCCATTGCCTGGTCCCTGCTCCTGCCAATTTAGCAGTTTGAAAGCACGTCAAGTGCAAGTAGATAAATAGGTACCGCTCTGGCGGGAAGGTAAACAGTGTTTCTGTGCGCTGCTCTGGTTCGCCAGAAGCAGCTTAGTCATGCTGGCGACATGACCCGGAAGCTGTACGCCGGCTCCCTCGGCCAGTAAAGCGAGATGAGCACTGCAACCCCAGAGTCTTCCTGATGTTTAGTCGGAACCTCCCTTCTTGTAACTTTTCAAGTCCTACCCTCCAGGGAAGAAAACAGACTTGCTCCCTCTTCCATGGGGTAGCCCTTGAGATATTTGAAGATGGCTCTCATATCTCCTCTCAGTCTCCTCTTTTCCAGCCTAAACATACCCAGCTCCTTCAACCGTTCTTCATACAGCTTCATAAGACCCTTAATCATCTTCGTCTCCCTCCTCTGCACACCTTCCAGCTTGTCAATAACTTTCTTAAACTACGGTGCCCAGAACTGGACACAGGACATCATGTTTCCTCAACTTTTCCAATCTGTCAGTATCTCAGGACCAGCTGAACAGAGAGGAGAGATGCTGTTGTAGTTTCTAATGTATTTATTTAAAATATTTCATCTTCAAAGGTCTCTCTCCAGGATTCAGAAATGCTGGCACATTCACACCCTCACCCTCCATGCCCAGCTTGGGCGACACAAGGCAAGAGAGGCACGTTTGGAAACAGCCCCTCCCCCAACGACCCCTGATGCAGGAAGGACCCCCTGCCTTCTCTGTCCTATAATCCCTGAGACACAAGACACAGCATCTCAGCCTGTTTCTTGTGCCCTCCCCATTTAGAAGCCAGCCATTCATGAGCTGCGATTCCTGTGGAGTAGATAAACTCTACGATTTATGGTGGGGAAGAACGGAACCATTGCACTCATTGCCCGAACTTCATGGAGCAGAATGAAGCCATCCCACCCCCACCCCCTTCACTAGCAGAAAAGGGGGGCCTTGAGGTCCAGAAGTGACTTCGTAGGTGACATTAGCCAGAAGTGTCCAAATACGGTCACACAGAAGAAAAACCGTGCTTAACCTTTGACTCTCCTGCCATTTATCCGCTCACAATCACCCTCCACAAACTGATTTTCTCTCTGCAGGGGAAAAGAGATTCAGAGATCCCTCGTCCCTTCTGCCCTTGCAGCTGGGAAATCAACTGGGAAAGGACCCTTTGGAGTGGGAAAACAGCCTCAGGCGAGAGAGTTAAGCAGCCCACTGCCCCTCTCCCACTTAAAATCACCCCGGGCTGCTTTGCAGTGTAAAACCCCCAGGAGCTGCTCACCTGCCTACGGTTGTAGCTTCTAGTATATCTGCTTTCATTTGCTGGTGGAAATTCACAGAGCTGGTGGGCCAGAGGCAGGGTCTCTGGTGCCAGCCAGGCCACAGTTTCCCCTTTGTAATTTGGAAAATGAAGCTTTTGCCTTGTCATCTTTTTTTTTTTTTTGTACTTTATTAATTTTTAATTCCGTTAAGTGTTTGTGGATGGGGAAAATGCATGGGCTGTAAGTGAGATCTGTTATTCCATTTCTGTACTCCGTTGCAAGGGGCAAAATATCAATAACAATAAAGGAGTTGTTAGCCGTACTGAATACTGAAAAGGGCTGTGGATGTGCAGAGTAATAAATGTGCTATTCGTGTGACTGTGGGTGTCTTTTGCTGTAAAGAATCGCTCTCTACTTTGAATTACAAGCATCCTCATTTGCTGAAACCCTTATGCTATATAGCTATACATGCACATCTTTTTCTAAACTGGCAGCCAGGTTATCACTTCATGCTCCTGCCTCTTCTTTCAGACTTTCCCTCTCCATCACTTCATTTTTTTTATTCTTTATTCTTTTTAAACCCTTTTTATGGAGCCCTTACATCTGTTAATAAAAACCCTTAATTCATTCTGAACATTTTACAGCCACTCCAGATAAAAGTTTAATCAGATGGAATTATTGCCCTTCTAATATTCCCTTAACCTTTGCGTTCCAGATCCACACTGTATCACTTAAAATTTTAAACCCCTCTTTTACGGACTTAGCTTTTTCCCTCCCCACTTTCCTCTCGGAGACGTTTTTCGCACCTGGAAAGTGCCCTGGCGCATCCTCCGGGTCGCGGGATACTAAACCCCCGTTCCAAGCAGGCCTCCTATGTTCCCCGTTAATTATCTTAATGGTGACATGCTGCTTTAAGAGACACCTTTATTAATCCCACTAAATCTCCTCTTTTTATTGTTGCTTAAACACTTTTTCCTATCCATTACGTAGATGTGTTTAAAGCAGCCTGTCTGCTGGAATGAATGGCTCCATAACTCCGCACAAACTGCCCCGGCGCGTTTCGATTTCGCGCCCTCGGCAGAAAGGGAGAGGGATGGAGCGGGGAGCGGATGGGGGGGGGAGACAATGTTCTGTTCTTTGCAGAGTGTCCCTTTCCTCGCAAGGCGAGGCTGCCATCAAATCTGGGTGGCGGAGGCGTTGTGAAGAACAGGCTCCCCGCCGGAGCCACAAATCCTACCCCGCGGCTGCTAATGATATGTTAAATTATGGCAACACAAAAGCAGTTTAAGCTCCTCATTTACTCCGTGCTTCAGCACCGTACATTCTGTTAGCTTTGGGCGTTCTCCTCCTCGCTCATCTCCTTCGTACGTTTCCAACGACTTCATACGGCGTCGATCGTACGGAATCGTAAGTCGGTTGCAGCAAGGCTGGCCCCGCGATGTTTCCGCAAAGGATTTATTGGCACTCCACAAATAATTGTTGTTCAACTCGTAGGTTTCCAGGGCTAGTAAGTCAGGAGCTGGGAGATGGATCCAGCGGGAGGGTGTAATAACCAATGTGGGGTGAGTTTCTCCTTGGGGGTTGATTAATCAGTCGAGTGAATGTATTTATATACTGCTTAATGCTTATAAGAGCCTCTAAGCAGCTTACAAAATAATAAATGCAATATGTAGCAAACAGGAAAAAAACGAGAAACTACAATATTATGCAGTGCAGCACTGAGCAAAGCTACACTAAATCTATGGCAACTCAAAAACATAGCAGCATATTTTGAGACATTTTGGATTCAGGGATCCTCCTCGGGCCGAGGCACAGTCCTAACTTGCAAAATTCTGCACATCACACCAAAAGCCTTCTTTACATTGACACCATCATTAAAGGAAACCCTGCAACTCCATTCAGTCTCATTCATCAAATTCTACTCCCAGACCTCCACCAATACGCACAAAGACAACATTCAGCCCATTGGTGCACACAAGAACTGAAGTTCAAGTACAGAGGCTCACATCCCATTCACAGATTGTTGTTGTTGAGTCGTTTAGTCGTGTACGACTCTTTGTGACCCCCTGGACCAGAGCATGCCAGGCCCTTCTGTCTTCCACTGCCTCCCGCAGTTTGGTCAAACTCATGCTGGTAGCTTTGAGAACAGTATCCAACCATCTTGTCCTCTGTTGTCCCCTTCTCCTTGTGCCCTCCATCTTTCCCAACATCAGGGTCTTTTACAGGGAGTCTTCTCTTCTCATGAGGTGGCCAAAGTACTGGAGCCTCAGCTTCAGGATCTGTCCTTCCAGTGAGCACTCAGGGCTGATTTCCTTCAGAATGGATCGGTTTGATCTTCTTGCAGTCCATGGGACTCTCAAGAGTCTCCTCCAGCACCAGAATTCAAAAGCATCAATTCTTCGGCAATCAGCCTTCTTGATGGTCCAGCTCTCACTTCCATACATCACTACTGGGAAAAACATAAACTTTATTCAGTAATCTGTTACTGGACAGATTCTGAAGAGTCCATGGGAGCATTCCTGTTGGCTTACTTGCAGTACATTTAAAACGGATCTAGGGATCTTGGTGGACCACAAGCTGAACATGAGTCAACAGTGTGATGCGGCAGCAAAAAACAGCTAATGCTATTCTAGGCTGCATCAACAGAAGACTAGTGTCCAGATCAAGGGAAGTCATTGTACCGCTCTATTCTGCCTTGGTCAGACCACACTTGGAATACTGTGTCCAATTCTGGGCACCACAATTTAAGAAGGATGTTGACAAACTGGAAGGTGGGCAGAGGAGGGCAGCCAAGATGATCATGGGTCTTGAAACCAAGCCTTATGAGGAACGGTTGAGGGAGTTGGGTATGTTTAGCCTGGGAAAGAGGAGGCTGAGAGGAGATAAAGGTAAAGGGACCCCTAATTGTTAGGTCCAGTTGTGGCCGACTCTGGGGTTGCAGCGCTCATCTCGCTTTACTGGCCGAGGGAGCCGGCGTACATCTTCCAGGTCACGTGGCCAGCAGGACTAAGCCGCTTCTGGCGAACCAGAGCAGCGCACGGAAATGCCATTTACCTTCCCGCCAGAGCGGTACCTATTTATCTACTTGCACTTTGACGTGCTTTCAAACTGCTAGGTGGGCAGGAGCTGGGACTGAGCAACGGGAGCTCACCCCGTCACAGGGATTCGAACCGCCGACCTTCTGATCTGCAGGCCCTAGGCTCAGTGGTTTAGAGGAGATTGAGAGGAGATCGCCATCTTCAATTATCTCAAGGGCTGTCCCATGGAAGAGGAAGCATGCTTCTTTTCTCCTGCTCTGGAGGGTAGGACTCGAACCAATGGCTTCAAGTTACAAGAAAGGAGATTCTGACTCAACATTCAGTATAAGAGAGCTTCCTATGCCTCTCATAGGCTGTGTTTACTATTCCCACCCTTGCTTCTTCCCACTTCCTTCATCTCGTAAAATAATAGTAATCGTGTTTTCAAGATTAATATAAACAGATTGCAACAGTATGTGCGCGCTCTCTCTCTCTCCCTCTCTCCAATGGGCAGATAAATATATTCCTCCTGCAAAGGAACAATGATTAAATAATTCACGAGGCGTCGCAAACCCAGGAGTAATAAGCGCTCCATTTTCTTGGGTAAATTCCGAGATCCCAAAGGAGCTCATTGGTCCGCCTTTCTTCCTAATGTTCAATAATTTTCTGCAACCTGGCACTGGCCCCTCGAGCCCGCCAAAATCTTCCGCTGGTCCCCTCCCTCCTCACCCACCTCGAAATACCTTGCAGGTGTCAGGGGAGAGAGAGGGAAATTCATGGACTTAATTTCCTCCAGTTCTTTTGCTCCCAAGGCTGAGCCTCCCTTGCAACCGTATCCCTTATCTCTTTGCATTCAAACTCGCCTGGGTGTGTATCTTTCCAACTTTCCCCCCAGCAAATAAATCCTCAGTGGTGGTCCAGTTGTGGTGGTCCGGCCTGCTTCACCCTTCCCTCCTTGTGCTTTTTCCTCCTCCAAATCTCTCCCCCAGCTATTTTTCACTCCACCAGGGAAAAGATGACTCTTCATATCTCCCACTCTCTATGGCAAAATGTATTCGGGGGAGATGATTTTTCAGCAGGGGAGGAAAATACCTCAAAGCGAGGGAAAGTAAGCAGACAGCTCTCATCCCACTCTCCTCAGTCTCGTTTGCTGCTTCTGAGGCCACTTTTTCCATTTCCTAGAATTGTAGAGATGGAAGGCGTCCAGGGTCATCTAGTCCAACCCAATGCAATGCAGGAATCACAGCAAAGAAGGTCGCTGACAGATGGCTGTCCAACCTCTGCCAAAAAAACCTCCACAGAAGGAGACACCACCATCTTTCAAGGGAGACCGTTCCACTCTTGAACGGCTCGTACCATCAGAAAGTTTTAGTCAGAATCTCCTTTCTTGACCCGGTGAAGGTCCAGTGTGAGTGTCTGGAGGTGGTTGGAGGATGGATGGCAGCTAACGGATTGAGGTTGAACCCTGACAAGAAGAGAAGTACTATTTTGGGGGGACAGGAGGCGGGCGGGTGTGGAGGACTCCCTGGTCCTGAATGGGGTAACTGTGCCCCTGAAGGACCAAGTGTGCAGCCTGGGAGTCATTCTGGACTCACAGCTGTCCATGGAGGCGCAGGTCAGTTCTGTGTCCAGGGCAGCTGTCTACCAGCTCCATCTGGTACGCAGGCAGAGACCCTTCCTGCCCACAGACTGTCTCGCCGGAGTGGTGCATGCTCTAGTTATCTCTCGCTTGGAGTACTGCAATGCGCTCTACGTGGGGCTACCTTTGAAGGTGACCCGGAAACTACAACTAATCCAGAATGCGGCATCTAGACTGGTGACTGGGAGTGGAGACGCTCCTTCAGGTATACTGGGCGGAGGCCGTTTAGGGCTTAAAGGTCAACACCAAAACTTTGAATTGTGCTCGGAAATGTACTGGGAGCCAATGTAGGTCTTTCAAGACCGGTGTTATGTGATGCTTCTGAATCTCAGTTGCCGGAGAGCACGGGAGGGGATAGTGGTCTTGTGTTCAAATCCTGATTTGGTCCTGAGTGGTCTTGTGTTCAAATCCTGATTTCTGGCTTCCCCTTGGGGCATCTGCTCAGCCCCTGTGAGAACAGGGTGCTGGACCAGGTGAACCACTGTCCTTGCGTTTCTGTGACCAGGCTGCCTCCAGCCTCAGCGAGCCCAAAATGTGCAGAATGCAAGATTTGTGAATGCAACCCTAAGCCTGGAAACACTGGCACTTACTTTCAAGTAAGCACGTGTCCAGTTGTGCTGCAGAGGAACAGTCTCCCTTGAGAGGTGGTGGACTCTCCTCCCTTGAAGGTTTTCAAGCAGAGGTTGGATGGCCGGCTGTCAAGGAATGCTTTAGCTGAGATTCCTGCATTGCAGAGGGTTGGGCTAGATGACCCTCAGGGTCCCTTCCAGCTCTAGGTTCCTGGGTCCTACTGCTCAAATTGTGGGCTTCCCATGAGGGTGTTTTGTTGGCCACTGCAAGAACAGGACGCTGGTCTAGTTAGGCTGCTGGCCTGATCCAAGAGGGCTCTTACGTTTGTAAGTGTGAAGGAGATCGAGTTTCTCCTAATTCCCTCCGAAAGCAGGGAGGTTCAGTATTCGGGCACCAGAACCTTCTCGTTTCATGCTGAAGCAAAGACCCTGAGAGTGAGAGAGAGCCGCTGGTGGGTCTCCGCAAGAGATCTTCTTTTCCCCGCATTCATCCAGCGGTGTCTTCTTTCGCCATTATAATTTATAACCAGCAATTGGCGATTTTATCACCCAGCTAATAATAATAAAAGAGTCAAGTGTAGACTGTGCTTGCTTCCACCTCTGAGAGTTTTTATGATCTTTTAACGAGCTTAATTAATCTGGCTGTCATTGTTGGAGCTGCGTGTTTCTCAGGGAGCGAAGGCCCTCTGCTGTTCCCAGACACAAAACTCCATCTCAGGCATGCAGAGATTCAGGATTAGAAGCCTCGAAAACCCTGGTCTTCTGTGGCCTTCCCCCAGTAACGAACTGGGCGCTCCTTGGTCTTGTTCGAAAGGGTGTAGTGGTTCTAGGGGTTGCTCGTGCGTAAGCCGGTGCAAACACCTGGCTGGGTTGCCTGAGTGAACCTTTTCTGTCCGGACAGCCACTCACCCGTGGCTGTCTCAATCGCTGACAGAATCCGTCAGTGAGCGTTTCTTAAACTTCTTCCAGCAAAGAAGCTCTTTGACGCCTAGTCTCCTCCTACTCTCTCTGCGCGAAAGCCTTCTGCGCAAGGAGGGCGTAGGCAGCGGAGGACCCCTACTCTCCCCGCTGGTCCCTGGCAAGGAGTCATGGGACCGCCTCGCCACTTCCCCCATCTGCCCCCCTTCACCACTGGTGCTACGCTGATTCTCTTCCCCAGAAGATGGGCTGCCTCTCCCAATTCCGGGACGCTCTCTGGAATCCCTCTGCATCTTGCTCTCTCCCTCCGGCACTGATGGCAGTTCCCTGACAAAGGGAGTCCAGAGATAAAAGGAGAACCGTGACGAGGTCAGGGAAATCTTCCAGGATAAACCCGCACCTCCTCTGTGTTCCTGTAAGCCTGCATGAATGATCTGGGAGTGATCAGATCATGCAAACCTTTGCTGCAGTCCTGTTTGGAATACTGGGTACTGTTCTGGATGCCTCACCTTAGAAAGGAGGAAGAAGAGTTGGAAAGGGTTCAGGAAAAGGCAAACAAAATGGTCCATGGGATGGAGAGACCATGTTATGAAGGAAGGTTACAGCATTTGGGACTTTTTAGACTAGTGGAAAGGTTGTTTGTTGGCATCCATCTGTCTCAAGACGCAATGGAGTGCGCCTCTGGGGGTGAAGTCAAACAACCGCTGCTTGCAGTGCAAGCCTGGGCAGTGTGTCTGGAGGTCCTGGGCTGCCCAGGCAACAGGCCCCTCCCCTCGGTCCCGTTGATGTAGTTAGACTGTGGAACTCACTCCCACAGGAGGCAGGGGCTGCCAATAACCTGGATGGCTTTAAAAGAATTAGACAAATTCTTGGAGCCGTTGATGGCTACTAGCCAGGATGGCTGTTTTCGACCTCCATAGTTGGAGCCAGTGTGGTGTAGTGGTTAAGAGCGGTGGACTCGTAATCTGATGAACTGGGTTCGCTTCCCCGCTCCTCCACATGCAGCTGCTGGGTGACCTTGGGCCAGTCACACTTCTCTGAAGTCTCTCAGCCCCACTCATCTCACAGAGTGTCTGTTGTGGGGGAGGAAGGGAAAGGAGAATGTTAGCCGCTTTGAGACTCCTTAAGGGTAAAGGTAAAGGGAACCCCTAACCATTAGGTCCAGTTGTGGCCGACTCTGGGGTTGCAGCGCTCATCTCGCTTTATTGGCCGAGGGAACCGGCGTATAGCTTCTGGGTCATGTGGCCAGCATGACTAAGCCGCTTCTGGCGAACCAGAGCAGCGGACGTTTACCTTCCCGCCAGAGCGGTATTTATCTCCTTGCACTTTGACGTGCTTTCAAACTGCTAGGTTGGCAGGAGCAGGGACCGAGCAATGGGAGCTCACCCCGTCGCGGGGATTCGAACCGCCGACCTTCTGATCAGCAAGTCCTAGGCTCTGTGGTTTAACCCACAGCGCCACCCCTTAGGGTAATGATAAAGCGAGATATCAAATCCAAACTTCTCCTCCTCTTCTTCTTCTGAAATAAAATAAGTTTCCCAAACTCCTTAGTTGAAGCAGCATCAAAAATATGAAGGAGATCCACAGATCTTGAAATAAAAATTTAGCATCCTGGATGATTGGCTGGCTTCTGTATGTCTCGGGAGACAATAGAGGAATGTGCCATTGGGCGGGGGGGGAGTCAAACAGCACCAATACAGGAGAGACATGTTTTGTTGCAGCTGGGGCAGATGAAGGCATCCAGTTGTGCTGCTGCAGATGCACCATGGTCAACTGGTTGTCCCAGTGGGAAGTCTGCTAGCAGGTCCTGGGTGCAAGTACCCCCCCCCCCGTGGTTTCCAGCAAATGGTATTATTCAGAAGCACACTGATCCCGGTCATTGGTGCTGTGTGGGGCTTCTCTCCCTCAGGAAGTGAGGGAACCAAGCCTCACAGCTCATGAGGTCCTTTGGTTGGTGAACTATTTCCCCAGGAGACTCCTTAGCGTAGTGATAAAGCGGGATATCAAATCCAAACTCTTCTTCCACTTCCACTTCCTCTTCCTCTTCCTCTTCCTCTTCTTCTTCTTCTTCTTCTTCATCATCATCATCATCATCATCATCCCAGTTGCTAGAAACCACAGGAAGGGATGTTGTGCTCAGATCTTCCTTGCTGCTTTCCCACAAGCTGATTTCCAGAACAGGATTTCAGACTAGATACGTCATTGGCCTGATCCTGCAGCCCCTTCTTACATTCTTAACCCCCTTGTTTTTAGCATCAACGCTGTCATTTCTTCATTTTGGTGGCCGCCGACTCCCTTGACCTTACAGTGTTCACAACTGAAAAGGATTCACGTAGCAATCATGAGAGATTTATCTGCAGAATACTTCAAATCTCTGCGCATAACTGGTTGGCGGACCTTGGGGTCAGCCCGCACATGAGCCCATCAATGATGCTTCAAGTTGTCCCCCAAAGCCTCTGGGTGACTGTAACAGATATTGATTGTAGCAGCTGCTACAGTCACCCATAAAGAGCATCTTTCCAACCTTCTCAGCGTTGTCACTCACTTATCCTCCAGCAGCATATGACTTCTTGCAGCAAGGAGACAGAGGATCAAAGAAACTGCAATAGAAAGAGGAACTTCTATAACTAATCTGTACCTCTCTCTTGCTGAAATAGGAAGCCACTTGCTGCTATTAGGTAATTCAGTAATGGTTCTGAGTGGGTTTCTGGGGAAAGAGTTCCATTGGTGCCTGTAAAGGTAAAGGGACCCCTGACCATTAGGTCCTGTCGTGGCCAACTCTGGGGTTGCGGCGCTCATCTCACTTTACTGGCCAAGGGAGCCGGCGTACAGCTTCCGGGTCATGTGGCCAGCATGACTAAGCCGCTTCTGGCGAACCAAAGCAGCGCACGGAAATGCCGTTTACCTTCCCGCTGGAGTGGTACCTATTTATCTACTTGCACTTTGACGTGCTTTCAAACTGCTAGGGTGGCAGGAGCAGGGACCGAGCAACGGGAGCTCACCCCGTCGCGGGGATTTGAACCACCGACCTTCTGATCGGCAAGTCCTAGGCTCTGTGGTTTAACCCACAGTGCCACCCACGTCCCTCATTGGTGCCTGTAGCAGCTGTCAAAACCAGCAGTTGCCACAAGCACCTGCAGGCTTCTAGGTACATGTAGGTTTCTCATAGGATTCTGTGTGGAGTGGCCTTTTATCAAGGGGAGATTTTGCAGCTGGGAACAATTCATAGAACCATGGAATTGTAGGGATGGAAGGGACACCTGGCAATGCAGGAATCTCAGCTAAAGCATCTGAGACAGATGGCCCTCCAACCTCTGCTTAAAAACCTCCAAGGAAGGAGAGTCTACCACCTTATGAGGGAGTCCATTCCTCTGTCAAACAGCTCTTGCCGTCAGAAAGTCCTTCCTGATGTTTAGTCGGAATCTCCTTTCTTATAACCTGAAGCCATGGGTTCGAGTGCTACCCTCCAGAGCAGGAGAAAACAAGTTTGTTCCATTTTCCATGTGACTGCCCTTGAGCTATATGAATACGTCTCTCCTCTCAGTCTCCTCTTTCCCAGGCTAAACATACCCAGCTCCTTCAAGCGTTCCTCATAAGCCTTGGTTTCCATTCCTTTTCCGTTTCTTATATTTCTATGCCCCTTGTCACTCACATGAGTCACAAAGCGGCTTACAATCAATAAATAATAAAATAATAGATCACAAATACAGTCATACCTCATGTTATGTTTGCTTCAGGTTGCACGTTTTCAGGTTGCGTCCCACGGCGACCCAGAAGTAACGGAACAGGTTACTTCCGGGTTTCTCTGTTCGCGCAAAATGATGTCATGCACATGCGCAGAAGCTGCGAATCGCGAACCGCGCATGCGCAGAGGCAGGTTACGTTCTTTTCAGGTTGCGAACGCACCTCTGGAACGGATCCCATTCGCAGCCAGAGGTACCACTGTATAGGATAAATCATATAGAATACTTAACTAATCATCAGTAAAAGAATCGCATAAGGAAAACAACCCCAACTAATAAAACGCAATTAGCAAACAAGCAAACCAATGAAATAAGCTAAACTGCACAACCGCTACAAAAGTCATATTATAAGATTCAGAAAGCATTGCAGAATGCATGCTCCACGAAAATAATAATAATAATAATAATAATAATAATAATAATAATAATAATAATTTATTATTTATACCCCGCCCATCTGGCTGGGTTTCCTCAGCCACTCTGGGCAGCTTCCAACAAAACACTAAAATACAATAACCTATTAAACATTAAAAGCTTCCCTAAACGTTGTTATTAACAACGTTAACAAACCAACCACCAAAAGACAAACTAAGCAGTGTTGAATTCACACACACACACACACACACACACACACACACACTCCAAATCCCCAGGACTTGACACAGACTCAACTCTGTTCTGAAGGCAAGGCAGGTGGAAAAAGCCATTGCCTGATGGCCGGCGCAAAGTCTCATTCCCCTTGATCATCTTGGTTGCCCTTCCAGCTTGTCCATGCCCTTCTTAAATTGGGCTGCCCAGAACAGAATGCAGGACTCCATGTGAGGTCTGAGCAAAGCAGAACAGAGTGGGACTATTACTTCCCTCAATCCAGACACACTGCTGCTGCGGATGCAGCCATCATTATTGTAATGTTTTGTAGGGAGGGAAGCAGGCTGCGAGGAGGCAGCGTCGCAACCACATATTTATGGCCATTGGCTATAATTTTATTGAGCAACACAAAGAGGAAAATGAAGTGAGAACCTGAGAGGGTTTCTGAGTGCCGCTTTTGTGCGAAGACACACCGGCTGCTGATAGATCTTCTTTTGCCCCGGAAAGAAATTGCTCACCCCCCAAATGGGCCGTGGAACGAGAAAGCGTGAAGCGTGACAGGGACGCTTCTGTCCAAATGGGTCAATTTCCTGCCATTTCCCCCCATAATTGCATGTAGAGCGTATAGCATTTAATATACCAGGCAGAGGCAGGAGAGAGACAGAGACACAGAGAGAGTTTCCATTCTCCATAGTCCTGTTATTTTATTTCTTTTACGGCTGGAGTGGAAACAGTTTTCTGAGCTCAGCCCTGCCTTACAGAGCCACTCTTGCCGGCTGGCTAATCACCACCCATTTCCCAGCGAGTGCTTTTTATTTATTTATTTTACCTGCATCGTAAGATTTACGCCCCGCCTGATAGTTTAAAAACAAACAAAACGAGAAAAGGATAAAACGAAACAAAAACCCAGGAAACGTTTACAATATAGTTTTGAAACGTACAGAAAGTTAAGAGGCTGAAACAACAGTTGTTGTCCGGAGATATCTCAGTTGGCAGAGCGTGAGACTCTCAAGGCCATGAGTTCAAATTTGGGCAAAAGATTCTTGATTTGCAGGGGGTTGGACTGAATGACCTTTGAGGTGCCCTTCCAACTCGACAGTTCTATGATTCTACAAGGCTTCGATTGTTGCCTGCAGGCGTTCCTGCTCCTTGTCGATTTCCCCCTGGAGTCATTTTCCTTCGAGTGACATGCTCAGACCTGGGTGGCTTTTCTGGAGAGCTTCTCCGTTCCCCGGTGATCTTGCCTGCCCTCCAGAGATCGAAAAAGCCCAGCACCAGAAAGCTGTGCAAGCCTGCAGGTTGACTCTCGCTAGCCACCTCCCTGGCTGCCTGCGCCGCCCCCCCCCTTGCACAATGCCAAAATCTGGCTTGGCAGCCTCATTTTTTCCACCCGTGAAGAGGTGCAGAAATAGCCAAACTTCCCCAACTGCCCAGAGGCACTTTGGGAACCGGTTTGCGGTGAGGTGTAACTGGAGTTTAAATCTTAGGACGACCGCACATGTTTCCAGAAGCCTGGTGATTAGCCGGAGCAGAGTTTTATAGACTGTTTCTGGCTTCGGGGCCTTGGTGTACTTTTCAAAACAAAGCCCAACAACAGAAATATCTTCGTTTGAGGTCTGGAACGTGTGTCTGGTCACTGCAGGAGCGGACAGGGGACCTAGGGGTTGTCTCTTCGACTCTTGACGGACCCACCCCATGGAATAGGCCCAGGGCTGCCGTGTCGTGCATCTGTTTGCAAAGAAGCATAGAAAAGGGGCACCAAGGGTTATCTAGTCCAACCCTCTGCAATGCAGGAATCACAGGTATAGAATTCCTGGCTGGTGGCCATCCAGACATTGCTTAGCATCCTCTGACAAAGGAGAGCCCGCCACCTCTTGTGGGAGTCTGTTCCGCTGTCGAACGGATTTTACTGCCAAAAAGTTCTTCCCGAGGTTGAGTCGGAATCTCCATTCTTATAACTTGAAGCCACGGGTTCGAGTCCTACCCTCCAGAGCAGGAGAAAACAAGCATGCTCCCTCTTCCATGGGGCAGCCCTTCAGATATTTGAAGATGGCTCTCATATCTCCTCTCAGTCTCCCCTTTTCCAGGTTAAACATACCCAGCTCCTTCAACCGTTCCTCATCAGGCTTGGTTTCCAGACCCTTGATCATTTCTTTAAAAAAAAAAAAAAGTTTTTATTTATACTTTTCAAATTTATACATTTCATTAGTTTTACAATCAGTTTTACATTTGAAAATGTGACTTCCATCCCCCTCTTTCTGCGGTTCCTTAAATTTATTTTTAAATATCTTTCTGCATATCCAAATTCATTTAATTTCCTCAATCTACTTTAAATATATACTCTTATAAAACTGCAGGTTATTACAATAATCCTGCCAATGTTTTTATCCGCTTGCAATTCATCTGTAAATATTCAATAAACCATTTCCGTTCTTTTATAAAAAGTTGATCATCTTGATTTCTTATTCTTCCGGTAAGTTTCGCCATTTGTGAATATTCCCTAAATTTTTGTATCCATTCTTCCATTGCTGGGACTTCTTCTTCATTCCACTTTGGGGCAAGTAACAGTCTTGCTGCTGTAGTATCATACATAAAATATTTCATAGAACCTTAGAACTGAAGAGTTTGGTGGGACCCCAGGGGTCATCTAGTCCAACCCGCTGCAATGCAGGAATCTCAGCTAAAGCATCCCTGGCAGATGACCACCCAACCTCTGCTTAAAAACCTCTGAGGAAGGGGAGTCCATGCCACTGATGAACGGCTCTTACCAACAGGAAATTCTTCGTAATGTTTGGTTGGAATCTCCTTTCTTGTGACTCGAATCCATTGCTTTCGGTCCTGCATCTTCCACAGTTGGAGACAGAAATGTTTCCAAATCCCAGTTGCTGGTGACCGCAGGAAAGGAAGAGTTGCTCTTGTGCCTGGGTTCTGCTTGCGGGAATCTGGTCAGCCACTGTGAGAACAGGATGCTGGACTCAATAACAATATATTATTATTATTATTATTATTATTATTACTACTACTACTACTACTACTTATACCCCGCCCATCTGGCTGTGTTTCCTCAGCCACTCTGGCAGCTTCCAGCAAAATATTAAAAGCTTCCCTAAACAGGACTGCCTTCAGATGTCTTCTAAATGTCATATAGTTGTTTATTTCCTTGACATCCGACAGGAGTGCGTTCCACAGGGAGGGCGCCACCACCGATAAGTCCCCCTGCCTGGTTCCCTGTAACCTCGCTTCTCGCAGGGAGGGAACCGCCAGAAGGCCCTCAGAGCTGGACTTCAGTGTTCAGGCTGAATGATGGGTGTGGAGACGCTCCTTCAGGTCTACTGGTCTAAGGCCATTTAGGGCTTTAAAGGTCAGCACAAACACTTTAAATTGTGCTCGGAAAAGTACTGGGAGCCAGTGTAGGTCTTTTAAGACCGGTGTTATGTGGTCTCGCGACCGCTCCCAGTCAACAGTCTAGCTGCCACATTCTGGATTAGTTGTAGTTTCTAGGTCACCTTCAAAGGTAGCCCCATGTAGAGTGCATTGCAGTAGTCCAAGTGAGAGATAACTAGAACATGCAGCACTCTGGCGAGACAGACAGCGGGCAGGGAGGGTCTCATCCTGCGTACCAGATGGAGCTGGTAGACAGCTGCCCTGTACACAGAATTGACCTGCGCCTCCATGAATAGATGTGAGTCCAAAATGACTCCCAGGCTGCGCACCTGGCCCTTCAGGGGCACAGTTGCCCCATTCAGGACCAGGGAGTCCTCCACACCTGCCTGCCCCCTGTCTGATCCAGCAAGTTCTTCTTGTGCTGTTAAGCTTAAATCAGGACTGCACAAGTTGAGTGATTCCTCAAGCCCAGTGCAGCTTTGCCAGCTATACATGGCTGCCATCTGGAACCAGACAAACTCCCTGCCTGGAATTGGAAAAATGATGGCATGTGGGAGCGCTCAGTTTTCTAGCTCTCGACAGGCCGCAATGAACAGATTAGTTCAGCTTGGCCAGTCACCAGTTGCAGAGACCCACCACGTCGGGTGGCCAAGGGTGACTGGCCATGTGCATCCCGACAGCCTCCCCTGTCCAGTGGAGAGAGGAGCTCAGCGTCCTGTTTCTGATTAAAATTGAACGGCCCCATTGCAAGAGGCCGGCACTGCAATGAAAAGTGGCTGTTACCATCGTGGGTGAGTGCAACACACGTGACGTGTGTCCGTGGAAAAGGAAAACATTGAAATTATAAAACCAAGACACATTTTAAACATGTAAAATCAGCTACGTTGTCCTTGCAGGCAACGATTTCAAGGTTGCGTGGCATAGTGGTTAGAGTGCCAGGCTGGGACCTGGGAAACCAGGGTCCACATTTCTTTCTTTCTTCTTTAATTAGTTTTCACATATTACATTACAATGCAGATGTACCGTATTTTTCGCTCTATAGGACGCACCCGACCATAGGACGCACCTTGTTTTAGAGGGGGAGAACAAGAAAAAAAATCTCCCCCTCTCTGCGCAGTGCCCCTTCAGCGAAGCGGCAGGAGAAACGGAGCCCCTTCCATTTCTCCTCCTGCTTAGCTGAAGGAGCGCTGCGCCTTAGCTGAAGGGGCACCTACCCTACAGCGAAAGGAACCCGAAGCCTCTGGAGCGCAGCGGGAAGTCCCACTGCGCTCCGGAGGCTTGAGACAGCTATCTTTGAAGCCTGTAGAGTGAGAGGGGTTGGTGCGCACCAACCCCTCTCGCTCTACAGGCTTCAGCAGAAGGCAACCTGAAGACTCCAGAGTGCGGCAGGAGTTGCGTGCTCCGAAGGCTTCAGGTGCCTATCTGGAGATCAAGAGGGGTCGGTGTGCACCGACCCCTCTCGCTCTCCAGATAGCGTCGGGTTCCTTTTGCTGAAGCCTGGAGAGCAAGACTCTCCTGGCTTCAGTAAAAGGAACTCGAAGCCTCCGGAGCGCAGCGCACTGACCCCTCTCGCTCTCCAGGCTTCAGCGAAAGCAACGCGTAGCCTCCGGAGCGCGGAGGGAGCGCTCCCTCTGCGCTTCAGAGGCTTTGCGTTGCTATTGCTGAAGCCAAGGTGTCTGCATTCACTTCATAGGATGCACACACATTTCCCCTTAATTTTTGGAGGGGAAAAAGTGCATCCTATAGAGCGAAAAATACAGTACCAAAACAACACCATTTCTTCCCCATCCCCCCATACATTTACATGTATATTTCCTCAATCCATCATATTATTCTTTTCTCCTTCCTCTCACTTCCCTGAAACATGAAGCTCCATGGGCATAACCATCCCCTTCCTCTCAGCCTAGCCTACCTCACAGGGTCGTTATGAGGATCAAAGAGGGAGAACTCTGCACGCCCCCTTGAGCTCTTTGGGGGAGAAGTGGGAAGTAAATGCAACGAGTAAATAAAATGAGCATTGTTCGTGCATCCAAGGCCTGAGAGCATGCCATGTCTAGGAGCGAGGGGCCTGGGGAGATTTGCAGGCTTGGCGCGACTGACGGTCTCCGGCTGCCTTTTCTCTCCGCAGAGCACCCTGGAGCAGTGCAGCGTCTGCGCCAAGCCCATCATGGAGCGCATCTTGAGAGCCACCGGCAAGGCTTACCACCCTCACTGTTTCACATGCGTGATCTGTCAGCGCAGCCTGGACGGGATCCCCTTCACCGTGGACGCTGGCGGAAACATCCACTGCATCGAGGATTTCCACAGGTGGCTGCGCTTCTCTTCGCCTCTTTTTGGGGGGCTCGGGGAGGGGAAAAAGCAGAGGTTTGCATTTGGGTTGGTGTGTAGGCCTTTTGCGAGCTACACAATGTGGGAGGGACTGCTGTTATCTTATTATTGTGCTGCAAATTCATTTTGGCTCGGCCAAAAGCATCTGTGGCGTTCATACAGAGCCCCCAGTCACTTCACAGACCATTGACCTGTACACCACTACTTTATCCTTCCGCTGCCACCAATTTTGTGGGGGGGAAATCCAGGGTTCCCCGGTGACGTATTGAGTCACAGCCAGGTAATAATAAATAATAAATTTTATTTATACCCCACCCTCCCCGGCCAGAGCCAGGCTCAGGGCGACCAACACCGGTAAAAATTACAGTAAAAACATAATGGGGCGGGGACCCAATTTAAAATACAGGTTAAAATGCAGTTTAAAATGCAGCCTCATTTTAAAAGTAGCCCATAGATCACATAAAGGGAGGGAAGACATCAGGGTCAGACTAAGTCCAAACCAAAGGCCAGGCAGAACAGCTCTGTCTTGCAGGCCCTGCGGAAAGACGTCAAGTCCCGTAGGGCCCTAGTCTCTTGGGACAGAGCGTTCCACCAGATCGGGGCCATGGCTGAAAAAGCCCTGGCTCTGGTTGAGGCCAGCCTAACCTCCCTGTGGCCTGGGATCTCCAAAGTATTGTCATTTGTGGACCTTAAGGTAGAGTTAACAATGAATATTAAAGTTTATTTCAAATACAAACAAGTTTTAAAATATATTCAAAACACTGTCACCCTATTCCCTCTCAGTCTTCTCCCTGTCTCTAACTCACTCCGACTCTATCTCCCCCCCCCCAAAAAAAAGAACCAACCGAACTAATTGTCAAAACCTCTGGGCTGAGCCTCAAAATCAGGTAGGCTCCGCCTCCAGGCTTTCTTATTGGTCAACCTATTAACCCTTTCTCTCCCCCAGTACAAACGTATCTCCCAAAAATGGGCAAACGCCAAAGCATCCTTTTCAGTGTACCACCCACCCATCACTTGCTGAACATCGAAACCTCGGGCGGCGATATTCTTTGCTTGAGCCCTGGAACTTCCAGCGTCAGTGCAGGACGCTGAGATTCCGCTTGGCTTGATGAGCAGAGCTTTCACGTCAAACTTTCTCCGTTCCCTAGGAAATTCGCTCCCCGCTGCTCTGTCTGCAAAGAGCCCATAATGCCCGCGCAAGGCCAGGAGGAGACTGTGCGCATTGTGGCCTTGGACCGTGACTTCCATGTGGAGTGCTACCGCTGCGAGGTCAGTATCGTCTGCGCATGCAAAGGATGTCCTGGGCATAGATCAGTGGTAAAGGACCCCTGGATGGTTAAGCCCAGTCATAGGCGACTGCAGGGTTGCTGCGCTCCATCTTGCTTTCAGGTGAAGGGAGCCGGCGTTTTTCCACAAACAGCTTTCCAGGTCATGTGGCCAGCAGGACTAAACTGCTTCTGGCGCAAGCCTGAAACCTTAAGTTGCTGTTTTAGGGGTTGTTTTAAAAAGTCTGGAACGAATTAATCCGTTTTGCATTACTTTCTATGGAAAAGCATGCCTTGGTTTTGGAATGCTTTGGTTTTGGAACAGACTTCCGGAACAGATTAAGTTTGAGAACCAAGAGTCATTGTGAAAAGTTGCTTGCAAGCCTGAAATCATTTAATGCGTCTTTCTCACCCTCTTGTACAGGACTGCGGAGGCCGCCTGTCCGAAGGGGACAACCAGGGTTGCTACCCCTTGGACGGCCACATCCTCTGCAAGATGTGCAACTCTGCCCGGATCCAGGCCCTGACGGCAAAGTCGAGCACCGACCTCTGAATGCCCCCGGGAGCCTCACGCCATCCTCACCCTCTCGCACAGCTGGGAGGCCTTGGGACAATCAGAGCGGCTTGCTGGGGGCTCCACATCATGGCGTCTCCCCCCCCCATGTCTACACTACAGATTTAACTCTTTGAGCCTGCAATCCCTCTCTGCAAGGCACCCTGGGAAATGTAGTTCTCTGGGGTTCTTTCCAAGAAAGGTTTCAGGACACCCCCGCGAAACTACAGTTTCCAGGATGCTTTGAGGAATGCCATGATGCTTAAACTGGTATGAAACTGGTAGATGTTTGTAGTGCAGATGGAACCCCCCCCCCCAAGTCCTCGGCTGTCTCCATCCCCTTCTGGTTTCATCTCCTCTAAATCCGAAACCCATTAGCTTGTCCTATGCATTTTATCCATTCCGACGCTCCAGCTACAGATGCTTACGCCTTTTCCTTTTCCTCTTCACACGAGCCATCAGATCCTGAGCTTCTTTGCACATTAATATATTGGGGGGGGGGGACCGAACGGGGACACTTTATATCTATTTCTATAGCCTCATATGATTAACGTATTGCAATATTTCACTAGTGCCTTAAAGACAGCTATGCAGAGTAAGGAGTTAGAGCAGCGATTCGGGGATGGGAAAGGCGATTAGGGAATCTGCGGGTGCTTGCGAGGGAACGTGCGTGGCAGAGCCGACCAAACTGCGCTCAAGGCTCACTTCTGTCGCACCTCCATGGACCCAGCTTGCTGGGTTTTTACGACCAAAACACAGCTTTCAGAGCTGAAACCACAAGCACACCATTTACTGTAATCTCCGCCTGAAAAAGGAAAAGGAAAAGAGTTTTCTGAGGGGAAGGTAAAAGGACCTCTGGACAGTTAAGTCCAGAAACACACGCTCACACTACAGCTGGAATAAAAAATCTCGCACAGATTTGATCCTCAGCAGTTCTTAAGGGCTGAAATTTCGCAAATTCCAAAGGTCCGATTTGCGGACAGGTCCCTGAGAGACACTTAACTCGCCGTAAGCCTTGTAGGGCAGCAGTATTAAGTATGGCACTTGCCAAGTGCAGTGACCTATGCCCCCTGCCTCCCCCCCCCCAAAAAAATAACCCTCTAAATATCCAAACACTAACAAAAGAAATGTTCCATCCTTGAGGTCCAAGTTGAATTAAACACATTCTGCAGTTAGAAAGGTAAAGAGGGCGATGTTCCAGTTTCAAATATCCTTCTCCCCGTTGGGTGTGGGAGCCCAGTACCGGAACTGGGATCCCAGCGAAGAAGGGGCACCATTTTGGTTGAGGTGCTGTCCCCACAGACCCTGAGTGCTTCATGCAGGGCCAGTGCTGCAGTGGCACCTCCCTGCCCCACCTGTGTCTGCGTTGCAGAGGACCAGTAAAGGGACCCCTGACCATTAAGTCCAGTCGCAGATGACTCTGGGGTTGTGGTGCTCATCTCGCTTTACTGGCCAAGGGAGCTGGCGTACAGCTTCCGGGTCATGTGGCCAGCATCATTAAGCCGCTTCTGGCGAACCAGAGCAGCGCACGGAAACGCCGTTTACCTTCCCGCCAGAGTGGTACCTATTTATCTACTTGCACTTTGACGTGCTTTCAAACTGCTAGGTTGGCAGGAGCAGGGACCGAGCAACAGGAGCTCACCCTGTCGTGGGGATTCGAACCGCCGACCTTCTGATCGGCAAGCCCTAGGCTCTGTGGTTTAGACCACAGCGCCACCCAAGGGGTCAGTAAAGACTGTGTTCTCGGGCATGTGTAGCTTGCAGGGACATCTCTTCCTTGGTTTGAAAGACAAACACCCCCCCGCTATAAGAGGTGGGAAATGAAAGTAGGGCCCTGAGGGCGATATTCTCCTGTCCAGAAGTTTGCGACTGGGGTTGGACTAGATGACCATTGTGGGCCCCCTCCAACTGTACAGTTCTACATCAGCTAGCTCTGCACTACAACCTAGCAGTTCAAAAGCACATCAGTGCAAGTAGATAAATAGGTACCGCTGCGGCGGGAAGGTAAATGGCGTTTCCGTGCACTCTGGTTTCCGCCACGGTGTCCCATTGCGCCAGAAGCGGTTTAGTCCTGCTGGCCACATGACTCGGAAAGCTGTCTGCGGACAAACGCCAGCTCCCTCGGCCTGAAAAGCGAGATGAGCACCACAATCCCATAGTCGCCTTTGACTGGACTTAACCGTCCGGGGTCCTTTACCTTTTTACCTGCACTGCGGCAGTCGCTTTTGACCTCTCTCCCAGAGACCCAGGAGTTTTTGAGGCATATTTGGATGGGAAGGTCAGTAGCGTCAGCCGAGCTTCCGAGAGGGAAGACCTGCGTGCCATCTCTAAACACTCAGAGCAGCCTGTTGCAAACAGAGGAGTCCCCTGGGGTGTACCCCAGAACCCACTGCAATTGGCAGACGGGGTCTTCTGCAAATAAGTCGATGTGGGCAAAGGTTTGAAATCTCTGCCCTGCAGCAAAACGCTATAATGCTCCCCTTGCCATAAACTCCATAGCAAGGTAATCCCCCCTGCCTGAAGAGCTGATTCCTCAGACTGGGTCCCTCTGGGAACAGGGACAGCAGGGGGAGGGTAGATCACCAGTCTTCACATTTCAAAAAAATGGCAATAGGTTTCCTTTGGCTAAAGTCAGAATGTGGACTTACCGTATTTTTCACTCTTTAAGACGCACCAGACCATAAGACGCACCTGGTTTTTGGAGGAGGAAAACAAGAAAATATATTCTGAATCTCAGAAGCCCGAACAGCAAGAGGGATTGCTGCCACAGCGAAAGCAGCAATCCCTCTTGCTGTTCTGGCTTCTAGGATAGCTGCGCAGCCTGCATTCGCTCTATAAGACACACACACATTTCCCCTTACTTTTTAGGAGGGAAAAAGTGAGTCTTATAGAGCAAAAAATACGGTAAGTGCAGATAAGAGCTACAGGCTATTCCACCCAGTGTTTTATCATTCAATCGTGGTTTGCCTCTCTCCATTAACACAGAGGAACTGTGTCACTCCAGATGGCAGGAAGGTTATCCTCTAGCTGAACTGGGGAGCCAGGATCCTTGCACCTCTAGAGCTAGCTTATCAGGGAGAAGGCTAAGTAAGGACCCTGACACACTAATTTTCTTCTTGCGGGGATGCATGCATGAACCTGCAGTCTGAAACGCTGTTAGCCCAGCCAGTGCTGCCCCACATGGTTCTCCCACCCTCGCATTTCAGAGCTTAGATGTTTCTCTCTCTGGAGAAGAGCGGGGCAGCATTTCAGCCTGCTAAGGAGCTGAGTCCTTACCGAGAAATGTAGTAAATTAAGCAGAGTGCAATTGGGTGTTACGCTCATAGGGCTTAGTCACCATAGCAGAGTATATTTATTACAAAGCTTTATTTAACCTATTGCAAAGGAAACACACACGCACCCCTCTTCTTTTGCCAAAGAGACCTTGGCCACGATCCACTAGGAATGCCTTTTGCATGAGCCCTGCAGCAAGGAAGGAGACCAGCAATGCATTTCAATGGTGTACGTTCAGGGGATGTTCCTAGTGGATTGGGCCCGGGGGTGGTTGCTGTTGTTTTCTCCTAAAGTATGCAATATTTTTTATTCCTGAAAAGTTTATAACCTGAGATTTCCCTGCGCCTTTCCCCCAAATATATAGGATTTTTTATATATATAAAAATTATAAATGTATGTATACATAATAAGAAATATATATGCCTACCGTTTTGATTAAACTTTTTATGTATGTAAGTTAGGTCGCGATGAGCTGAGGGCAGTGGGAACGTCATTTGGATGTTAGATGTTCTTGCGGATGAGTTGCACTCTTAGTTTTAAGACAAATACTTAGCAATCAGTAGACTTAACCCTTATTCCCACTGATAATTAATAGGAAACCCTACAAAAAATCCATACAGTCCAAATTTAGGGGGCCCGAGGTCCCAAACCTCAATATATGGTATTGCAATCACCACTCCTTTGCAAGACCCTTTGAAGCAAAAAGTGTCTGGATCAGAACCTTCTCTGCTGTTGGGCTGCCTGTATTTTATTTTATTTTGCTTCATCGTGCACACTCGTTGGAAGGAAATATTGATTGCTCTGTAACCCTAATTCCAGTTACTGGGAAGGGGTGCCGAAATTAGATTTAGGAGAGAGGTTTGTGAAGCTCAGGGCAATGTCCAGGTTTCACCCATCAGCTATGCTTAAAGTAGGACCGAATCCAGTATAAAGGAAATCCGATTGGGCCATATCTGGCCCCCCTCCAGATTTTTTGGACCACATGTCCCACTGGCCGAAGCCAGTAATCCAAAGCAGCTGGAGGGAGGCCAGCTTAAGGCAAAGGCTGGATTCATGGAGAGATGGCCCTGTGGCTGCTCAGTGGAGCCTCCATGTGCAAGGGCAGTGTACCTCTGAACTCCAGAACGGGGAGCGTTTTTCTTTCTAGTGCCTCTGATGTATTATTTGCACTCAATTCTTTCCCCATTTTGCCTTGTCTGCTCAGAAGTAAGTCCTGCTGCCTTCAGTGGGGCTTACTCTGAGCAAAGTAGGGTTAGGATTGCAGCCTTGATGCAAAACCAATTCAGATTGGCGAGATCAAGGTTTCTAATGCTGTGTTACTGGCAGGAAAAAGAAATGCTTTTGTGAACAACGTGACGATCACAGATCTCTGCATCTTCTTTTGTTCTTTCTTTCTTTCTTTCTTTCTTATGAACAGGGAAGGGACTGGGCGCTTTCTGAGTTTTGTGTCACCCAACACTGCAAGGGGTCAGACTAGATGGGCCTTGGAGATCCCTTCCAACTCTACATTTCTATGGTTCTGCAAGAAAGGGCACATCTTTGAATGCATTGAATCGTGGAGCTGGAAGTGAGGGACCCCAGTGGCCATCTAGTCCAACCCCCTGCAATGGAGGAATCTCTTTTTAAAAAAATATTTTTATTAGTTTTCAAACATAACATTTTCAACAATTCTTAAACATGCTTTTATACCTTATACAATTTTTTTGACTTCCATCAATCACATCTGACACTTTTCCAATTTTTCACATTTATTACTTTCACTATTACATTTAAATATCATACTGGTAACTAATATCTCTCTTCTTTCTCTTCTTTGCAATATTTCCTATTTTCCTCCTTACAAAACTTCTTGTAGTCCTACTAGCTTAATTTGTTGATTACAGTTGCTCTTCAAATAATTCGTATATTTCTTCCAATCTTCTGTAAATCCCGCAGGTTTCGAATCCATCCTGTCATTTTGTCCAATTCTGCGTAGTCCATTAATTTCGTCTGCCATTCTTCATTCGTCATTATTTCTTCTTGCTTCCATTTCTGGCCCAACAAAACTCTTGCCGCTGTTGTTGCGTATAAAAACCATTTAATGTCCTGTCTATTAATGTCCTGACTTATAACACCAAGTAAAAGCAATGCAGGAATCTCAGCTCAAGCATCCATGACAGAGAGCCCTCCATCCTCTGCTCTAAACCTCCAAGGAAGGAGAGCCCATTTTCCAAGGGAGTCCGTTCCACGGCCAAACAATTCTTAGCGTCCTCCTTTTCCTCCTCCTGCCCTGTACATTTTTGCTAAATCCAATAGTCCCTTCATTTCATATGAAGGTCAAATGCGGACGCCCTGAGATGCTAAAGTCCTCAAACAAGCAGCGTCCTTTGGTCCTTCCTGTGAAATCTCAGGGGCGCTGTTGTACATTGCATTTTCATACTTTGACCAGCCAGGCTTAGAAGGGGCCGGTGGAGAGGGGGGGGGTTGGGGGGGAATCCTGCGAGAGGGTTTGATGGTGGCTGCCTGGGAAACCGCACAAGTCAGCTTTTTTAGAGAAAAATAAACCGCTTATTGTAATTTGCCAGATCTGATGCACAGCTGACAGGCACCTTCCTGCAGGCGGTGGGGTTACAATAACTCCTGCTGGCCAACCCACCACCAATGCAGAAGGAGGGGGGGACGTGTCTCTAGCCAGGAATTATATTTAGCCTTTTGGTTGCATAACAGTAGGCCAGCTCCTCTCTCTCTCTCTCTCTCTCTCTCTCCTCTGTAGGTCCTTTCCCTGACAGCTCACAACCCCTTATTGATGAGCAAGCTTTATTTTTAACAGAATAAATCAAATATCTGCATCGGGTGCATGCTGCAAATCTCTGGCATGCTGAATTATTTTTCTCTTTTTGAGACTGAGTGCATTGCGAGAGCTGAGCTGATGTGAATTTCTTCCCCGTACGATCCGCAGGCAGAAAGCAGGTTGTCAGAATGTGGGGCAAAGCTGATTTCGGCCTGCAAAAGTCCTAAGTATTTTATCTTTGACAGGCTGTTGGGTGTTTGGTTTTTTAGTGGGGGAGCTGTTAACATTTGTTGTTGTTGTTTAGTCATTTAGTCGTGTCCGTCTCTTCGTGACCCCCTGGACCAGAGCACGCCAGGCCCTCCTGTCTTCCACTGCCTCCCGCAGTTTGGTCAAACTCATATTCGTAGCTTCCAGAACACTGTCCCACCATCTCGTCCTCTGTCGTCCCCTTCTCCTTGTGCCCTCCATCTTTCCCAACATCAGGGTCTTTTCCAGGGAGTCTTCTCTTCCCATGAGGTGGCCAAAGTCTCGGAGCCTCAGCTTCAGGATCTGTCCTTCCAGTGAGCACTCAGGGCTGATTTCCTTAAGAATGGAGAGGTTTGATCTTCTTGCAGTCCATGGGACTCTCAAGAGTCTCCTCCAGCACCAGAATTCAAAAGCATCCATTCTTCGGCGATCAGCCTTCTTGATCGTCCAGCTTTAACTTCCATACATCACTACTGGGAAAACCATAGCTTTTACTGTTAACATAGGATCACATAATTGTGGAGTTGGAAGAGACCCCCAAAGGTCATCTATCGCAACCCCTGCAATGCATGGAACTTTTAAATGTCCATGCTATTTCAAAATGTTTAAAAAGCTGGGGGGGGGCGGACTTAACATCTCCACACCCCCCCCCCAAAGGAACCCAAGCTTAGACTTAGAATGACAGTTAAACAATTCTGCATCTGACCACGTTCTGCAGCAGGTTAAGATGAAAAAGTGAAGTGGTCTGGATTTGATCAAAAATGGTTCTGTCTTGGGCTGGTGAAGCTGTGCCCCGTCACTGCCACCTCGTTAAGTTTTCTGTTAAAAATAATAACAATGCAAACGGGGAAAATGGGTTTAAAACAAGTGAATAAAACCAGTTGCAGCTCAGGACAGTACTGAAAACCCCACTAAGAGAGAAATCAAAGCAGCGGGTCAGGATAATTCAGTTTGAATTCCCGCAAGATCTTCCTAAAAAGTTTCCACCCTCTTGGGCCAGCAAATAAATGGAAACACCGTACAGATGGGGCTCCCTGTAGAGGATTTTCTGTGCCTAAATGTCACACTAGACTAGAAGAAACTCTTGTATTCTTCATGCCTTTGAGGAAGAAGGAAACTCACAGTAGATCCTCGTCCTTTTTTCTTTTCCTTTTCTTTTTTACTGAGCTGTGGGCTCTTGTCTAACACAAACGTAGATAAGGTGATTTCAAGACCTAAGCCAGAATTTCTCAGAATGTGTTTTTTCTTGGGGGGAAATTCTCCACCTTGCGGTGTTTGGCGTTCCCATTTCCCCAGGCCTAAAAACAAGTCCGAGAGACCGCCCTGAGTTTCCCGGAGACCACATTGAGACACATGGTGCGTCACAAATTCAGCAGGCCTGTTCCTAGCGCCTCAGCCCTGCAAGGTAATGCGCTGCGGAAGGAAATGGATGAGTCCTTGTTCCAAACATCAAGTGCAGAGAGGACTGAATTTATTTAATTTATTGATTCAGTCCATTTATATACGGCGCTTTATCAAAAGATGTGTGCAACATTAGAAACACATTCCAAAACTTCCATGATAAAAGCACAGCTAAGCCCCTCTCTCTCTTTTTCATAATTGGTCCAGGGATTTGTGAACTTAATGCACATATAGCCAGAGAGTTGCATGCATGAAATATTTAGGCTCTCCTATTTCTGGGGTGTTTTTGGATTTTGCATTTGTGGGACCCCTTGTAAACATCTTCAGAGAGGCAGGGGTTGAATTAAAAGCATGCTTGCACTAAAGGCGGTTGGAATTCTTACTTGTGGAGAATATCCTTGGGTACTCTGCATATGCTACAATCCTAATTACTAAAATTGATCTGTGTAATCCAAGCATGCGCACAGGTTGAGGAGCATTAGAGGAGAAGTTAATATAATTGTTTCAGTGTTGAGAACAGGAAGCAGGACTAGATGGGCCCCGGGTCGGATCCAGCAGGCTGCGTTTACATTCTTCTGTGCAATCCAGAGGAAGGTTCCTTGCACCATCGCCCGTGAAATGTTAGTTGCTCAAGAGCTCTCCCAGATGCTCTTATGCTACATAGAGGACGCTGCATCCCACCTGAAGACATTTCAGGCATCCCTATGTAGCATAAGGACATCAGGTCCTGTGGGATCCCGCCAGCGAGGGCTGTTAACGGAAAAATCCGAGGGCTCCCTTGGACAAAAACAAAGACACCAACCAGGATTACTTGGAGCAAAACAGCAGCCTGTAGGCTTGGCCTTTATTGATCTGTTGCAACAGGGTGCTCCCTCACCCGCAGGAGAGAGGAGGGACCCAGAAAAATGGTGTGCAAGGCCTTATAAAGACTTTTGAAACTGCCACCCTGTAGACCAAGACCACCCCCAGAAACATTATACATATATCACAGAAGGGGTGTAACCTAAGACCACCCCTCAGATACATCACACCTACATCACAGAAAAGGCGGTCTAAAACAGAAATTTTAATACTGTTTTTCTCCTGTTTGGCAGGTTACTTGATTGGATTTCCTGGGTAGCCTGGCCAGTCTTTTGTAATGATAAATACTTAGTTCCTGGGCCAGGTCACAGGCTCACACCCTATTCAAACACAGACATGCCCTTAAGACAGAATTTGTGAAGGAAAAGACAATGGGGAGGCTTTTCCAGTTTGACCTTGCAGAGAAAACATTTGCACAGTTTAGGAATCAAAATGGTTCCAGGTTAGCCTTCCTGTGCTGGTCTATGAATGTGCTTGGTTGGTACACTTATGAACATTACCATATATCTAAGACCATAAAATTCCTGTCACAGGGCCCATCTAGTCATTCATTTATTTCCGAAAATTCATACACTGCTTGCTTGTGGGAAGAGCCTCAAAGCAGTTTGCAAAAAGATGAAACAATAAAATCGCCAGGGAGAAATTCCCACCATCGTTAAAACGGAACAAAAGGTTAAAATGCCAAAACAAGTTAAAGTTCGCAACAACTTTCAAAGCAACTGGAAACATTTTTTATTTGCAGGCACCAGAAAGAACGCAGAGAAGGCGCCTGCTAGTATCAATAGGCAGGGAGTTCCAAAGTGTAAAAGATCGAGTGCTTTCAAATGCGGAACAGGGAACAGGGCCAATTTGGCGATCTCGTAGCTAAACTGGTCCCAAGTTGTTAAGCCCCTCGTCATGTTCTCACAGTGGCCAAGGAGATGCCTGTGGTAAATCTGCAATCAGGATTCGAACACAAGACCCCTCTCCCCACCCCTAGTTTTCAGCAACTGGGGTTCAGAAGCTGTAAACTAAGATAGTTGCTCCGTTTGCATGAGATGGGCAAAGGGTTTGTTTGTTTGTTTGCTGCGAGAAACGAGTTCCAACTGCAGATTTTTATTTTTATTAAAAAGGAAGAGCACAGGCCAGTCATTTTTCATGTTTAGGATTTCTCTCTCTCTCTCCCTTTTATCTCCAGCATCTTCTCATAAAACTTAGGCATGAGAAAAATGCTTTAATGTGGAACATTCCGTGAACTGAAAGTCCCATAACTCCTGTGCAAATATTGGCTTGAGCTTGTGGCTTCAGCTGGAGGCAGCAGCCCTGATGTTATTTCTGTGAGGAGGGGGAAGTTAGGAAGTTTGCATTAGACATTAAAAGTGGGGGGAATACCCAGTGGATCATTTTCTGCGTTTCCTTTTCTCTTGGCAGAATTGCCTGCATATATATATATATCCCTCTTGCCATAAATAGAGTCAAAGCGTCTCTATTTGCAGTTGTGTCTTTATAAAGCATGATTCTCTTGCTGGGGGGAAAGTGAGAAGGATGTTGTTCTCCCCCCCCCCCCCAGCTGCTATTGATAGGGCTGTGTGCAATGATTAACTCTGTTTAGGCGAGACACTTCTTTCTAATTCCTAGTTCCTTTTTGTAGCTCAATTCCATCTCCCAGGTGGTTGGTTCATTGCTTTGCAATATACAGCCGTACGTTGGACCTCGAACGCCTCTCCAGTCAAATGTTTTGGCTCCTGAACACCACAAACCCGGAAATGAGCGTTCCGGTTTGCAAATGTTCTTTGGAACCCGAACATCCGGTGCATCTTCCGATTGGCTGCAGGAGCTTCCCGCAGCCAATCGGAAGCCGCGCTTTGGTTTCCAAACATTTTGGAAGTCAAACGGACTTCCAGAACAGATTCCATTTGACTTCCGAGGTACGACTGTACATGCTTTGAATCACCAAATCTGCAGCGGTTACAGCGAGTTTATGTGTGCGCATATTTTAAAATCTATTATTATTATTATTATTATTATTATTATTATTATTATTATTCCAAGGTTATAAGAGGAATAGAAAACTCCACAGTTGCAATATAAGTATTTTAGTCTAAGATGGACAAGCAGCCCTTGGTTCAAATCTCACCTGTGCCATGAGTCCAAAAAATGTAGTATAAGCACTGACACCTGGGAAACACTGGCCTGCGAGTGCTCCAGTTGGAGAACAGCCTTGACCAAAGGTGTCATGGGCTTTGAAGACACTCGAACTCAGGACGCAAGGGAGACACGTGCTAAGAGGAAGGCACACTTAGCAAATCCACACCGTGATCAACTCTCGCCCGGGAACCAATGTCCCCACTGTGGAAGGACGTGTGGATCCAGAATTGGTCTCCACAGTCACTTATGGACTCATTGTTAAAACCGTGTTCATGGAAGACAGTCTTACTGGGCTACGAGGGTTCGCCAAAGAAGAAGAAGGCAGTCACTACTCTCTCAGCAGCATCAACCTTGTCCTGCATACACACACACACACACACACACACACACACACCTGTCTTCCAGAAAACTCTTGAGAAATGTGAGATTTAGGACACCAGAATGATCTGGGCTGCTGCTTTCTGTCACACAAACACCGGCACTCTTCCACACAGTTATTGCGGCACGAGGATTACTTACTTGTAAGGTGTGCACACAGACTGGAGGGGAGGATCACCCCCCCCTTAAACTGAGAGCTCTCCTAGCATATTTATAAAAGATATAAAAATGAGATGAATTACTCTTTTGTATGCCTGTTCTCTATCGTTAACCTTCCCTGAACCACAGAATCCGGATTCACCAGCGTATACTTTTGTATTCAGCAGACACAAAGTGCCTTATTGCTATTTTTTTAGGAGAAATCAAAGTATCTCAAGCATATATTTTCTGTACGTTGTTCTTGTATGCAATTATACAACTATGTGCCTTTCTGCCTTTTCGCTCTGCTCTTTGGGTTATCCTTTTGTTGCATCCTTAAAAAAAAAATCAAGTTATATTTTCTGAAAGAAAGAAAAAAAATCCTCTTTTTGTAAGAATAAAAATACACAGCATTTTCTGAAGCCTTGCTCTTAGTTTTTTTTTGTGGGGGGAGGACACAAAAATTGCAGATGGTTTGAAGAACGTTTTAGCGACCCAATAAACTCTTGATACACTTTGCTTGGGCTTGTGTGTGAACCTCTCCTTCCCTTTTCCATTTGCAGCTGCTTTCTTTACCAGGAGCAAAACATGGTTCGTTACTTGGCTGGTTGGGAGGGGTGAGCCTGGGGTGATTTCAGAGGATGCTTACAAAAATTAGGACTTGTCGCAAAGCCCCAAGTGTGTAGATTGAATTTATTATTTCGGTCACAGACCAGTTCCAGCCCACATACAATACCAAGGAAGTCATAAAACACAATAGGGATACATTTGATTTTGCAATTAGGTATAACAGGGACAATACAGATATAGCAAGAGTTAAATATATATATAAATTAAAACTTAGTCAATAACATACAACCTAAAATGATCATTTAAGGCCTTAATCATTATGACAATGCAGCTTGTTCCCCAAGTTTTATGGCAATCGCACAGAATTTGGCTACCCTAAACGTGATCTCAGGATCCTTGTCCTCTACCAGGGATTTTAGACATTTAAGTTCGGATTCATTTGGAGATTTTTGTATAACAGGAGTGATGAATACCGAGCGTATATCCATGTAGAAACTGAGGTGTAACAAGGCATGAGAGACAGTTTCTACCTCCATCAAGCCGCAGGGGCAGACTCGTCCCGCGTACGGTTTACCCTCGAATCTGCCCTGCAATAAGGCAGATGGCAGCACGTTGAATCTAGCGAGGGTGAATGACCGTCTGTATTTAGGTATTTGTAATTTTGACAGATAATTTGCTGAGGTAAATCCTCTCCCATTATCTTTTATTGCTGGGTGTTTATTCATCTTGCTCATGTGGCAGCCCCAAGTGCGTCAAAGTTTGCCATCTAACACCAGCACCCTGCTCCAGACCGTTTAAATTTGAAAGTGCATTCTAGCAAGAGGTCTGGAAATCATATCAGAACTACATTATTAGCCTACATTAAAAAAAGATATTACTATGTGGCAAAACATTTCTTTAAAAATCTCTAAATGGTTTATATGAAGTGGTATCCTTTTCTCAAAGGCAGAAATAGAAGCAGACTCGGAGAACAGTAGACCTCATACAATTATAAACAGAAGGAGAGTCTAGATGCTGGATCGTTCCCTAGATCGGATGGGTGGGAGATGGCCTGCTCTTGATGGGGTTACACTTCCCCTGAAGGAGCAGTTTCATAGTTTGGGGGTCCTCCTGGAATCTTTGCTGTCGCTGGAGGCTCAGGTGGCCTCAGTGGCCCCAAGTGCCTTCCATCAGCTTTGGCTGCTGGCCCAGCTATGCCCCTATCTGGACAGGGATAGCCTAACTCCTGTTGCCTATGCTCTGATAACTTCAAGGTTAGATTACTGCAATGTGTTATATGTAGGGTTGCCTTGGAAGACAGTTCGGAAATTTCAGCTGGTGCAGAATTCAACGGCCAGGTTGCTCACTGGAGCAAGACGGTTTGAGCATATTGCACCGATCCTGGTCCGGCTGCACTGGCTACCATTTACGGTAGTTTCTGTGCCCAATTCAAAGTGCTGGTTTTGACCTATAAAGCCTTAAACAGCTCAGGACCATAATACCTCAAGGACCGCCTCTTTCCATATGAACCTCCCCGGACCCTAAGATCATCATCTTATGCCCTTCTTCATATGGCCCCTCCTCAAAAGGTCCGGAGGGTGGCAACACGAGAACAGGGCCTTCTCTGCAGTGGCTCCCTGTCTGTGGAATGCTCTCCTCAGGGAAGTTCACCTGGTGCCTTCATTATACACCTTTAGGTGCCAGGCAAAAAGATTCCTTTTTAAACAGGCCTTTGGTTGATTCTAGAAGTCAGATAGTTGTTTATTTCCTTGACATCTGGCGGGAGGGCGTTCCACTGGGCGGGTGCCAACACCAAGAAGGCCCTCTGCCTGGTTCCCTGTAACCTCACTTCTCGCAGGGAGGGAACCGCCAGAAGACCCTCGGAGCTGGACCTCAGTGTCCAGACTGAGCAATGGGAGTGGAGACGCTCCTTCAAGTCTACTGGGCCGAGGCCATTTGGGGCTTTAAAGGTCAGCACCAACACTTTGAATTGTACTGGGAGCCAGTGTAGGTCTTTCAGGACCGGTGTTACATGGTCTCAGGAGCCACTCCCAGTCACCAGTCCAGCTGCCGCATTCTGGATTAGTTGTAGTTTCTGGGTCACCTTCCAAGGTAGCCCCACATAGAGCGCATGGCAGTAGTCCAAGCGGGAGATAACCAGAGCATGCACCACTCTGGCCAGACAGTCTGCGGGCAGGGAGGGTTTCATCCTGTGTACCAGATGGAGCTGGTAGACAGCTGCCCTGAATGCTTAGTTGGAATCTCCTTCCTTGCCATTTGAATCCATCGGTTCGGGTTGTCCCCTCTGGGGCAGCAGAAAACCAGCTGGCTCCACCTTGCATGTATTTGGTCTCCACGCATGCACAGAATTCCCCTGCCTGCTCCATTCCATTACGGATAGAAATAAGGATCTTGCTAATGTTATCTCCGTGCTTAATTAATGGCTAGCATTTGCCGCCAGCATATGAGGCAATAAAGGGTTTTAATGGGTGATTAAATACTGACTTGGAGGGCTTTAATTGCTGGAAAAGGCAGCGTCTGCCCGCCAGATCTGAACCTGCTAAGGCCGTTCCTGCAGGACAATGACCTACAGTAAGCAAGGAAGTCTTACATACACAAAGCAGGCATTTTGCCTGAGCCTCAACACAGTCTTCCTAGGCTTTTCCACATGGACTGGGGCATCCCTTTCTCCTTGCATCTACAAATGAGCTTGGAAAGGAGAAAGCTGCAGAGCAAAGATGTCTTCTTCATAAAAGATGTTGCGAGAAGGAGAGATGCTGGCCACTTGTACCTCTGTGGCCAGCCCCGCAAGGGCAATTGGTAGCACCCTACTTCCCTGGCAGATTTTATTGGGGGAGGAAGTGTGCCGCCGTCAACAGCAACATTTCAACCTAAATTAGGTGGTGTGGGTTGATGAAGCGGGCAAGGAGTTCCCCTTGGGATTTGGGAGGGAAGAGGAGGTTCCACCAGAGATGAAACGACTCTGGAATTCTGCAGGGAACAAAGATTTAGAATAAAGGAATCGTAGAGCTGAAAGAGACCCCAAGGGTCATATAGTCCAACCCTCTGCAATGCAGGAAACAGCTCAAGAATCCCTCACAGATGGTCATCCACCCTTGGCTTTAAAATCTCTGATGAAGGAGAGCTCACCACTTTCCAAGGGAATGCACTCCACTGTCTCTAGAGCTCTTACCCTCAGACAGTTCTTTCTGATGTTCAGTAGGAAACCCTTTTCTTGTAACCTGACACCATTCCTTTGGGTCCTACCCTCTGGTGGCTCCACCTTTCTGTTAGAATTCTTGCTCCGTGATTGCAGTCATGGGATTGTTGTCTATCACATGACGGTGTATGTTTTGACTCCACAGAGTGGCAAGTGACGGAAACAGGATGTTTGTGTTCCTGTGTTCCGTGAAGGGGGACTATTGTCCTTTGTTCTTTCTCTCTTTGCTGTCTGATGCTAGAGAGAGAGGGAACCATTTTGCAGTGCTCTGTGTGTGTTTATATGTAAATAAAGTTGATTAGCCAAAATGCAGAGTTGCTGAGGTCTGTCACGCAAGGTGCGCAAACTCTGTGGATCCCTAAGTGTGCTGGTGTTGGTTGGCATCAGTCGCTGTGATGTTTGGGCAGAAGAAAGCTTTTGAAGCTCCCATGTGTCTCTGCCAGGGTCCTTCTCGAATGTAGGCTGAACTCCTGACACTTCCATCATCATCATCATCATCATCATCATCATCATCATTTACAGGCCGCCTTTCCATAGTTTGAAACTACAGTGGTGCCTCGCAAGACGAAATTAATTCGTTCCACGAGTTTTTTTGTCTAGCGAAATTTTCGTCTTGCGAAGCACGAAACCCCATAGGAATGCATTGAAATTCAATTAATGCGTTCCTATGGTCAAAAAAAGTCCAAACAAAGCCAAATTTGGTACAACAAGAGTTTATTAAGTGCTCTTTAAAGTCACACATACTGTAAAGAGCATTTCAAAAATTGAAGGAACAATAAATTAAGTTTCTAAACATGACAGAAAAACATTTAAAAATCAACAGAAAATCATAAAAATGCAGGAAAAAACCACACAAGCTTCCAGATTCTTGCAAACCCCTCTTCAACTGTTCCCCCAGCCACCCACCACACAGAAATTCAAATCCAGAATTTTTTTTTAAAAGACAGCAGAGTGGCCCAATGGTCACAGAAAATCATAAAAATGCAGAGAAAAAAAACAATCTTCCAGATTCTTGCAAACCCCTCCCCAACACCAAGTCCTTGAATTCCAAACACCCCAACCCAAAATCCAAAAACCCCCCAAAAAGTTTTAAAAGTTTAAAAGAAGTTTTGGAAAAGCTTAAAAAATCACCAAAGTCTTCAAAAACGTCAAAAAAGGCTACCACACCGCGTTCTATGAGTTGCTCCTCGAAATCAAGTCGCAACTGTATTAACGGTGTTAAGAAAAAGGAAACAAACTTGCAAGATGTTTTTGTTTTTTGTCTTGCGAAGCAAGCCCATAGGGAAATTCGTCTTGCGAAGCAGCTCAAAAAACGGAAAACCCTTTCGTCTAGCGAGTTTTCCGTCTTGCGAGGCATTCGTCTTGCGGGGCACCACTGTATGCTCAAAGCGGCTTACAACTTGACAAGATTTACATAATTACAAACATAACAGAAGTCATAAACAATAAAGAAATGCACATCAAAACCTAATGGAAACAATTTCCACGTAAATCATAAGATCTAAAGCTAAGGCTACAACAATAATATCAAAAACAGCAACAGCTCTCTCAACCCCGCCGTAAACAATACTTCAGCCCAATAATCTGTCCAACAGCTCAGTTTTTGTAGCTGGAGTCAGTCCGCACTCCACTCTCCCAGGCCAGGTGGGAAAGGGACAGCAAAGCAGGGTGCAGGTCTTCCAGGGCTCACAGCCAAGATGGTCTCATTTAAAACAACAGAGATAAAAAAAAAACAGTTTAAAAGCAGCTGCAGTCCTTGTAGAGCCTGTCTAGCCCCACCCCAAGCCAGGTGGAGAGAGGCAAGGGCAGCCTCCGTCAGGCCCTCAGCAGGCAGTCCCTCCATGTGACAGCAGCCTTTCAGATGTTTGCTAACTATCTCATGCTCTGATTTTCTCCAAGCTAAACAAACTCCCCCCTGAACCATTTTTATTGGCCTTTCAGGTGATTCTTCCATGTCTGTCTCAGACACAGAGGAGTCAATCCCACATCTCCTAGAACCAACTTCCTCTTTTGGGAGCAAAGGTTTCGCGTTAAGACTTCCAAGATGTTTTCAGCTCCATCCTCCAACTAAACATTAGGAAGAACTTTCTGAAAGTGGAACAGACTCCATTGGAAGCAGTTAGATTCTCCTTCTTGGGATGTTTTCAAGCAAAAGTTGGATGGCCATCTAGCAGGGATGCTTTAGCTGTGGTTCCTGCATTGCAGGGGGTTCAGCTAGATGACCCCTGAGGGTACCTTCCAACTCTACAATTCTACAATTCTCTCAGTGACTCCCCAGCCACTCTGGGTGGCTCCCAACACAATATTAAAATACAGTAAGGCATCAAACATTAAAAGCTTCCCTAAACAGGGCTGCCTTCAGATGTCTTCTAAAAGTCTGGTAGTTGTTTTTCTCTTTGACATCTGTTGGGAGGGCGTTCCACAGGGCGGGCGCCACCACCAAGAAGGCCCTCTGCCTGGTTCCCTGCAACTTGGCTTCTCGCAGGAAGGGAACCGCCATAAGGCCCTCGGAGCTGGACCTCAGTGCCCAAATAAAGGTCTGGACCTCAGTGTCCAGACTGAGCAATGGGAGTGGAGACGCTCCTTCAGGCCTACTGGACCGAGGCCATTTAGGGCTTTAAAGGTCAGCACCAACACTTTGACTTGTGCTCAGAAACGTACTGGGAGTCAATGTAGGTCTTTCAAGACCAGTGTTATGTGGTCTCGGCGGCCTCTCCCAGTCACCAGTCTAGCTGCCACATTCTGGATTAAATGCCGTTTCCGGGTCACCTTCAAAGGTAGCCCCACATAGAACGCATTGCAGTAGTCCAAGCGGGAGATAACCAGAGCTTGTACCACTCTGGTGAGACACTCCGCAGGCAGATAGGGTCTCATCCTGCGTACCAGATGGAGCTGGTAAACAGCTGCCCTGGACACGGAATTGACCTGCCCCTCCATGGACAGCTGTAAGTCCAGAATGACTCCCAGGCTGCGCACCTGGTCCTTCAGGGGCACAGTTGCCCCATTCAGGACCAGGGAGTCCTCCACACCTGCCCGCCTCCTGTCCCCCAAAACAGTCCTTTTGTCTTGTCAGGATTCAACCATTAGCCGCCATCCATCCTCCAACCGCCTCCAGGCACTCACGCAGGACCTTCACCCCCTTCACTGGTTCTGATTTGAAAGAGAGTTTGTTGATGGGAAGCTATGTCTTCCCCCACATTTATTTTTTAATGTAGAACACGGTGAGGAGGTGGGGAGGGGGGTGGATGTTTGCCAATGCTCCTGCTCCCCCCAACCCACCCCCTGGTTGCAGGAATTTCCTAGAGAAATCCGCTCTTCGAAAATCCTTGGCAGGGAAGGAGCGGAAGGGAGCCTTGGCACACCCCCCTTTCTCCTGCTGGCATGACCGAGCCTCGTATTTAAATGTTGACGAGCTTCTTGCTGCCAATTAGCAAGGGGAAAACACAGACTGTGTGCTAAACCGGGGCTGACGGTGGCTCCCCAACTGCCACACTGTTTGCGCAACTTTCTGCCTACCTACTTCCTCCTTGGTGGAAGAACCTTCCGTTGGGAAGAGCCTGCAGGAGATTTTTAGAGAGAGGTTGGACGGCTGCTTGTCAGGGGTTCTTTAGCGTTGATTCCTGCCTCACAGGGGGTTCGGCTAGATGGCCCCTGGGGGTCCCTTTCCATCTCTACAAGCCCATGGTTGTATGAGGTAAAAAACTTGTGAACTCTCATTCCTTGGGATTCTTAAGTTGTGACTCCTGCATTGTAGACACTAGAAGACAGTTTCCTCTGCGCTGTGGGCTACTGAATTCTAGCCCCATTTGTGGGCTATCCTCTGATGGATTATTTTTTTATTATTATTATTATTATTATTATTATTATTAAAATTTGTATCCCGCCCTACACCCATAAATCTCAGGGTAGTTCTTACCATCCTCTTTAAACCTCACGCTTGCAAATACCCAGAGTCTCAGTTTCTTTTTTCTATTTTTAATATATCTTTATTAATTTAAAATAAATACATTTATGAGAAAACAGACGTACATACAAGTAAACAAACATACAATCAAACAAACAAATAACAGAAAAATCAAACAAACCACCACACTATAAGATACAAGAAGATTAATATAATTATCATCATATATACTCCTGATACTCAAAACAATTATAAAACTTAGAGAGAAGAAATTTAAAATGGACTTCTAGTTAATCTCACTGTACTTTATCTATCCATTACTTTATACTGCACAGTTACTAATTTCTTATATAATTTCTTTTTACCTCCCTACGAACTTATATTTATACAATACAGGGATCAGTCTGATTCTGCCAAGGTGTTTCCTTTTATTCCATAGTTTTCTAAATATTCTTTAAAGATTCCCCCAGAGTCTCAGTTGCATAACTACTCCAGGATCAGGCCAACACCTATCCAGCCCAGCACCTCCTTCCCGCCAGCAGAGTTGCTTTTCAGTGAATGAAGAGTTTTGTCCCAGAACCAACCACAATCAAGTTGAGAGTGTTTCTGAGCATGCACAGAGTGCATCGACGCAGAGAAAGCTCCAGGGGTATCTGGTTAGGAAACAGCATTCCGCCAGATAAAACTTCCAGGCAAGGTGCTTTTGCGAAAAGAGGAGCTGCCTCTGGTGGTCTTAACCTGGACTGACCCCTTAATGTGGGGACTGGAGCTGAGCGTGGGGCTCTGTGCCCCTCTAGTGGTTGGTCCTGGGAATGCAGCCACCTGAAAAAGAAGACCCCCCCCAAATGGGAGGAACTGGGCAGGGTGAGGACCAGCGCCCATCTCTCCTGGTCTTCTATACCTTCAGAACTCCTAACACGGCCTGGTACTGGGGGCCTTGCAACCGTGATGGCCTGAGGCTGCCCCCTCCTGCCTCTTGGACTCGGGTGGGGGCACATGGGCATAGCTGTCAAGTGTCCCTTATTTGGCGGGACAGTCCCTTATCCCAGCGCCATGTCCCGCTGCTGTCCCTTATTGATGATGTCCCTTAAATAAGCTCCTGAAGGTAATGGGGCCCTTTCTATGTCCAGCTGTCCTTTGTCAATAACAAATTGTTGGCTGTTTGTTTGTGTTGAATATGTGCTATATGGTAATTTATGGACCTAATAGGTATCTAAAGCCATTTGCATGCAACAAAATATGTATTTTATCAAAGTAATTGTTGATCCCTTATTTTGGCTGCTGATTCCTTATTTTCGAGGCTGCTGGTCCCTTATTTTCAAATCTGTAAGTTGACAGCTGTGCACATGGGGTGGGAGCAGGTCACCCCCTCCCCGCAAGACTGTAGGATATAACTGACTGATATTCTGAAGCACCAACCACTGTGGATAACACACAGCTTTGATTCCAGCACGGGACTAAATTTGTGGGTTACACTCGACGACCCAGCTTCCAACGAAACAATGATTTGCTTCATTTGAGCATAGCTCGAATGGCCCACCGACCAGGGAATCTTGAGCTGCGATTCTTGTGTCGCAGGGGGTTGGACTAGATGACCGTTGGGTGCCCCTCCCAATCCAGAAGGTCCCAGGATCAGTCCCCAGCGACATTTCTAGGCAGGGCTAGCAATGGCCCCTGGAAACCACAGGAGGGGAGAGGGCACGAGGGGGTCGATTCTGCTTGCTGGTTTCCCACTGTGAGAGCAGGATGCAAGGGCCACTGGCTGATCCGTCAGGCGATTCTTATGTTCTTAGGCTGGGATTCTTTCGCTGGATTCCTGCATTGCAGGGGGTTGAGCTGGATGACCTTTGGGGGTCCCATCCGATTCTTTGCTTCCATGCCTTCTTCTCACAGCAGTTCCATAGAGTGGACCTTTAAAACTGGCTGAGAATGTCCTCCAGCTCTTTCTCTCACCCCCCCTATCACTGCCCCCACATGCACAGCAGGAATTGTGTCCCTCTGCTAGGGGGCGTCCGATGTGCTTTTGGCCCCCACCCTCAGCCTCCTGCTCTTCCTCTTCCTCCTCATAACCAGAAGTGCTTCGCTTTCCACCTCCTGGGGCTGCCGGGGACACCAGGCCAGAGAATGCAAACTTCTGCATTTGGCCCCTTCAGTTTAAAGGAGGGAGGGAGGGGGACACCTGTCAGTGGGTGGGGGTCCAGGAGGCTGGCACCCGCAGTGCCAGAAGCCAGCTGCCACATCCTGGCACCCATCCCCTCTCTCACACACCCCCCCAATGTCCTCACAGGCCCCTCTCCCTCTCTCCTCCCTGCCCCAGCCTCTGGCACCCCCCCCGGAGCAGGAATTTGGTTCTCAGCTACCAGATCCTCTCCTTCGCCCCCCTCCTGCGGGGTTTGGATCCAGGGAGAGTCAGGAGGCCTCCTGGGTCTCCGCGGAGGAACTGTTCAATTATCTCAGCCTCGTTTGCCCGGGGATCCGCTCCCCTCTGCGGCGAAATTGCGCTTCGGAGAAGCATTTCCAGCTTGGAGGTTTAAATTTAGCAAGCGGTGCTTCCCCTTTTCCAAAGCTAGATTCACCCCCCCCTCCCTGCCTTTTTGTCGCATTACACGGTAATCCGAGCTGCCTTGGCTGACCTCCAAGGAACAGAATGTACTTGGCAAGGAAGCCGCTCTTAATGTCTGCAAAATGTCGGGAGCAGCAGCCAAGAACCGCTAACTGGGTCATTAACCTCTCAGAGAAGGGTGAGGACCATCGTTCCCGGCCTGCCTTCCTCTTGCCCATGAGAAGGCCCCGGATGCTGGCCCCGGATAGGGGCCGGGACAACTGGGTCGCCGCGCTGGGCCACCGAGTCCGCTGATGCGCCTGAAGTGAAGGATCCCAGAATCACAGCATTGTAGACTTGGAAAGGGTCCCCCAAAGGCCATCTAGTCCAGCCCGCTGCACTGCAGGGGTCGCAGCTAGAGCACTCGTGACAGGTGGCCACCTGACCTCTGCTTAAACACCTCCAGTGAAGGAGAGAGTCCATTCCCCCGTCAAGAAGATCTTGACATCCGAAAGTTCTTCCTAATGATATCCCTGTGCAGATTTATGGGGCTGAATGTGGTCAATGAAAGAGACACAGACTGTGTGTGTGTGTGTGTGTGTGTGTGTGTGTGTGTGTGAAACGTGAGAAAGATATGCTTCACTTTGCATTCAAAGGTGAATCTGTCCAATTCACCCTTTTTATGAAACAAAGCCGGCTAAAAGAAAGTCCTTCTTCATGAAGCATTGAACAAGAAAAAATTCTAAAGAGTGAGTAGATAGGCTTCAGGAAGAATTGTTCCACGGTGGATCACAGGCTTCTCCTACAGCGCTTGGTTGGAAAACACACAACTGGTTGGAGGTGCACTTTATGCAGATTTTAAATCTGCTTTTGATCTTATATCTTCTTCTTCCTTGGAGATTTCTCATAGCCGAGTAAGATTGTCTTCCCTAAACACGGTCTTGACAATGAGTCTGTAGGTGACTGTGGAGGCCAATTTTTCCACATGACTTGGGAAGACAGGTGAACTAATATCAGTGTCCTGGAAGAAGCAAAGAAGAAGAAGAAGAAGAAGAAGAAGAAGAAGAAGAAGAAGAAGAAGAAGAAGAGGAGTTTGGATTTGATATCCCGCCTTTCACTCCCTTTAAGGAGTCTCAAAGCGGCTAACATACTCCTTTCACTACATCCCACACAACAAACACTCTGTGAGGTGAGTGGGGCTGAGAGACTTCAAGGAAGTGTGACTGGCCCAAGGTCACCCAGCAGCTGCATGTGGAGGAGCGGAGACGCGAACCCGGTTCCCCAGATTAGGAGACTACCGCTCTTAACCACTACACCACACTGGCTCTCGAAAGATCACCAGTGTCAAAGCATTGATTCTTCAACACCAACTTCGTTGGACAGGTCATGTTGTGCGGATGCCTGATGATAGTCCTCCAAAGCAACTGCTCTATTCCGAACTTAAAAATGGAAAGCGTAATGCTGGTGGTCAACAAAAGAGCTTCAAAGACTGTCTCAAGGTAAATCTTAAAAAATGTAGTATAAACACTGACAATTGGGAAAGCCTTGCCTGCAAACACTCCAATTGGAGAACAGCCTTTACCAAAAGTGTCATGGGCTTTGAAGACACTCGAACTCAGGACACAAGGGAGAAACGTGCTAAGAGGAAGGCACGCTTGGCAAATCCACACCGTGATCAACTCCCACCCGGAAACCAATGTCCCCACTGTGGAAGGATGTGTGGATCCAGAATTGGCCCCCACAGTCACTTACAGATTCATTGTTAAAACCAGGGGTCAGCAAACTTTTTCAGCAGGGGGCTTGTTCACTGTCCCTCACACCTTGTGGGGGGCCGGATTATATTTTTTTTTGGGGGGGGGAATGAATGAATTCCTATGCCCCACAAATAACCCAGAGATGCATTTTAAATAAAAGCACACATTCTACTCATGTAAAAACATGCTCATTCCCGGACTGTCCATGGGCCAGATTTTAGAAGGCGATTGGGCCAGATCCGGCCCCCGGGCCTATCCATGGTTAAAACCATGTTTATGGAAGACAATCTTACTCGGCTACGAGGGATCGCCAAAGAAGAAAGAAGAAGACACACATCCTTCCACATTGGGGACATAGGTTTCTGGGTGGGAGTTGATCACTGTGTGGATTTGCCAAGCGTGCCTTCCTCTTAGCACATTTCTCCCTTGCGTCCTGAGTTCGAGAGTCTTCAAAGCCCATGACACCTTTGGTAAAAGCTGTTCTCCAACTGGAGCGCTTGCAGGCCAGTGTTTCCCAGTTGTCTGTGTTTATACTACATTTTTAAAGATTTGCCTTGAGACAGTCTTTCAACCTCTTTTGTTGCCCACCAGTATTACGCTTTCCATTTTTAAGTTGGGAATAGAGTAGTTGCTTTGGAAGACGATCATCAGGCATCCGCACAACATGACCAGTCCAACAAGGTTGATGTTGAAGAATCATCAATGAGTTTGAGCGTCTTCGAAGCCCATGAAGCTATGGGGCAAGCTTGAAGAAACAAATATAGATCATTGCTTATTGACTATGCAGCACATAGCTAAACTATGGAACTCACTGCCACAAGGAGGCAGTGATGACTACCGTCGATGCTTCTGAATCCCAGTTGCTGGAAACCACAGGAAGAGCGAAGCCTCTTGTGCTTGAATCCTGCTTGCTGTTTTCCCACAGGCAACTGTGAGAACAGGATACTAGACTAGATGGGCCCTTGGCCTGATCCAGCGGGCCATTCTTATAGGAGAACCGAAGCACAGCCCTCCTTCAAAATTCGCACCTCTTCGAATTTTGCAGAGCAGATCTCCAGCTAAGCGTTCTGCACGGCGATGCTTAGAACTGGGGTAAAATGTGCACCAAAATGCATATCACCATGCAAATAATATACAGAACGCATAATATCGGGGGGAAATGCTTTGCAAAATGTATATTATTGTATATGATGCGCAACTACATGCAAAAAGTGTATATATTAGGGGAAATTTGTACTAAAATGCAGGCAAATTTCCACTAGGAACATGGGAAGCTGTCTTACATCGAGTCAGATATATTGGTCCTCCTAGTTCAGTGTTGTATGCCCTGACAGCAGCAACTCTCCAGGATTTTAGGTAGAAGAAGAAGAAGTTTGGATTTTATATCCCGCTTTATCACTACCCTAAAAAGGTAAAGGTAAAGGGACCCCTGACCATTAGGTCCAGTCGTGACCGACTCTGGGGTTGCGGCGCTCATCTCGCTTTATTGGCCGAGGGAGCCGGCGTACAGCTTCCGGGTCATGTGGCCAGCATGACTAAGCCGCTTCTGGCGAACCAGAGCAGCGCACGGAAACACCGTTTACCTTCCGGCAGGAGAGGTACCTATTTATCTACTTGCACTTTGTGCTTTTGAACTGCTAGGTTGGCAGGACCCTAAGGAGTCTCAAAGAGGCTAACATTCTCCTTTCTTTTCCTCTCTGCCAACTCTACCTAGAGATGCCTCTGGCAGTTGAAGCTCAGACATTCTCCTTGCAAGGCTGGGCTCTACCCCTGAACTGCAGCCCTTTTCCAGAGGGTCAGAGATTTCGCGTTCCCCAGAAAGTTGGGCTCAGGAGGAGGAATCTGGATGCAAATTGCATCTTGGGCTCAGAAGACCCCGTCCACAGCAGTCGGCCAGTCAGAGGAAAATTCTCCTGCCCAAACCTCACTGAGCTGGTCCTGCAAGAATATCCGATGCCCTGAGCTAATCTGGGAGGAAATTTAATAACTGCCGCCCCTTAAGATTTATCTACCACTTGCTTGGGTGGGGGGAGAGAAACTGCACCTCGAAGCAGTTTACAAAAGGAATAAAACAGAAAGAATATTGGTAAAGAGAAAATATTTAAAAAATAATTCCCCCCCTACATTGCAGGGACCGGGGGTTGGACTAGATGACCCTCGGATCCCTTCCAACTCTATGATTTTACATCAGCATTCTTCATATCTGGGTAAGCTTCTCTGAACAGAGATGTTTTTAGCAGGCAAAGGCAATAGGCAGGGAGTTCCGAAGTGCAAAGGCCGCCAAACTAATGGATTGATTTCTTACAGATGCAGAATGTATCTGATGCTGCAACTGCAAGTAAAATGTAAGAGCCTGCCATCCTCTTTTCTGTAAATTTTGAGAGTTTTTTGTTTGCTTGTTTGTTTGTTTGTTTTACAATCAAGCGGTGCATGAATTTTAGGAAATAAATAATAACAACAATAAAATTGTCACCAAGAAAAATTCACAACAATAGTTTGAGACTTTCAAAGAGTTGAAACAAGAGGCTGAGAAGAGGTTAAAACTTGCATCAATATTATAGGCACCCGGCCAGGCTTGTCTAAACAAGGATGTTTTAAGCAGGTCCACTGAAGGAGCCTCCTTAATATTAGGAGGCGGGGAGTTCCAAAGTGTAGGTGCTGCTACAGACTGAGTGGTGGAAGGGGAATTATGTGTCACGCCTAACAATGCCAATTCTGCCAATCGAAGCAATCAATTGGGCAGATGTGGGGCAAGGCGATCCCTCAGGTAAAGTGGTCCCACGTTATTAAGTCCTTTATATATTCATAGACTCCTAGAATTGTGGAGTTGGAAGGGACCCTGAGGGTCATCTAGTCCAACCCACTACGATGCAGTGACACCTTGAACCTGGCAGCAAGTTGGGCAACTGGCACAGATCTCTGAGTGCTGGTGTTTGATGCTGACAAGGCAAATGAGGGCCATGGAAAGGGATTCTGACCAAATAGTCCTCAAAAAGGGGAGCCCCTTTTTCAGCGGGGTCAAAATCTCCCTCCTAAAAATGAGCCTTTGCACAGCCCTGCTGGGGACTTTCCAATGAGTTTGGTCCAGCCAAGCCCCGATAAGTTGAGAGAAAATATCCCAGAAAATATCAGGCTTTGCAAAATGTGGAGCTGAGTTTGGGTCCCTCTTGGCCTGACCTCGACGGGCCTTTCTCATGTTCTCAAAGCCAGAGAGATGAATGGAAGAAGATTGGAAGAAATTTAAAGATTATTTACAGAAATACTGCAGAATTAATGAATGTTAGAGTGATGTTGGATTGAAGTTAACTGGCTTCTAGCTGTACAGGCTTTAAAGTTATAAATATATCAAGATTAAGGATTAAGATTAAAAAGGTTAAAAGAATGGAAAAATTGGTTTTTAACAGGTAAAAATTTAATGTTACAATATATTAAGATTAAGGATTGGGATTAAAAAGGAGGGAAAGAAATTGCTGGACTAACAAACGGAATTGGAATACAAAAGAGGGAGGTATGAGGAAGTCCGGGAAACAAGTAAATGTAAAAAAAGTTATGAAAAGACGGAATTGTTTTTAACTGTTTTTTTTCTTTTATCTTTCTGTATTTTGTATTTTGTATTGTGTATTTTTCTTCTTTATTTTTAAATTTTTCTTTTTTATCAATGTGATTCTATTCTTTGTGAAATTTCAATAAATATTAATTTTTAAAAAAAGAGAGAGAGATGAATTCCTCGTGCATTGCAGAGTCATGCATTTTCTCATTTCTCCTAGCGGCCATGGCTAAGATTTGGGGAGCCTCTCTTTGCAAGAAGGCTCAGATTCGCTCAGATCTCCCAGAAGCTGCTTTTGTTGTTGTTTAGTCATTTAGTCGTGTCCGCCTCTTCGTGACCCCCTGGACCAGAGCATGCCAGGCACTCCTGTCTTCCACTGCCTCCCGCAGTTTGGTCAAACTCATGCTGGGAGCTTCGAGAACACTGTCCCACCATCTCGTCCTCTGTCGTCCCCTTCTCCTTGTGCCCTCCATCTTTCCCAGCATCAGGGTCTTTTCCAGGGAGTCTTCTCTTCTCATGAGGCGGCCAAAGTATTGGAGCCTCAGCTTCAGGATCTGTCCTTCCAGTGAGCACTCAGGGCTGATTTCCTTCAGAATGGAGAGGTTTGATCTTCTTGCAGTCCATGGGACTCTCAAGTGTCTCCTCCAGCACCATAATTCAAAAGCATCAATTCTTCGGCGATCAGCCTTCTTTATGGTCCAGCTCTCACTTCCATACATCACTACTGGGAAAACCAGAGCTTTAACTATACGGACCTTGGTTGGCAAGGTGATGTCTCTGCTGCAAGGGAGCAAATTCCATGCTCCCTTCTTTCCTCTCCCCTGATCGTCTTACTAGCCTGCCCTCTGCTGCCTGCAGAAAAATGGTGTGTTTTCACCTCCCCCAGCTCAATAGCTGCCGATAGCAGAATCTGTCCACTTTTCAGTTTCAGTTTTTCCTCATTTTTGCATCCCTTAAGTTCAGTTTGCCACAAAAAAGTTTGCATTTTTTAAAAAAATCCTCATGGAAAATTGTTGATGTGAATTTTCTCCCAGTATGCACATTTTTTAAAATGCAATATTATTTATTTATTTTGATGTATTATAGTATTTTAATATTTTTTTGGAAGCCGCCCAGATGGGCGGGGTATAACTAATAAATTATTATTATTATTATTATTATTATTATTATTATTATTATTATTTGTCACATTTATTGCATTTTCTCCAAAGAGCTCAAGGCGGTCTGTGTGTTGCTCTCCCCTTCCTTGTTTAATCCCTGCCACAACAACCCTGTGAGGTAGGTTAGGCGGAGAGGCGGAGAATGGCACAGAAGCTCACCCAGTGGACTTCATGGCTGAATGGGGGATTCGAACCCTGGCCCCTCCCAGGTCTGAGCCCGATGCTCTAACCACTACACCACACTGCCTTGGTGATTTTGCCTTCGTAGTATTGCTGTGCTTGCTACTTGATTTTCTTACAGGGTGACTCAAAGCGAACTGACATGAAACCCAATTAAAAACAGCAATCAGTCCCTAAAGAGGCAAGATAAAAGACTAACAAGCACGAATAAACAAACAAGCAACTGCAGGTCTTGCCCCACGGAAAGAGGGCACAATATCCTGAAAATCAGGGGCCAAAAACCCAGAGAAGAAAAATATGGAAGGCATTGCTTGGCGCCTCAAAAAGGAAATTGTAGAGTTGGAAAAGATTCAGAATAGGCTGCAGAGTATAGGCATCTTGGTGAGTAGCCATCAATAGCCGTCTCCTCCAAGAATTTGCCCAATCCTGTTTGAAAGACATCTAGGTTGGTCTTCTTCTTTGGCGATCCCTCGTAGCCGAGTAAGAATGTCTTCCATAAACACGGTTTTAACAATGAGTCCATAAGTGACTGTGGATCCACATGTCCTTCCACAGTGGGGACATTGGTTTCCGGGCAGGAGTTGATCATGGTGTGGATTTGCCAAGTGTGCCTTCCTTTTAGCACCTTTCTCCCTTGCGTCCTGAGTTCGAGTGTCTTCAAAGTTCGAGGTTGGTAGCCCTCACTGTCTCCTGTGGGAGCGAGTCCCACAGATTAACTTCCAGCATCCAGCTTCATTGAATGTCCAGGATTTCCAGTGTTATATGAGAGGAGGAGATCAACTTTTCTCTCCCCAATTCCTCCATCCCATGAATGGTTTCATAAATTTCCCTGTCGCCTCTTTCTTGCCTTCCTGCAGCTTTTCTTGATCATTTTGCCTTCTCTTTTCTACACCTTTCCCGTCTCTATGGTATCTGTGGGGGTCCTGTGGAAATTTGCACATTGGGATTGTAAGGTAATTTTTAAAAATTGGGAAATGATATACAACGAATTGAAGAAAATGTTCCATTTAACATTTGTTTAAAAACCCAAGGCATTTTTGTTGGGGATTGTAGGGAAAGACCTGCCAAAAAAGTTGAAAAACATCTTCATGTATGCAACAACGGCCGCGAGAGTTCTGGTAGCACAAGGATGGAAGACTGAAGAAACCCCAACTAAAGAACCATGGCAAGAAAAATTGACAGACTACGCAGAACTGTCAAAACTGACATATAAGCTACGGGACAAGGATAACTGTGACTTTAAAGATGAATGGGAACTCTTTACAAAGTATCTGAAGACGCAACAAAGCGAACTGGACTCTTTGGCTGGTTTTGAATAAACATTCACAAACTTTTTATTGATAGTAATCAGCTAAATAGTTTGAGGATCTATACAACTTTGTAACATGCAGAAAACAGCATTTTCAGAGAAATCAAAGACTGGAACTGAGGGAAGTCGGGGGGTGGGGTGGGGGTGGGTGGGTTTGGGGGGGAGGGAGGAAAGATGGGGGGGAAACAAGAATGATATGTTTTTGGATAATATGTCTTGTTATAATTTTGAATAAAAGAAAAAGAAAAAAGAAAAAAAGAGAAATTTGCACATGTTCAGGAGCGCCCTGTGCCTTGCTGCGTCCGATATCCCAGGACTTCAGACCTGCCCTGAAAATGGATTTGCTGGAAGGGCCGCGCAAAGCTCTGCTTCAAATTACATCCTGGAAGAAGGCGGATTTCTCAAGTGTGGTCTTTGCGCATTTGCGAAAACGATCTGCTAATAACTCCTTAACCAGACAGCTGGAGGAACTTCATTTCTCCTTAAGAGACTTTTTTATTTTTTTTCACTCCACGTTGGGCACTTTCTCTGTTTTCAAGCCCCACCCTGATGCCAACTTTATCATTAACTACCCCTTGATTACCTTGCCAAACAGGTAATTAAATGCCTCAAAAATTCATTATGGACTTGCTGTATTAAGAGGAACATAATTAAGGGATGCTTGCCCGTGCCAGCCGCAGTTTATTACCTGAGCTCTGATTTATCTCGGAGGCGATTCATTAAACATTCGTGGCAGCCTTGTTTGGATCAATGGAGGCCCGAGAGTCAATAAGCACCTTATTAGAGCCAAACGAGGCCCTTAATTGAGAGAAAAGAAATGTCTTTGGAGCAAAACGTCTGGAGGAAAGACGCCCTAGGTAAGGTTGCCACATCGAGATTCTGCAGGGGCTCCTGTGCCTCTATGCGTTGCAGCAGGACAGATAATTTTATCAGAAGTAGCTCCCCCCGACCCCGTCACAGTTGCGTGACATCAGGATAGAGTGGTGCAATGAGGCAGAATGAAATGGATCTAGCGGTCTTAGTGGACCACATTCTCATAAGCCAGCAGTGTGATGCAGCAGCAAAAAAGGCTAATGCTATTCTAGGCTGCATCAACAGAAGTCTAGTGTCCAGATCAAGGGAAGTCATAGTACCACTCTATTCTGCCTCGGTCGGACCACATTTGGGGTCCTCTGTCCAGTTCTGGGCACCACAGTTTAAGAAGGATGTCGACAAGCTGGAAGGTGGGCAGAGGAGGGTGGCCAAGATGTTCAAGGGTCTGGAAAGCAAGCCAGACGAAGAACGGTTGACATATCCTTCTGACAGTGACAAGGCCATCAATGATTTTTCAGTAGTGCTTCAGGTAAGTATCCTGAGCCCTGTGGATCTCAGTGAGATGAGCTAAATGTTCTATGTGGATTTTGGTGTCGTAAGACCAGGTGGGCGGGGTATAAATAAATAAATATATTATTGTTGTTGTTTATTATTATTATTATTATTATTATTATTATTATTATTATGAACCTAAGAAGAGCCATTGGCCTGTCTAGTCCAGTGTCCTGATCTCAAAGTGGCCAGCCTGTTGGAAACCACCAAGCAGGATTTGAACACAGGGGCAACTGTCCCCTCTTGTGGTTCCAGCAAGTAAGATTCAGAAGCGCTGCTGCCTCCGACAAGTGGAAAGTCCCCTCTTTTAAAGCCATTTAGGACGCTAGGCCACGGCTGGCTCCTCTGTCATCAATCACGCTCGAAAATATGCAATTTGACGAGGTAGGCAGGGATTGCCAATGCTGGGCGAAAAATTAAGATCTTGTTTCAAAGGGGAGGGGAGGGAATGAAAATTAGGAAAAATAACTAATAAAAAGTCTGAAATGTGGTCCCATTCGCAGCGTGAGAGATTAAGGAGACATATTTCCTCTTCTCGAAAGCTTGGAAGAGCCTTAAAGGAATCTTCTGAAAACCTTCCAGAGCTAATTCTTTTCTCTTTCTTTCTTTCTTTCTTTCTTTCTTTCTTTCTTTCTTTCTTTCTTTCTTTCTATGTGTTTAAAACGTTTTGCCTTTTCCTCCTTTCAAAACTTTAAAGAGGTTCCCAGAGGAAAATCAGGCACGGCCACACGGGGGGGGGGGGGGCGTCCCCTTTTATTTCCCCCTCCTTTTCTGAGCGAGGAGAGCATAAACAACCGAACAGAGAAGGCAAGGAGGAGAATACAATGTTTCTTGGAAATGGACGATGAGCGAATCGCTTGGCCGAGCCTTTTCTCTTTGGGGAGAAGAAAAGGAGAGGATCGGGTCAATGTGGCCGAAAGACAGTCGTGGAGGCCTGGCCTGGCCAGCTCCCCACAGGCACAACACCCCCCACTTTCCCCACCCACCCCTTTTATTTCGTTCCCTCCCCGCCCCTCCTCTCGAGGGTGCAATCGGCACAGGCCCAAATTGTTCACCCTGCTTTTGAGGGCACCCACGGTGCCAACTTACGACACACTTCCAAGGTTCCTTGGGAAATGGGTGCCAGGTCAAAGATCTGGAGAGAGAAAAAGACCCTAAATCAACACAAACAGCCCTGAAGCCCAGCTCTGCTCACCCCAAACCCTGTTTGCATGTTCGTGGAAGTTTCGGGAAAAGGCTTTCCAAATTTCCACCGAATTCACAAAAATACTAATTATCTGTCCAATTTATTTGAGGAGGGGGAGGGAAAGAGAGAGAGAGAGTTGTGAGAAATAAGTCCCCCCCCCCACATTTCTCCTCTGAGGGCCATTAAACCTTTTTTTATATATTTTTATGAAGAGCATAAACAGCATGGAAATCAAAGATGGGGGTTTTTTTACGAGTGTTTTGCTTGGGTGTTTCTCTCCCCCTCCCTCCTTTCCTTTTTTTACATCGCTGTGATTTTCCAAAACATCTCCTCCAATGTTGGGAGCTGTTTGCCAAGGGAACGATTAAAAAAGCAGGAAAGATCCAGCTTGTTTTTCCTGAGGGCGAGCACAATGGGGACAGAGGGAGCACCCCTCCCTGCTCACCAGCTTTCTGGGCTCTCTGCGGTGGGCAGGCAGGTCCCGCAGGCGCCTCCTCGCAGGAAATCCTATTAGCGAGGCTTTTCTCCATTTCCAGGTGGTAAAATTGCATTCCCTCTCACTTAAGGACACGCTGGGGATTTGTGGCTGAGGCGAGGGACTTCTTCTTCCAAGTCTCTGCAAGGATCCTGTCCTCATCGAGGCAATGAGCACATGCCCAGGCTGCAATATTTCAGCTGGCAAATGGTGGGGGAGAGCTATCCAATGGAGGTTCTTCATACACGGGAGAAGGGCAGGGGGGAAATATACCCTGCACACTGAAAGCTAGCATGTCAACGAGACATTTCCTCCTGATGTGCTGCCTTTCTATGTGCAGGGCAGGAGTTTTTTTCCAGCCGGAACTCTCTGGAACTCAGTTCCGGCACCTCTCAGGTGCATACCCTCCAGCACTTCTCTGATTAAAACACGCATGTCCTGTTCCATAATAATAGGGTTGCTTTAAGGCAGCTTCCTGTACATTCTTGGAAACAACTGGTATCTGAAGTTCTTTCTCTTTGGGGAATCCTTCCTGCAGCTCTACCTCTCTTTTAAATCAGAACCAGTGAAGGCGGTGAAGGTCCAGTCTGAGTGCCTGGAGGTGGTTGGAGGATGGATGGCGGCTAACAGATTGAGGCTGAATCCTGACAAGACAGAAGTACTGTTTTTGGGGGACAGGCGGCAGGCAGGTGTGGAGGACTCCCTGGCCCTGAATGGGGCAACTGCGCCCCT